GTGCCGCCGTTCTGCCACAACTGTCAAACATCCGGACACTCCAAAGTTAACTGCACACGCCCCCGAGTTTATCGTCCAGTAGACCCACAAGTCGCTTCCACTCAAGAAAGTCCGCCAAGGCGTTCCTCCACATTTGCACAAGGCACACCGAACATCATCAATTGTATGGTACGCATCGACATCTGCACACCCGGATCACCACCCACTTACGCTCCAGACGAAGAAAAACTGCCGCCGCCGTGCTCACAAGGCCTTCAGGTCAACCCGACGTACGCTGCAGTCGCCAACGCCGAACCCACCGGGCGAAACACCTGGTTCTTGGACAGCTGTTGCGGCCAACACATGTGTTCTTCCGGACGCTTCGTGCAATGAGAGCGATGCCTCAACCGCGATGTCATCATCACCGTTGCCAATAACGAGAACCTGAAAACAAATAGACAAGGAGTGGTTTAGATGCAGTCCATGGAGACAAATGTCATACTGCAACTCAACAAGGTTCTAATCGTCTACAACTTGGGATACAATCTGCTAAGCGTCAGTCAGCTAATGGAAAAAGGGATTCACCTGGAATGCGACTCGGACGCCAACGAATTTCGTCTTTACCATGGGATGGGCGGCCTCTTCATCGGTCGCGCTCTCCTGAAGTCGGGTGTCTTCGTGTTGGATTTCGTCCCCGACCGCGGTACTGCCGACAGCGATGGCATCGTGTCGTTCGCCGCCTGGACGCGCCCGCCGGATCTTGACCCCGACTTTACCCCATATGGATTCTTGTACTCTAACACCATACCTGCAGCAGAGAGAACACGAGCGTTAGCAGTCATCCGACAAGAAAGACAAGTACCAGCAAGCGTCCTTTCACCGACATCACCTGCAGTAGCAGTAGCAGGACCCAGCCGTGTACCTTCACCGGCAATCCGAGGACCGCCAACCGAAGAAAATCAACTTATGCCAATCACCCGAGAAGTCTGCCAAAGTCCCGCCACGGTCGTCGCATTCCTCTCCAACGCCGACATGTACCAGCGCTCACCCAGCCATCGCGCTCCCGACGACATCTGGCATCAACGTCTCGGGCATCCTGCAAACAGCACAGTGCTACAAACCATACAAGCCGAAGTGTTAGAAAGAAACGCCCTTCTCACAACGAGCGGCCAAGAACTTCGACGACCCCGCACACGATGCTTCACGTGCCCCGAAGCCGATCTTCCCCACCAACATTTTCCGTCGCACCACAATCCAAGCGCACCTGCATACGAACCGATGGAAAAAGTCTACAGCGACATCTTAAATATGCCTCGAGACGACAGTGAAACAGAATACAACTACGTTATAACGTTCATCGACGCAGCAACACGATACGTCTGGGACTACAGCCTCAAGACACGAGATCAGGCGTTCGAAGCCTTCACGGCATGGCTGCCTATCGCTGAACGCGAATCAGGCTTGCAACTCAAGAGCTTCCAGTCAGACGGAGCACTGGAGTACCAGTCACAACGATTCAGGAATTACTTGGCAGAAAGAGGCATCAGACTGCTGGTGTCCCAGCCCTACGCTCACCAACAGCAGGGGGTCGCAGAGGATGAACCGGACCTTGCAGACGACGATGCGAAAACTGCTCCTGGGGATGAGACTGCCCGACACACTGTGGCCAGAGGTGATGACGCCTTCAGTGCACCTGCACAACTTGCTGTCCTCATCATCACTTCCCAACAACGCATCACCGCACCTGCTGTGGACACGAAAAAGGGGCAGCACAAAATTACTTCGAGTCTTCGGCTGCATGGTACAGTACAGACCCCACACAGCTCGAGCAGGACGATTCTCTCAACGAGCATGGTGGGGACTACACCTCGGGATCGCAAAACATTTCCAAGCATGGAAACTCCTCGACATACAAGACAAAAATACCGTGGCCTCACGTGATGTGATTTTCTATGAGCGACTGACGCTGCAGCATTACCTGGACAATGTTGCCAACACAGAGGACCCCACCGATGGCTTCGCGGGCCTTCGGTCCTTCGCCGACCGTGCTGCCGAAGCTGACGCAGCAGAAGAAGACATACCTGAAGCCTCAGAAACTGCCGGACCACTCCCTTACTGGTCCGTGCCTGTTCCACTCGACGACGTTAATCCTCTCGATAGTAACAACCTCGACACCTATTACCACTTCGCTAACCAAGGTTACGTTACACCTCAACCAGTCGACACGAATGTCTCAGAACGCATCGGACCAAATTCCTTACCTGATCCAGAAGATGGTGACGAAGCAGCCTATCCCGGGAATGAAAATTCCCCTCGACAAACACCCACGGGCCTGCAGATCCTTGGACTATGGGTCGCGGTCTAGAGCCCGCCGCAGCCGTCTCCGCGCGAGCCAACGACTCTGTCGCAGGCTCTCGGGGGGGAACACAAAGCGAAATGGAAGGAAGCAATGGAAAAAGAACTAAAGGCCCTGCAAGACCGAAACGCGTGGAAGCTGGTACCTGCAACAAAAACCAACGGGAAAAACGTGCTCTCTGGAAAGTGGGTGTACCGCATCAAGACTAATGCAGACGGCTCCATCGAACAATTCAAGGCTCGCTGGGTCGTACGAAGATTCGATCAGTGATACGGAACTGACTACACAGAGACATTCGCCCCAGTCTACCGTCACACCTCCTTGCGCATTCTACTCGCCATCTCGGCCACGAAGAAGCTACCACTGCGCCAGATCGACGTCGCAAACGCCTTCCTGTATGCACCTGTGGACGCCGAGATCTTCGTCGAGCAGCCCCACAGATTCATCGACGATCCCACAAAAGTATGCCAGCTGATAAAATCCCTCTATGGGATCAAACAAGCCCCGCGGCTTTGGCAGCAGCATCTTCACGGCCGCCTCGTCAGGATCGGCTTCCTACAGCTACCGCACGACCAAGGCATGTACTGACTACAGAAAGAAGGGGGTTTTGTCCTACTAATCGTCTACGTCGACGACCTGCTCTACATCGGCTCCACTACCGACATCGCCACCTGGTTCGAAGGGGAGCTGAGGAGTGACTTGACACTCACGGTGTCTAACACCGTGACCCAGTTACTGGGCCTGAACGTCGTCGAAGACAACTCGGTGTTCTACCTACACGCCGGAAAGTACGCAGGCGTTGTCGTGAAGAAATTCGGACTAACGCCGATCGTAGTCGCGACTCCCTATCGCTACGGGAACGACAACGGCGGAACCTCCGCAAAACTCCTCGTGAAGCAAATCCAGGAATATCAACAGAAACTTGGATGTCTACTGTTCACAGCAGTAATCTGCCGAGCGGACCTGTCTTACAGCGCAAGCCAACTGGCGATACACCTGAAGCAGCCGGAGCAAGAGGATCTCGAAGAGTTAAATCGGGCACTACTCTACTTCGTCTCTACGCCGATGACCAGACTTACCAATAGCAAAGTAACACCGTCGTCCGTACGACTACTCGGCTATGTCGACGTCGACCATGCGGGAGATAAGGAAAATCGACGTTCCATAACGGGCTACATCTCGAGGAAGCGAAAATAGCGACCATGCCCGCCTTCTCGTTATTCTGCGACAACCAATCCACAATCAAAATCGCGAACAAAGACGGGTTCGCCAATCGAACCAAGCACATCGCCCTGCGGTATTTCTTCGTCAAGGATGAGATCGCGAAGGGGAGACTTCAACTCAGTTACTGCCCCACGACAGAAATGGCCGCAGACTACCTGACGAAGAAACTGGCAAAGGCAAAGACCAGGCAGATAAACGTCACCGAATCTGGACACGTCAGCACTCCAGAAACGAAGGGGGGTGTTGGAAATACCTCAAGGATTTATGCGTTTCTGAAGTGTGACACTACACTCGAGTAAAGCCGTATCGGGTACGCGAGTCAACGGAGGTTACACGAGGAGGTTGGACGAAAGAACACGAAAGGACGAAAGACTCGAAGAGTCGCAACCTCCGGTTGCGACTAACGGTTACAACTGCAAGGGTGGTAACCAAATCGATCATCGAGTTGCTGTGCGAGTCGATAACCGTTCTTTCAACTGTATTGCACAACTGCTTTACTTTCCTATTGTCTATATATTGCTGTGTGCTTGTTTCTTTTAATCAATCACTTGCTCTCACATACTAGTGCAAGGGTTCAACTGCTCAACTTCTGCTGTACTACTCAAGCATCCTTGTACAACTGGGACTTAGTCTCTGAAAGATCCTAAGGGTTTTTTCTCAGCCCAACAGAGGCAAACAAGGTGATTTTTTCCAAGGGGTTGTACCCGCTAAGAGTACGCACCTATCTAGCCTATAAGACATATACACAATATGTTTAACAGCATGCACTCTGCATTCCTCAACCTCTCATATCCTTGGTACAATAACCTCCAAACCTTTGATACCCAAAGAATGCATCTACTATGGTGAACCCTTGTGGTTTTTTAGGTGCCTTAATAGTTTTTGGAAACCTTGAGATACTATGTAGCCAACATCATTAGGGAGATGCTATACTCTAAAAGTGAGTTTTGTTGTAATTCATTGTCTGATGGCGCTTAGCACTTGAATATGAGAAACGCGCGATACTGTAACGACGTTGAAAGTACCAACCATCCCCAAGGCTGGGGGTGATGCCACCAGCCGTACACGTGGATGCAGCCATTGGGGACTCGTGGAATCGCCACCAATGACTCCCACTTACACGTGTTACTAGGAGCCTTGCACGCGGTCGCAACCAGTCACGGACCTGAATCTTTTTCGTAAGCGTTTCGCAGGACGAATTGCTGGCCTTTGCGGGATCACGAATCTTCCGTGCTGTATCCAGTTGACCGTCAGTTCTAGGGGCTGCACCCTTCGTCTTCCGTCCGTTTGACTACCGTTTGCGTCATCCCAGTTCAAACTTTCTACGCTGGCGGACAAGTTGCCAGAGCATCCCCCCCTGGGAACTCCTCCCGTCAAATCAGACGGCCTTGGGATTGTACCTGACAATCGTGCCACCCATCACCTGTTTCCCTCAGAGTTCAGATTTCAGGAGAGATTAGTTTCCAGTCAGTCACCACTAATTCACGGAACCTAGATTGGAAAGGTAAAGGCGACTGCACCTTGCTCATGTCTAGTCAATGGCATTTTGAGGTGGATAGTAAATCTCTTCCGTTACCATCCTCGGTTCCGTGCTGGAGAAGAAACAAGCATTTCGTTTATTCCACGAAGTATGGATGTGGTACTTCATTCGTCCCATTACGATAAGATTCAAGATGCGTGATTCTGCTGAGAGCGAGGTTGATTCAGCTGTGCCTCTGATGTATTTGCGTCTTCGAGGTTGATATTATTTCATTTCGTCAGCACCCTTAGGACTTAATCGATAACGAATGATTATAAGCCCGCGGGCTTTCTGCACGTGATGAAGTCAGCCAAAGTCTACGGAGCCCCTCGCATCGCAGACACGACAATGCGTCCTGTTTCAGGCAGGGAGACTGAACAGGTTAGCGTCGCGGGGAGGATGAGGGGGAGCAAGGCAGTTGATCTCCGTCGTCTCTCTCTTCTGTTTTTGTCTCGACTTAATAACATGTCATTACCAAGTATGCCGCGAGAAATGAAAGCCATACAATGATTTCAATAAGCCCCCGACCCGTACGCGCAGGCTATCATCGCTATGAAAAAAGGGAGCCGGCTATTGAAGTACGGTCGGCTTGGAAGGCCACGAGCATGCTACCTTCGGGTCACAACGGTAACCTACGCTCACATTTACCGTACATCGTTTTTCCTCTTCGAGATTCGCTTTGATAACCTCCTCGTTTTTCCCGACATGTCTTCGCCATTCCCCCTGATGCAGGACGAGTGCGACCTCGTATACATCTCTGGCGACCGCGAGAAGACGTTTCCTCTCGCCAATGTCAGCCAGATCCTGTGGGGCCAACGACCGGTAAGAACTTAACCAGAGTCGCTGAAAATATGACTGATATAACCACTATAGAAAGGAGGCTCTCTGCCAGAAGATCACGACTTCCTGTCTTGATGTCTCTGGACCTGGTGAAGGCTCACGGTTGCTGTGAATTCGCTGTTTTTTCGTTGCATCGCATGCGCAGGGCAGCTTCTCCCGGTCGTCAAGAGGCGACAAGGACAACCAGTCCTTCTCCCTCATCTTCGGCGAAGGGGAACGGCCGCTAGACGTGGTACGTAGCCTTCTCAGGAGCCTCCTCAGACCAATCTGCAGAGCGTTACCTCCTTAGTTATCTGCAGGACGAGCACACTCTGTATCCCTAACATGTCTTCAGGCAGTTCGATTGCGGTTGCTTCTGTGCGTTGAAGTCCTGGTGCTGCTCTGTGTTTCATCTGCCTCCCCCCCCTTTCCTCTGCAGGTGTAGAAGGGCACTGAAGAGGCGGAGGTATGGTTCACTGGCCTGCGCGTCCTGGTGGAGAAAAAGAAACAGCACAGGTTAACGCGTTGATAAGTGTTAAATGTCTTCCCCCATTCCCTTCCCCTGCAGGTGTGGAGGGACACGGAGGAGGCGGAGATGTGGTACACTGGCCTGCGTGTCCTGGTGGAAAGGAAAATATGGCCCAAGTCAACTATCAACGCGTCTACCCCCCCCCCCCCCCCCCCCCCCCCCCCGCACTCTCCCACAGGTGTGGAAGGACACTGAGGAGGCGGAGATGTGGTACACTGGCCTGCGTGTCCTGGTGGAAAGGAATCGCCGGCCCAAATCAGAGCGGCTAGGGTTGAGCCACCGGCGATCAGCGTCCATGACCCTGGATGAGCTCCACGAGTGGTCTCCCAACATGTCCCCCTTCCGACAGAGGGTTGAGGTAGGCTGGCATGCCCTTTCTTCCCTGTTTTTTGGCCATGGCCCTTGTTGTCCCGTGTTTTTCCAGTGCTTGACTTGCACTCCCTTCTGATTCTCGTCACCTCATCACTCACTCTTTCTCTATCACCCTCCCCTCTTCCCTTTCTACCCCATTCCTCCTCCGCTCATCTCTCCCCTTCCACCTCTCTCACTTTCTCCCCCTCCCCCCCCTTCCTCAGTCATCCCCTCCTGTGGACAGGACTCAAAATGGCAGTCCTGTAGACGAGACAAACCCCCCCGAGAGCTCAGGCACAGGCGCAGGCGTAGGCACGGAAATGGGTGTGGGAGCAGGAACAGGCATGAACTTCTCGAGATCAGCACATGACATGTCGTCTCTGAATGAGAGCATTCTCGGGAAAAGCTCCCTGTTTCCTGGGAACTCCCTCTCTGCAGCAGGTGGATTGTCTGGGTCTAGTCGCACGTTTCCTGGCAGCGGCGGCAGTGTGAACCAGCCGTGCAGCGAAGCAGGCACAGATGCGAGTGACTTGGACGATTTTTCGGACACGTTATCTATTAGTGGTGTTTCCATTCACTCCTTACCCCCCTCCTCTGCCGCTGCTACCACTCCTTCTCCCTCAATTCCCACCACAACCACCACCACCACTTCAACCGCAAATACCAGTGCTGCTGCCCATGCCAGCGGTGCTAGCCCTGCTAGTGCCAATGCTTCGTACGCAGAAGCCCCTGGTTACAGCACAGTAATTCCTTCCTCTCGGTCAGCAGATCGTGCCGAACCACTCCCCGGACTGCCTGCTAGAGCTTTTTCCGCAGCTTCGAGTGACGGGTCTGGTTATCTGCCCAGCGCAGCAAGCAGCAGCACGGGGGACGATGGGAGTGAGATACTGGGAGACCTTTTTATGTGGGGCGACGGGCTCGGGGATGGGGCGCTAGGAGGGGGCGGATTGAGGAAACGCGGGAAGAGCAGTGCGATTCCGATCCCGGGGTTTGATTCCGTGACACCGAAACCGCTGGAATCGGGGGTGGTGCTGGATGTGTGCCACGTGGCATGTGGGGAGGAGCACGCTGCGCTGGTGACGAGGCGGGGGGAGGTGTTTTGCTGGGGGGAGGAGGGAGGGGGAAGGCTGGGGCAGGGGCGCGAAAGGGACTTGGAACACCCGAAGCTTGTGGAGGGGTTGGATGGGGTCCAAATGGATGAGGTGAGCGGATGGTAGGAGGTGAGAGGATGGTATGACCTTTTCTGGACTCTAAGATTTTATCTCCAGGGGCGTGAGGTGAGGGGGGCTTGGAACACCCGAAGCTTGTGGAGGGGCTGGATGGGGTCCAGATGGATGAGGTGAGCAGATGGGATATGGTGAGCGGATGGTAGGACGTGAGAGATGTGAGAGGGTTGAGTTGCCGTTGGGGTCTAAGCATGGACTGAGATATGCCGGTGGTGACACAAGGGCAGCTGGCTTTCTGGCTTGTGAAGCTATCTGGAAATCTGAGTTAGCTGGTATTCTGTAACAATGGGAATGAACTGTTTGTGTAACAATGAGAAGTGATCAAGGTTGGTTGGCCTACTTCTCCTCTCCTCCCGATATCATTCCATCTCCCCCAGGTCGCCTGTGGCAGTTTTGTCACTCTCGCTCTCTCCAGGGCAGGGGAGGTGTTTCTCTGGGGGGACGGCCGCAGGTGCAGGGGCCTGCTGGGGGTGGGGGGATACGAGGACATGCCCCAGTGGGTGCCCAGGCGCGTGGGTGGCGCCCTGGACGGGGTGCATCTGGTGCAGGTGGCATGTGGGCCATGGCATGTGGCGGCTGTAGCGGCTACAGGGCAGCTGTTCACATTTGGGGACGGCACGTTTGGAGCGCTGGGGCATGGCAATTGCGAGTAAGCACTTGTTCGTTTGGTGCCTTCAGACAAATGACCTGCAAGTGCAAATGGTATTCTTGCAGTTATTTGGCACACAAAGCGCCAACCCCCCTACCCTCCCCCTCCTTCCCCCTCTTCCCCTCCCCCCGTCACCCCTACCCAACCCCATCCCTCCCCCTTCTCCTCACTCCTCCCCTCCCCCACCCCCCCCACCCCCTTTCTTCCTCCCTGTCGTTCCCCATTCTCCCCAGTGCAGAATTGTCTCAGCACCCAAGGAGGTGTCATCACTCCGAGGCATGGTGGTGTCTCGCGCAGCCTGTGGTGTCTGGCAGACACTCCCTTAAAGAACCCCCCCCCTCCCCGCTCTGTCCCCACTGCAGCATCGTCTCAGCACCCAAGGAGGTAGAGGCACTTCGAGGCGTGAGGGTATCTCGCGTTGCCTGCGGTGTCTGGCACACAGCGGCAGTCGTGCACGCTCCCACTACTCCAGATGCTGCTAGTGATCCAAATGCTCCTAGTACTTCTACAGTTGGTGGCACAGTAGGGGGTGTAACAGGGGCGTTTGAAGCAGGGAGGCTATACACATGGGGTGATGGAGATAGGTACAAGCTGGGGCATGGGGACAAGCAGCAGCAGCTGCTGCCCAAGGCAGTGGACGCTCTCAGCCAAATAGACATCTCCCAGGTGCGTCTTGTCCCCTCTTGTTGCCTCAGGTACATCTCTCAGGTACATGATGTCTCAGGTGCATCTCTCAGGTACATGATGTCTCAGGTGCATCTCTCAGGTACATGATGTCTCAGGTACATCTGTCAGGTACATGATGTCTCAGGTACATCTCTCAGGTACATGATGTCTCAGGTACATGATGTCTCAGGTACATGATGTCTCAGGTACATGATGTCTCAGGTACATCTCTCTTAGGTACATCTCTCAGGTTCTGCACGTTCACGTTTAATGCCTCAGGTGGGGCTGTGTAGTCTCAGGTGACCTCTCTCGTTGAGTGTGCCTTAGAGCAGGAATGTTACCGCCAGGTCGAATGTACCCCATGTTTGTTTGAAGTGGTTTGAGCTTCTTCCTTCCCCTGCCATCCCTTCCCCTGCCTATCCTTCCCCTGCCTCCCTTTCCCCTGCCTCCTCTTCCTCTGCGCCCCATATCCTGCCTCCCCTTGTTAGGTTGCATGTGGGCAGGACATCACAGTGGCTCTCACCCCATCAGGCCATGTGTATGCCATGGGGTCGGCAGCACATGGTCAGCTGGGGAATGCTCAAGCTGATGGCCACCTTCCAGGTAGGATGTGCTGGAAGAGTTGCATGGCTGTGTAACGATGAGTCTAAGGATTTCACAGTGGCTCTCACTCCATCAGGCCATGTGTATGCCATGGGGTCGGCAGCACATGGTCAGCTAGGGAACCCCCAAGCCAATGGCCACCTCCCTGGTAGAATGTGCTGGAAGATACTAAGTTTTAGGCGCCTCAAAAAACAGGATGGCATGAGCCGTGCATTGAGGCGTCTCAGGATAGCTCGCATGTAGCATGGACAGCAGCCCTCACCGCACAGCAGCCCTCACCGCACAGCAGCCCTCACCGCACAGCAGCCCTCACTGCACAGCAGCCCTCACTGCACAGCAGCCCTCACTGCACAGCAGCCCTCACTGCAGCCTCAGACATGTTCTGAATGTGCCTCTCCCTTTCTCCCGCCCCCATTGTCCCTTCCCAGCCCTTGTGTCTGGGCCCCCGCTGTTCAAGCAAGTGGAGCAGATAGCATGCGGCAGCCACCACACAGCAGCGCTCACAGCGGCCTCAGACCTCTTCACGTGGGGCAAGGGCAGCCACGGGCAACTGGGGCACGGGGACACTCGGGACAAGGAGGTCCCAACAAGGGTTGAAGCAATCAAAGACCAGAGGGTGCTGTCGGTGAGTCAATGGTGTATGGATGATGGATGATGGATGGTGGATGGTGGATGGTGGATGGTGGATGGTGGATGGTTGGTTATTGTGGCAGCCACTACACAGCAGCGCTCACTGCGGCCTCAGACCTTTTCACATGGGGCAAGGGCAGCCACGGGCAGTTGGGGCATGGGGACATGCGGGACAAGGAGGTTCCAACCAGGGTCGAAGCAATCAAAGATCAGAGGTTGCTGTCGATGAGTGTTGGCTAATGGTGAATGCTGGGCGCATTTGGGGGGTTGATTATGGGTGTTTGATAACACGCGCATGTGAAAGACGTTGCTGGCGACGGGCATTGCATCTTCATACGGAATGCCCTTCACCTCACCCTCCTGTGAGTCTCTTGCCCCTCGCCTATCCTGCCCAGTCCTCCCCTCCTCACACTCTGCCTTTTGTATCCAGCCACGTATCAACGTCACCAGCCTCATTTCTGTATCGCTCTCTCCTGCCCCCTTCACCTCAGGTGTCATGTGGGCCAGCCACCACAGCAGTAGTGTTCCAGCACCGGCACGTGCAGGGCTCGGACCACCACCACTGCACGCTGTGCTTACACTCTCCATCCCCCTCCCTCTGTTCCCATCCAGGTTTCCTGCGGCCCTGCCACCACAGCGGTGGTATGCCAGCACCGGCATGCACAGGGCTCAGACCACCACCACTGCACGCTGTGCCGGCAGGCCTTCTCCTTCGCCCGCATCCGCCACCACTGCTACAACTGCAGCCTGCCCGTCTGCCATACCTGCAGCCCTCGCAGGCTGCTAGGGGCTGCCATGGCACCCACCCTCTCCCGCGCCTACCGCGTCTGCGACACGTGCTTTGTTAAGATGAGCAAGGGATCGAGTGGCAACAGTAGCAGCACCAGCACCAGCAGCAGCTTTAAGGGAGGTGGTAGCAGCAGTAGCAGCAGCAGCAGCATCAAGGGAGGTGGCAGTAGTAGCAGCATTGGTAAGGTCGGCAGTAGTGGCGCGGGTGCTATCAGCAGTGGTGGCAGTGGAATCGGCATAAACTCTAGCTTAGGCAGCATCAGCAGCAGTGGCAGTTTAGGAGGGGCCGCTGGGAGTGGGGGAGGAGGCAAGCCAGGGCTCTTTACCAGTAGCAGTGCTGGGGGAAGTAGTGGTGGTGGTGGTGGTGGGAATCTGCCCAAATCAAAGGCTCCTGCATCTGCAGGGTCCTTCTCAGGAGCACCTGGGTTTTCTCCTGGCAATGCTGCAGAGAGCGCCCAGGTGCACACACGCAGCAGTGAAGGGGTGGCGCCACCACTCCCCATGTGGGGCCCCGTCCCTCCCCCTCCGTCATTCGCCTCTCTCACTTCTCATCGAGCCTTTGGCCCTGTGAGCTACCAGTACCCCCATGCGCAGAACCAACAGCAGCAGCAGCAGCAGGGACAGACGGCCACGCACAGTCAAAGCCTCCTCCGCAAATCCCCGCCCCCTCAGCCGCACCACGCCATTCCCTCCTCTAATAGCTCCGTCTCTTCCTCCCTCCCCATCCTCCCCTCTGGCTTCCTCTCTCACTCTTCCTCCTCGTCCTCCTCTTCCTCCTCTCCCTTTTTCTCCTCTTCCTCTTCCTCCTCCCCTTCCTCCTGGCTCTTCTCACAACCTAATGCCTCTGTATCCGCCAGCATGGCTAGTCCAGGACCCTCCTCCTCCCTTGCACCCAACACCACACCCACCAACACCCCACCCACGCTCCCCTCCCGCCATTCCACCCTCTCCCTCTCCCCGAACCTCTCAGAAGATGCCGGGCCTCCGCCTCGGGCTACCCGGACCATCTCCCTCCGAGGCTCGGTGGCAGGCTTGGTGGCAGGCTCGGGCCGGCGACCATCTAGCCCCCTCACATGGCAGTCGAGCAACAGTCCCTTGGGGGCGGGGAGGAACCCAAGCCCTACTGGAGCCCAGGTTGCTGCTGCTGCAGCAGCAGCTGCTGCAGCCATGGCAGCTGGTTATGGGGGTGGTGCTGGTACTGGCGCAAGTGGTAGTGCTAAGGGTGGTGGAGGGGGCAGTTGTGGCTCGTTGCCTGTGATTGGGGGAGTGGCGGTGGAGCCTTGGGATTGGAGGCAGCAGGGGGGTGGTGGGGGGAATGCTGAGGAGAGCTGGAGGAAGGCGAAGGAGAATGCAGACAAGGAGATACAGAGACTGAGAGAAGCGGTGCGGATTGGCATTATACATCTATGGATTAGCACTACTATCAGGATCCTCAAGGGTCGTAGCAACACCACACGGATGCAGCGGCTTGTTGAGAAAGAGATGCCTGTGATTTGTGCATGTAATCCGTTCCACTCTTTTGCAACCCTTTCTTTTTGTTTCCTCTCTGCGCTGCGTCCCAACCGCCATGTACGAGCAATGCAGGCAGAGTGCGGAGGTTGAAAGGAAGCGGCAGGTGGAGAGGGGTCTGGCGTGCAAGCAGGACGGCTGCTCGTGCTGTTGACGTTTACAATCTCCTCTTCCCCCCTTGCCTCCGTACAGATGCGGGCAATGCAGGCGAGGAGTGCGGAGGTGGAGAGGGAGCGGCAGGCGGAGAGGGATCTGGCGTGCAAGCAGGTGGAGGCAGCGTTTGCTGCTGCCAGCAGGGCGGCTGCTCGTGCTGCTGGCGCTCGTGACGTCATCCAAGTGCTCTCTCAACAGGTGCGATTGTAATTCTCTTGTTACTTTAATTCACCATTCTCACCTTCCGCAGTAGTCTTACTCTGCCCCTCCTTCCCTCCCTTCCCCCCCCACCCCACCACCCGTGCACTCAGCTCACCACTTTCACTCAAGACCTCCCTGAGGGCAGCACCAAGCAAGTCAGCGTGGCAGTGAACTCCCGGCAAGGTTCTGTGGTCTACACTGCGCCCCTCCTCCCCCCCTCTCATCCCCCCTCCCTCTTCTCTCCCCTCCCTCCCCCCCTCCCCACCACCTTCTCACAGCTCACCACTCTCACTCAAGTCCTCCCTGAGGGCAGCACCAGGCAAGTCAGCCTGGCAGTGAACTCCCTACAAGGTGCCGTGGTCTACACAGGCCCCCTCCTTTCCTCCGTCCTCATTCCTCCTACCCTAACCGAGCTCCCGCCCCAGCATATCACCAGCACTGCCACTGGGGTGCCATCTGTGCAGGCCATAGTTGGGGAGGGTGCATGTGGGGAGGGTACATGTGGGGAGGGTGCATGTGGGGAGGAAGCAGGTGGGGCGGATGGGGTTGGCGTTGGAAGGCAAGATACCAGTGAAGAGGTCTTAAGCGAGCAGCCTGCTGCTGCCTTTGGTGTCACAGAAGGGAGTGGTGCTGGTCTGGGTACAGGTGCGGATGGTGCATCCTGTGGCACTGTCGCATCGACTGATATGGCAGGAACTACTGGCAGCATAGGAACGATTTCCAATACCACTAAGAGCACATCTGTTTCAACCACAAGTATCAGTACAGGCACCAGCACAGGTGCCACAAATACAAGTACAGACAGTACCTGTACGGGCAGCAACAGTGCAGGCAGTGGTAGCTGCGAAGGAAGAGGGAGTGGCAGCAGCAGCAGCAGCCAGAACTTAAGCCAGTTGAAACGCAGGGCCATTCGCAGCAAAGGGGTAGCAGCAGGGGGGATGCAACCCTTACTCACCAATTTCTCCTTCAACTCCTGGAGTTCCCTAGACTGGACCAGAGCCAAATCGCCTCCTGGAGCTGCTGCGGCGGCAGCAGCAGTTGCAGGAATCGGAGGGAGGGATGCTGAGTCGATTGCAGCTGCTGCAGCTGCTTTAGCTTCCCAGCGAGAGGAGGAAGAGGGGTTTGAAGGCTCTGGAGAACAAGCAGCAAGGCCAGAGCTATTACACGCAGCAGACGCTGATGCTGCAGAAGCAGGAGAAGTGGCAAAGGGAGCAGCAGCAGCAGCAGCAGATATAGTGAAAGGCAGGAATTTTAATACATCTGCGGATATAGAAGGGTGTATTCGCCCTATGTTGAAAGGGACAACCGCAGAGGAGACCTCACAGCAGGATGAAGGAAGAGAAAAGAGAGGAAACGGGTATGGAGAAAGCGAGAGCGAGGAGTCTGCGTACATCTCAATGCTTCCGAGGAAATCAGCCAAGTCTTGGTCGTTCAGAAGCGTTGCAGGGATCCCATGGAGCCCTGCTGGTGGGCCAGATGGAAATGTTGACTCCCCTCGGTCGCAGTGGTTCGGGCAGGTGAACAAAGGTGCTGGAAAGACGGGCTTGGGGCCTCCTTCTGAGGCGGGCCAAAGAAGCACAGGCTTGGGACCTGCCGTTTGTGCAGCAGCAGAAGGGGAGAAACCACATGGTGATGCTCTAGCAGATGTGGCTGAAATAGAGGATGAGGAGGCAGAGGGGGGGAATGATGATGGTGGGGAAGGATGGGAGGAGGAGGAAAGGGAGCTGGAAGTGGGAGAGGATGGAGGGGAGGAGGGTCGGCTGGGAGCAGGGCAGGGAGAGATGGAGGAAAAGAGGGACGGGGGAGGAGAGATGGGACCCTCGAGCAAACAGTTTGAGGGTGATGCTGTTTCCCCGAGAGGGGACACTGGCTCTAGGAGAGTACCAGGCATTGGCATTCCCCCTGTGTGGAATGGCATTGGTGAGATGACCCCGAGGGTGCAGCGGCCTGGCAGCAGGTTTGCAATAAAGGAAGGAGCTGACAGGAGCAGTGTGGTTACTGTTGTTCTGAGTAGAGGGGAGAATGGCAATGGTGTGCTAAGGGGGAGTGGGGCAGCCGGCAATGCTTTGATGGCTAACTCGAAGGGGGCCGATAGGGGGCACGTAAGTTACCCATCTGGCCAACAGAGATATGGAAGTGTAGTTGAGGGTGCAGACCGTGAAGAGGAGCCGAGCTATGTTCCCAGTGGGGTGGGCCAGGAGAGGAAGAGGAGTGATGGATGGGAGGAGAGTGCTAGCAGGGAGGAAAGTGCCAGCGGGGGAGAGAGCCGTTGGGAGGAAAGCACGGGCACTGCCAGGGAAGATAGTGCTAGTCGTGAGGAGAATGGTAACAGGGAGGAGAGTGCTAGCGGGGAGGATAGGCGGGAGAGGAAGCACAGGAGCAGGAAGCTAGAAGAGGGGGAGTGGGTGGAGCAGCCAGAGCCTGGAGTGTACGTGACCCTGGCAAAGCTGCCTGGCGAAGGAACAGAGCTGCGCCGAATCCGGTTCAGGTGAGCTGCTGCTATATTTGTGCCATTTGTGCTTCCTTCTCCTAAGCTTTTGTGCCATTTGTCCTAAACTGATCAACTGCTGTTACTCATTGCCGGTGCATGTGTTCATTTGTAGCCGCAAGGTGTTTATGGAGCAGCAAGCAGAGACGTGGTGGGCTGAGAACAAGGCAGCTGTAGCTGCTATGTACCATATTATCAGCACTGCAAAGAAATCTGCAAGCGACCTAGGGGAGGCCGAAGCCCCTCAATAAACTGGTTAAATTATGCCACTTGGGCGGTTCACAACACCTTTCTGATATTATAGAATGGAATCAAGTTGGGCCATTTGGACGCTAAATCTAATGTCGCTGCAATTTGTGCTTGAAATGTTGGCTGTATGATATACTTTCCTTAGTCAGCCACCGAGTTTTGCGGGAGTGTATTTTACGCTACATGAGACGAGTTACTCAATTTCGAGCCACCACCAGGCGCACCCCATTTTGTGCTCGCCACGCCAGCACTATTTTTAGCTCCACGCCTAGTTGCTTTAGGGCTCAAACGGGACCAAAGCCATGGCACCTCCCGCGATTCAGGTGCCTAAGCATAATGCAATGTAATGACGTCCCTTCCCATAACTATTCTAACGGCTCATAGTTGCTTGCAGAACCTTCGCGGTGAAACACGGACTCGTAGAGCGGCTTCCCAAACCGAAAACGCCGGACCTGTTTTAGCAAAGGGTAAGTAATGTAAGAATTTTGCATTTGACCCATTTTCAATATGCCATGATTCTTTACCGCATGTGTGAATCCAGCTTTGAAGCCGACCGTCGTACGGAATAAGAACGAGAGTTCTCGTTCGTCGCTACGTCATGTCACGAATACCACCAAGTCCGTGCTCTCTGAGCTGTGAGACAAATAATATGTCAGAGTTCGAGCCTTTCAGATGGATTTTATTGACCCCTTATTTCATGGCAGTGACAAGGCTGCTGCTAAGGTAGCGGAGACGCCGAAAGCTACTTCAAGTCAAAGGTCGACTCTTCAGGTGTGCTTACGCTTCAACAAAGCAGCAGTAGTAATACTATGTTTCGTCGCTAATATCAGCAATATTCGTTCAGGCTCGTGCAACAAAGCAACCTTCGCAGGCATGGCGTCCCTCTGGAAGTTATAAAGGCCTTTTCGAAAAGACATCCACTTACACACGCCCTCCAGTACCGCAACACCGCAGTAGTTCTGCTCCGGTTGCTTCCCGTTCCAGCAAGGTGCACTTCAGTCGAAGAAGTTCACCAGCAACCGCAATCTCTGATCCGCCTGAGGTGGCACAAGCAGCGAGTATTGATAATGACGATGCCAATGACCAACTGACTGCAGCCTTTCATAAAGACAATGTCGCTGATCTCCTTACTGCTGCTATAGACAACGTTGCTGATCACCGTACTGCAGCTATTCACGAGGATGATGTCGCTGATGACCCCACTGCTGCTATTCTTGAAGACAATGTCGCTGATCACCAGACCGCTGCTGTTTATGAACATAATGTCGCTGATCAGCTTACTGCAGCTATTCATGAAGACAATGCCGCTGATCACCTTACTACAGCTATTGATGAAGACAACGCTGACAATCCCACTGCAACTATTTATGAAGACAATGTCTCTGAGAATCCCACTGCTGCTATGCATGAAGACAATGTCGCTGCTCAACTTAATGCAGCTATTCACGAAGACCATGTCGCTAATAACCCCACTGCAGCTGCTCATGAAGACTATGTCGCTGACAAGCCCACTCCAGCCATTCATGACGACAATGTCTCTGATAACCCCTCTGCTGCTATTCATGAGAACAATTTCTCTGATCACCTGACTGCTGCTTTTAATGAAGACAATATAGCTGATCACCTCACTGCTCCTATTCATGAAGACAATGCCGCTGATCACCTTACTGCAGCTATTCACGAAGACCATGTCGCTAATAAACCCTCTGCAGCTGCTCATGAAGACAATGTCGCTGACAAACCCACTCCAGCCATTCATGAAGACAATGTCTCTGATAACCCCACTGCTGCTATGCATGAGAACAAGTTCTCTGATCACCTGACTGCTGCTATTATTGAAGACAATGCCGCTGATCACGTTACTGCAGCTATTCACGAAGACTATGTCGCTAAGAACCCCACTGCAGCGTTCACGAAGACAATGTCGCTGATCCCCTGACTGCTGCTGTTCATGAAGACAATTTTGCTGATCACCTAACTGCTGCTGTTCATGAAGATAACGGCTCTGATAACCAACCTGCTGCTTTTTTTGAAGAAAATGTCTCTGATCACTCTACTGCAGCAATGTCGCTTATCGCCTTACTGCTGCTACTCACGAAGACCATGTCACTAATTACCCCACTGCAGCTATTTATGAAGCCAATCTCGCTGATCACCTGACTGCTTCTATTGATGAAACCAACGTCTCTGATCACCTGACTGCTGCTATTCGTGGAGACTATGTCACTAACCACCTTACTTCTGCTATTCATGAAGACACTATTGCTGATCACCTTACTCCATCTACTCGTGATGACAATGCCGCTGATCACCTCACTGCTGCTATTGACGAAGACAAGGTCGCTGATCACCTCACTGCAGCTATCTGATTGATACAAACAGTGAGTGCTGAAGGAGGTGCTGTCATCCACATGAGGGAATAAGGCAACTGACCACAGTGCAGCGCAGCATTTGCCATTAGGAATAAGGTCGCATCGACCTGCTGTACAAGGGAAGCGTCACCATTTTTATTTATTCTTGTCTTTCTCACGGTGCTGTAAAACAAGTTTATCTATGAGATATTTGTACACTCATAGGCCTACCACCATAAAGCCTCTCCGAAGTGCAAGCAGTTTATGAGGTAAGTCGTCCTAACCTGGTGTAGGCTGATAGCGCCCCACATATAAACAACACTTTCTTATGAAAGGGCAGAGGGAACCCTCACAAGAAACAGATTAACGTAACAAGCATAGCATGGCAACGGCAGAATGGGGCGAGATGACCCCGTGAAGTCAGTTTAAAACAACCAGGAACCAGAAATCCCGTGCATCCTCCCTCCTCTCACTTCCTGGTACCAGAGGGACTGATGATGATGAGTTTGCCACCGACAGGCAGGACGTCGACTTAAGCATTTCAAAACCAGAAGGTTCTGTCGGTGAGTCAATGGTGCATGGCGCTTTGGTTGGAGCCTGGACTATCACAAGGAAAGTGGTACCCTTAATTTGCTTTGTCGCATGCGGCGGGGATGCCTGGTGGGGCAGGGACAGTCGGGGCATGGAATGTGGGATGGCGGGTTGGTTATGATTGTTCAACGTCAACCCCCATAACGAGCCTTGCATCACCGTTGGTGAGTGGTGCAGCTAGAAATGAACGTTGTATTGGCGCACATATTATTCGGAGTCTTCATTCACGTCCTGACTATTCGCCTTTCACCAACCTTCATTTTATCTTTCTCTATGATAACATCACCTAAGGTTTCTAGTGGCCTAGCCACCACAGCAGTGGTGTGTCAGCACCAGCATGCGCAGAGCTTAGACCACCACCACCATATGCTGTGCTACCATCATTCTCTCCCCCCCGATGCCCTCCCTCGTTCCCTTCCGCCCCGATACAGTTGTCCTGTGGCCCAGCCACCGAGCAATGGTGTGCCAGCACTGGCACGCGCAGGGCTCGGACCTCCACCACTGCATGCTGCTTATTTTATATTTCCTTCTTCCCTCTGTACCTCCTCTCTCCTCTATTCTCCTCCTCTCTCCCCACTTCCCCTCTCCCCCCTTCCCCCCCCTTCTCCCGCACCCTCCAAAACCCCTGTCGTTCTTATTCAGGTGTTCTATGGCCCTGCAACCACAGCAGTGGTGTGCGAGCACTGCCACGTGCATGGAAGAGGTTGGTCGGGAGCAGGGCACGGAGAGGTGGAGGAAAGGAGAGACGGGCAAGGAGGGATAGGACCCATGAGCAATCAGCTAGAGCATGAAGCTGTTTCCGAGAGATGCGTTGCTGACCCGACGAGAGTGGCAGGTGTTGGGGTTCCGCCTGTGTGGCATGGCATTGGTGAGACGACCCCGAGGGTGCAGTGGCCTGGCAGCAAGTTTGCAAAAAATGAAGGAGCTGACATGGGAAGTGAAGATACTGCAGCGAGTAGAGGGGAGATTGGGAATGGACACCTAGAGGAAAAAGAATCGTCCGGCAATGCTTTGGTGGCCAGTTCAGAAGGGGGTGATCCTGGGCGAGTAAGATATCCATCAGGCCAACAGAGATATGATGATGCAGTTGAGAGTGCAGACGGTGAAGAGGAGGCCAGATATAGTTGGCAGTATGTTTCCAGTAGGGTGGGCCAGTCGAGGAAAGGGAGTGATGGATGGGAGGCAGTGAAGAGGGCAGCAGGGAGGAAAGCACGGGCAGTGGCAAGGGGGATACTTCTAGCCGAGAGAAGAGTGCTAGTTGGGAAGTGAGTGCGAGCGGGAGGATAGGTGGGAGAGGAAGCACAGGAGGAGAAGCTGCGAGAGGGTGAATGGGTGGAGCAACCAGAGCCTGGCGTGTACGTGACCCTGGCAAAACTGCCTGGTGAAGGAACAGAGCTGTGCCGAATCCGGTTCAGGTAAGCTGCTACTGTGTTTATGCTTGTTATGCTTCCTTCTTCTAAGCTTTTGCATGTTCTCCATGGCATACTTATATCAAGTATTGTTTTTCTTTCCGTGTGCACGCGTTCATTTGTATCTGAAGGTTTTTACGGAGCAGCGAGTGGAGACGTGGTGGGCTGAAATCAAGGCAACAGTAATATGGTACATAATATGGCAGTTACTATGTACCATATTATGTACCATATTATCAGCATAGCAAAAAAATCTTCCGGCAAACCAGGGAGGCTGAAGCACCCCGATAGATTAGTTCATTTACGCCACTAGGGTGGTTCACAACACGCCATTAGTTCATCTGATGTTCTATAATAATTTTCAACTGGGCCGTTTGGACATTATTGTATTTCGGATTTGTGGTTGAAATATATTATGAATGTATTTGGCTGTATGATAAGTATACCAGCTATAGTCTGACGGTCAGCGTTGCAGGAGTGTATCCTGCGCGACATGCGACGAGGTTTTCAACTTCGAACCAGCACGAGGGTCACCCCATGTCGACATTCCCCCGGGCCTACTTATTCCTGCTCGTGAGAACTACCGGTGGTCAGCGCTCACGCATCAGTCGGAGCCATGGCGCCTCCCGCGATTCAGGTGCATGAGCATAATGCAATGTAACAACGTTTCTTGCCATAAATATTCTAACGGCTCATAGCTGCTTGCAGAATCGTCGTGGTGAAACACGGACTCGTAGAGCGGCTTCCCAAAACGAAAACGCCGGACCTGTTTTAGCGAAGGGTAGTAAGTGTAAGGATTTTGCATTTGGCCCATTTTCAATGTGTCATGATTCTTTACCGCTTGTGTGAAATCCAGCTTCGAAGCCGACTGTCGTACGGAATAAGAACGAGAGTTCTCGTTCGTCGCTACGTCATGTCACGAATACCACCAAGTCCGTTCTCTCTGAGCGGTGAGACAAATTATATATCAGGAAAACTGCTTATCCGAGCTTTCCACATGCAGGTTATTTATTCCTTGTTTCATGCTGGCAGTGACAAGGCTGCTGTTAAGGTAACGGAGGTGCCGAAGCCTACTTCAAGTCAAAGGCCGAATCCTCAGGTATGCTTGCGCTTCACCAAGAAGCAGCAAGAGAAATGCCATTTCTGGTCGCTAATATCAGTAATCTTCTCACAGGCTCGTGAAACAAAGCCACCAGCTCAGGCATGGCGTCCCTCTGGAAGTTCTAAAGGCCTTTTCGAAAAGACATCCACTCACGCACGCCCTCCTGTACCGCAACGCCGCAGCACTTCTGCTCCGGTTGCTTCCCGTTCCAGCAATGTGCATTTCAGCCGAAGGTCATCAGCGACCGCAATTCCAGATCCGCCTGATATCGCACCAGCAGCGACTGTTAATTATGGCAATGTCTCTGACCACCTTACTGCAGCTATTCATGAAGACAATGTCGCTGATCACCTCATTGCAGCTATTTGTGAAGACAAAGTCGTTGATCACCTTACTGCAGCTATTCATGAAGACAACGGCGCTGATCACCTTACTGCAGATATTCATGAAGACAATGTCGCTGATCACCTCATTGCAGCTATTCGTGAAGACGATGTCCCTGATCACCTCACTGCTGCTGTTATGCACAATGTCAAGGCAACCGACCCGACCTCCCAAGTGACAGAACTCTCATCAGGTCATGTGAAAGCGGAGAACGAAGTCAAACGTTACAGTTTGCGACCAAGGAACAGTGCCGGCCATTGCATAGGGAGCAGTGCTGGTGCAGTGAGGTACATCTTGACTATGACGAAGCAGCTCATCGCGAAGACCCGGGCGGTTAAAGTGGAGTCGTGCTGGGACGTTGATGCTCAAGACCGTGGGGATCCACTTGCCGAGACGACCTACGTTTCTGACATATACAACAATTACAAGAAGATGGAGGTCGGTCTCAGTTATCTTTCATTCAAACTTTTGATTGAATTGATTAATTATTTTGATTTCCCTATTTCAGAATGAGGGAATGGTTTCCCCTACTTACATGTCTGCCCAAGTTGAAGTCAACAGTCAGAACCGTGGTGTTGTCCTCGATTGGGTGATCCAGGTTAGCCATTGCCATCACCTACGCTTCCATTGGCTTGTTCATTGATTGTTCTGACTGTCTCTAGCTCCATATACAGGTCCACGAATCCTACGAGATGATGCCAGAGACGCTCTTTCTCGCTGTCAACATATTTGACCGGTATCTTGCTACCACTCATGTACCTCGGAAGCACATCCAACTGGTTGGAGCCACGTGCATCCTGATTGCAGCAAAATACGAAGAAATCTATGCACCTCTGGTTGCTGAAATCGAGAAGCTTGTATGCGGCTCCTACACTCGAGGACATTTGCTGATGATGGAGAAGCAGATCTTGAACAAGCTTTCATTCAAACTCAGCATTCCCACGTGCTACGTCTTTGCTGCTCGGTTCCTAAAGTTTGCTAAAGCAGCAGCTGAAGCTGCCACCGCTGCAAATGCAGTTTCCAATGGGTGGAGCATTGAAGTGTCTAAAGGATGCAGCAGCCGGGTGCATGCTTTCGCGTGGTACCTTCTAGAGCTCACCATCCCAGATATCAGCATGGTTCAGTTCAGCCCGTCGCATCTTGCTGCAGCTGCAGTCTACACTGCTCTGCTTGGGGCCTATCAAACTGGACGAGCAGCCAAGACAGCAACTCTGGAGCGCCACCAGACAATCACACACAGAAGGCCAACTAACGAGGGTGAAATCTGGGGCTCACGCATGGCGGACTTGACGGGTTTTGAAGCTGCGGACTTGTGGCACTGTGTGGGGCTGTTGCTGGAGATCTACAAGAAGGCTTTATCAAGCCGACGTGGTGCTGTTTTTCAAAAGTACCAGAAGACGAAGTTCTTGGAAGCCGCCACCTATCCTGCTCCACATAGCCAGGATCCTAGCTCTCAATCCTCGGAATAGGCTTAGGAGGGTTCTGAGTGGTATGGAGGAGCAGTGAATGACTGTTCATACGATCAGCCAAGAGCTCGCAGAAGGATGGAATAAGGCAATTGCAGAGCAGCATCGGCCACTGGGAATAAGGTCACCAGTACCATTAGGTATTAGGGCCGCACTATTTATCCTTGCGTATTTCAGGGTTATCATGCTCAAAGGCAACTTTATTTCTTAGACATCTGTACATTCCTAGCCCTAGCAGCATCTATCAGCCTATTCATGATCTAGTTCGCTTTGCTCTAGCTTGGTGTAGGCCGAGAGGGCCCCTCAGATAACCAGCGGTACCTCATGAAAGGGCAGAGGAAGCCCTAACAAGCACAGCACGGCAGGACAGGGCGAGATGACCCCGTGAAAGTGAGCTCTCAACAACAAGAAACCAGGGTTCCCTCACATCCTTGCCCTTTCTCACTTCCTGGAAACCGCAGGGACAGAAGAGTTAGCCGTCGACAAGCAGGACGTCGACTTGGTCAGCTTATGCGCTGCTCGGGGGGGGTTCTCGGGCAGCTGGGGGATGGCGGGGATCTTAGCCACCTCTTCGAACTGCTTCCGGGAATACTTCTTGTGAACCGCTGCGAGATTCCCGGTGCCTGCCTTCCCGTGCAGAGCAACAAGCTGCGCCACGCACGGCCAGAGTGCAGCCTCGTCGTAACCCGTCAGCCACGCCATACCAGGGCCCCAGACCTCCCCAGCGCCCGCCGAGCCTGCTCCCGTGGCTGTCTTGTTGGCGTGGTGCGCTGTCAGGAGCGCGGCGTAGACCGAAGCAGCAGCCGCGTGTGACGGACTGAACTTGATCATCGAGTGCTCCGGCAGGGTCAGCTCGAGCAGGTACCACGCCAGTGCGTGCACCCGCGCGTCCGCTCCAACGGTCACTGCGTTGTCAGCACCAGCACCGGCAGCAGCAGCGGCGTTCGCGGCGGCGGTCGCGGCCTTGAGGAAACGCGCGGTGAAGACGTAGGCGGTGGGGATGGTGAGCTTGAACTTGAGCGTGTTGAGCATGTCCTTCTCCATCTTCAACACGTCCTGCCGCGTGTACGCGTTATCGCAGATGTACACGAAATCGCCGACCTCGGGAGCCCAGATCTCCTCATACTTCGACGCGATCAGCATGGCGGTAATCCCCACCAGCTGCAGGCTCCGGCGAGGCACCGGCGTCACCGCCAGGTACCTATCGATGACGCTTGTAGCGAGGAAAAGCGTCTCCGGCATGAGCTTGAACTTGAGGTGCACCTCGATGAGCCAGTCGACGAGGATCGCGCGCATCGTGCCGTTGATGTCGCTCTGACGGTTCATGTAATCGGGAGCCACCATGCCTTCAGCCTCCGTCCGCCTGTAGAAGTTGTAGATATCCGCGACATAAGCCGTCTCGGCAAGAGGGTTGGTCTTGTCGGCAGCGTCGATGTCCCACCAGGCTTCCCTCTTAGCGGAAACGGAAATGGCAGCGGCGGCGGCGGCGGCGGCGTTCATTGCGGTGACCGTGGAGAGCACGCTCGCTTCCTCGCTGACAGCTGTCAGCTCGGCGGTCATGGTGTGCACGTGGCGGGGCTCTTCGATGTCCACGTCACCCGGGATGACCTCTTCCACTTCGGATTTGACCGTGATGGTGCTGACGGCGCTGGTGGTCTGAACTGACTTGGTCGCGGGCTGCGGCTTCGGCTGTGATCAGAAAGAACGGAACAGAAGACGTCAGATGACGACATCAACAGACGACGGAACGTGAAATGCGTCAACGACAGACGAGAAGCGGCGACGAGTGTTGGAAAACTTACCACAACAACGGAAACGCGACCAGGGACCTTGGCGGCGGGCGCTGCGCGTTGGCGGGCGGGCTCGGCCTTCTTCCTGCAAGAGTCAGAAGAGCGGACGACGCGTTAGAAACGAATTCTACAAAATTATGAAAACATATGCAAGAGTAAATGGAAAAAGTAATACAAGAAAAGGAGTTGCGAGAGAGAGTTAGAGGTTCTTACTCTATCTTTCCGCCGGCGGCGGCCTTGGAGCCCATGTTGTTGGTGAGCGTGCCGAACGCCCGTCGCGGGGGAGGGACGACATGGCCGGATCGGAGCTTCATCGCGCCGAGCTCCGGTGCTATAGCCGCGGAGGCGTTCTTGCCTGCCAGCCGTTTCCCGTCCAGCACGCGGTTCTCGTCGTTGGCCGCAAGTTGGGAGGTCACTCGGGTGGCCATGGCTCGAGATAGATCGAGGATCCGAAAAACTGTTGACTAGGTAGTACGTCCCAGAAAGAAGGACGTGCAGCGCTAAAGGCTGCAGCCTCTGGGCGTTAGGTGCCGATCGCAATAGCGGACTGAGAAACGCTGAATGACCTCGCAAATCAGGCTAAGTTACTGTCAAGCAAGCATTCGAGTCGTACTGTGGCAGTCGAAGAGAGGGGAAGCGACTGAGAGACTGCGGAAGTGGGCACAGGGGCACGAGAGCGCACTGGGTGAGTAGGCCGACAAGAGGGGAAGTGGATGATCGGAGAATGAGGAGGGTGAGGTAGTTATGTAGTGACCGAACCTTGTTGTGTTGAATAAGGGGATATGGTTGCAAGGGATGGAGGAAAGCGGCTGGTGCAGTGATCTCCAGTGCGGTACAGAAGTGGTTGGATGGGTAAACACTTTGGCGGAGGCGGGCCGCGTGCAATTCGTGTGCGTCACCAAATGCGGCTGGGTGGTGCGGCTCGGCTCGAAGGCAAGCATTTTCGCTTTGCGCCAAACGGCCGCCCTTTGCGGCTGGAGGGTGGAACTTCGGGCAAACGGGAAACTAGAATGTCTGGACCGAGGGCCAACGATGGCACTGTTGAAGCCCGATGAAGCCCGATAAGCCGTCCGATGACAAATTGATTCTGGGAGGAAAATTTCTCAACCCAGAAAAGGCAGTGCCCGCTGGTTGTAACGGGGTGAAACCGGGAGAGGAAAGATCGAGGGTACAATCAACCGTCCGATGTGGACAATCGATTTGTACGAGCCGTTGATGGAAGCTCAGCGCAGCACAGGCCCATGCCATGATGGTTCAATTTCGAAATGAACGGCCATGAGGCGATGACGATAGAGCGGGAAGTTTGAATGCGACGATTTGAACGGCTCTTGGACAGGCGAAAGCCAAAGCAGAAGCACAACCCCGCCACAAACCAAACTGGCTGTCAGTCATTTGGGGCCGAAAATTCAAACGCCTGATAAGTCCACTTCGACAGCATTTAGTTACCAAATATTTTTGACAAGCTACTTCATGGAAAATGATTAATATTGGTACAATATAAGAATTGTTATGGAAATGTTGGGAACGCAACTTAAGGTATACACGAAGGGTACTAAGTAGATGCCGGAAGGGTCCATCCAGGAGGAACCGGGCCATAGTCCGATATGATCTCTCGATGGCACGACCAGACCAGGCGAATGGCTTCAGGAGTTCCAATTCCTGCACCTCGAGGATCATTAGCAGGTCCGAACCTGGAAGGCCCAACGGAGAAAGGAGAACGTCGTAGTGCTCTGTTTCACGGCCATGCAACACCAGAAAATGCCATCCCAGCCACGTCCATAGCAAACCGTGCATCACATCCCACATGTCCATCATTTACCCATCAAACCTACACTCCCCGTCCATCCCATGCCGCCAATGTCATTCTCACCAGTGATTCTGTGGTGCCCCTGTGGTTCTCGCCCGCAGCCCGACATAGGTGGTTCCATTCACTGTGTTTGCCAGCACATGCTGAAGTGGACGAGAGTAGTGCGATTGAGGTGTTGGAATAACATGTACGAGAATAGTGCAAGGGAGGTGTTAGAATATCGAAGGGAAGGATTGTTCATAGAAGTACGAGTGAGAACGAATGTTGACACTTGTGAATGCAGATAAGCGAAAAGGTCCTGGCATGACATGCAGAGGTGCAGGAGTGTTTTGAGTCACCAGGCATTAAGTACGATAAAAAGCACTGTCAGAAGACTCAAGAACCACCCGGCTCCAAAAACAGAACTTCACCTGCAGGAAGATGGGGTCGTTGGAGACCACAGCAGCGGTGAGATGAGCTGTCATCCTCTCATTGGCCTCCAAGACCAGGTCAATCTCGCTGTCGTCATACTCCGTCACCACCTGCACAGGGGGTGGGGGGGGTGGGGGGGAGGAGGAATTTGGGAGGTGTCAAGTCAACAAGAACAAAACTTGTTAGTGGCAAACTCCGCCCCTGAAACTGGAAGGGCAAGAAAAAAAGCTGCCCCCAAACCACAAACCGAATACAACATCATAACAAACCAGATCACTAAAATCTCACATATTTGGGTAAGTGCCAGTGCCCACGTGGCACTATACAACCCACCTGGATGGGCCCAAACACCTCCTTAGTGGCAATCTCGAAATTCTTCCGGCTCTCCAGCATGGCTTTAAGCGGCACAAACACAGCTGTTGGCTCCACCGCGCCATAGCACTTGGGAATGCTGTGCTGCCCCCCCTGCAGTTCCTTCCCGCCAAACTCTAAACGGGCTCCAGGGATGGAGAGAAGGTCGTTCACGTGGCTTAGGAACGCCTCTGTTGTCACCTGTGGGGCGTTGGGGAGAGAGGAAAAGGGGGAAGACATCTCAGTTGGCTCCACGGTGCCATAGCACGTGGGTATGCTGCGCTTCCCGCCCTGCAGCTCCTTCCCCCCGAACTCCAGGCAAGCCACGGGGATGGAGAGAAGTGCGTTGAAGTGGCTTAGGAGGGCGTCTGTCGTCACCGCGTGGGGCGTGGTGTGAGGGGGAGAGGGGGACGGGGAAGGAGAGGTAAGTGTGGAGACGAGGGCTCGAAATTGACAGACGAGCGGGACATGGCACACTCGCTACAAGCACACTCAGTAGAAGCACACTCAAAAGAAGCACTCACTGTAAGCACAGGACCAATGGTGAGGTCTTGAAGGTTGCGACGAGCGGCCAATGACCGAACGCGATCCAAAATGCCTGCTTGCACCCAGTTCTGATGTCGGGAAGGAAGCGCAAGCGAGGAGGGAGGAAGACGAGGAGGCAGGGCAGGCAATCCGGAATATGGCGCTTTTAAGCAGAGATGACGGAGAAGAGGAGGAAGCCTCGCCTTGTGCATGTAATAGAGTGGTGGAGTAACTTGTGCATGAAGAGAATCGCCCTATAATGAGGATGGACTCACCTTGTGCATGAAGAGAATGGACTGGGCAGAGCATTTCTGACCGCTGCAGGCGTATGCATCCTGGTCACACACCCATGCCACGTAGTCCAGCTGGCAAGCGCGGGGAGTGGGAGGAGAGGGAAGCAAACAAATCGTTTCGATACCCGTCTACCAACAGTCTACAGCCGAGACCCAACACCCGACACCCGACGACCAAGACCCGACACCCGACACCCGGCATCCGACACCTGACAGCCGGCAGCCGATGCCCGACGCCCGGCAGACGACAACCGACTACCGACACCCAACAACCGACACCCGACACCCGACGCTCGACGCCTGACAGACGACACCCAAAAACCGACAACCAACACCCAACAACCGACACCCGACAGCCAACAGCCGACGCCCGACGCCCGACGCCTGACGCCTGACGACCGACGCCCGACAGCCCACACCTGACACGCAAGACATCGGACAGCCGACAGCCGACACCCACCACCCGGCACCTGACAACCGACAACCGACACACGACACCCGACACCCGGAGGCCGACAGCCGACGCTCGACGCGCGACAGCCGACAGCCGACAGCCAACGCCCGACAGCCGACAGCCGACAGCCGACGCCCGACAGCTGACAGCCGACAGCCGGCAGCCCGACAGCCGATAACCAACAGCCGACAACCAACAGCCGACAACCAACAGCCGACAGCCGACACCGGACAGCCGACAGCCGACAGCCGATGCACGACAGCAGACAGCTGACAGCCGACAGCTGATGCCCAACAGCCGACACCGGACATCGGTCAGCCGGCAGCCGACACCCGGCACCCGGCAGCCGACAGCCGACACCCAACAACCGACACCCGACAGCCGACAGCCGACGCCCGACGCCCGACAGACGACAACCGACTACAGACGCCGGACACACGACACCCGAGACACGACAGCTGACAGCCAACGCCAGACGCCCGACGCCCGACAGACGACAGCCGACAGCCGACAGCCGACAGCCGACACCCGACACCCGACACCCGACAACCGACAACCGACAGCCGACACCCGCCACCCGACAGCCGACAACCGACACCCGACACAAGTAACAAGAGTAGAACAGCTAAGGAAGGAGCACTACCCACTAACACCACTCCCACCACTTGCCCCCTTCACGTTCGGCCCCAGGATCTTGCAGTCGAATCCAGCGATTGGGGCACAAGCACGGACTGCACAGCGATGCTCACAACTACACCGCTCCAAAGCCTCACCTCTTTCACATGGGGCCCCAGGATCTTCCAGTCGAGCCCGGCGTCCTCCAGCTTCACCTTGCCTCGCCTTGCTCCTCAGATGAGCGCACCATAAATTCCCAAGGACCTCATTCTCCCCAGCATTTCATACTGCCTCACCTCTTTCACATCGGGCCCCAGGATCTTCCAGTCGAATCCAGCGTCCTCCAGCTTCACCTTGCCTCTCAGGTCCTTGGCCAGTATTTCGGCGATTCGCGCACTGCCTGTGAACTGAGTCACGGCCGGCTGGGACTGCAGTAGTAATGGTGTAGAGAGGCAGAGGGGAGAGGGGAGGGCAGCAAGGCAAGTGAAGAAGAAGAGCAGATACAGATGTGTCAAAGACTCTGCATTGCTGACTGGTACCATCGAACCAGTATGACCGAACCTGCATCCTGAACCTGCAGCGGCAGCTGTGGATGGCTGGCCCGTCATGCGGGCAGCGAACAGAGTGCAACCATATCAACGGGGAAGTATACTGTATGTGCGCTGTATCTGCATGCCATACCTGCATGCCATACCTGCATGCCATGCCTGCATGCCATACCTGCATGCCATACCTGCATGCCATACCTGCATGCCATACCTGCATGACCATGCCTGCATGCCATACCTGCATGCCCAAACCTGCATGACCATACCTGCATGCCATACCTGCATGACCATACCTGCATGCCATACCTGCATGACCATACCTGCATGCATGCCATGCCTGCATGCCATACCTGCATGACCATACCTGCATGACCATACCTGCATGCCATACTTGCATGACCATGCCTGCATGCCATACCTGCATGCCATACCTGCATGACCATACCTGCATGACCATGCCTGCATGCCATACCTGCATGCCATACCTGCATGCCATACCTGCATGCCATACCTGCAAGCCCTACCTCCATGCCATACCTGCAGCAGCTGGTGCAAGACGGGTGCAACCATATAAACGGAGAAGCATGCTGTCTGTGTACGTACATACCTGCAGCAGCAGCTGGTGCATGACGGGCCCGTCACAATTGATGTAGTCCACGTCAGCATGCGGCATGCCACACGCGTGCAGCAGGCGCAGAGCTTGCTCCATCACCACTGCCACCTGGGAGAGTGTGTGGGGGGAGGGTTGGGGGGTGTGAGTGTGGGTGGGTTAGCAAGGCACCATGAATCGCACCACACTGCATCACACCACATCAAACCCCGGCGGACCTTGGAGTCCATGAGATAGACTAGAGCATTCTGCATGTACAGCAGAGGATTGTTTCCCATGTACAGTGCACTTATCAGCTGAAGCATACCGAATCGCACTGCATTACACCACATCATACCTTGGAATCCACTTTGAGCAGCGGTTTATTCCCCATATACAGCGCACCCATGAGCTGAAGCATGGGGATCTCCAGTGGGAAATTGAAGGGCGAAATGATGGCCACCTGGAGTGGCGGAGGAAAAAAACAAGCAGGGGTTGTAACTTGGATGCACGTAACAGTGCACGGTGCACGTCAAACAGAGCACCCATCAGCTGAAGCATTGGGATCTCCATGGGGAAGTTGAAGGGCGAAATGATGGCCTCCTGCAATGGTTGAAAACGACAAAAGAAGGGTTTTGACATGTTTAGAACTTATTGCCTGCTAACAGTGCGGTTAAAAGTGCAGTCACAGAAGGCCGCCGGGCTGAAGCATTGGGACCTCCAGAAGGAGATTGAAGCGCGAATGATGAGAAACTGCAGGCTGGAAATTCGTGCTTCAATCTCCTTCTGGAGGTCCCAATGCTTCAGCCCGGCTGAAGCATATATGAGGAGCGTTTTGTGATGTCCTTTAAAGCGCTTGTGGTAGCACGAACCCAGGAAAAATAACCATGAACAGTGCAAAGTTAGCGGTGCAATAATGAATAGGGTGCTACAGGCACTTACCGGGCCATAGGGCCATCTGTGTCCGGAGCTCGTTTGGCCCGTGTGGTCGCCAGGCACGGCAAACGACCGAGCCAAGAACCGAACCTGGTGAGGGAAGAAGATGAGGATAGGAAGAGAATCGCTTAGAGATAATCGATCAGGTACGGCGGCTTGCATGCCGGCGGTACGGCGGCCATGCTTACATGTACGCTGTACGCTGGATGCGGGATGCTGAATGTGGGATGCTATGGTGTGGTGCCACGTCATCATATATTTTTGAGGCGCCTCAAAAATAGACTCCTCACCTATGGTGTGGTGCCACGTCATCATATACATATACTTGGGTGCACTTTCATTCTTCCAGGTAGCAAGAAAGCTGAGTCAAGAAGCAACGGCACTGAAGCAGAGGCTCCTGAAATCCTCCTGCTCAGCTGTGCAGACACACACAGATATACTCGCCTGGTCGCCCGAGAAGTTTTCCAGAAACTTCTGTGTCACGGAGACCTCGGCCCGCGCCTGAAACAGGCTCTTGGGCGACACCCTCTGGATGAGGCGGGCAAAGAATTCAGACACCTGGGAATGCGGAAGGGGGGAGAGGAGGGCTTGTGCGAGTCGAGGTTCTGTTATCAGGCGAAGGCTGAAACAGGCCCTTGGGAGGGGTCCTCTGGATGAGACGGTGGAGGAAGTCAGACACCTGGGAAGTTGAGGATCCTAGGGGAATGATGGAGTTTGGTGGAGGGGGGGGAGAGGGGTTGGGGGTAAGCGATGACGGACTGGGGGGATTGGTGAACAATGAGTGTTAGAGTGAACGACAAAGAAACATCGCAAATGGATCATCGTGAGCTTGGCTTTGGCTTCACTCCAGATAGAAGTTCTCCACACCCCATTATCTTGGGAGACACGCCATCTGGCTGAGCCAGCCGAAATAATCATACAGCTGGGAAGTTGATGTTTTCTGGAAATTTTGGATTTGTCGGGGGGAGACGGGGGGGGGGAAGGGGGGGGAGAGGGGGGGGGGAGGAGGAGGACGAACAGATAGGCGGATTGACGAATAATGAGTGTTAGAGTGAACGACAAAGAAACATTGCAAGTTGATTACCTTGAGCCTTCCTCCACTTCGGATAGAAGATCTTCACTTCCCAATATCTTGGGATCGCCTTGAGCTCACCTTGGGATCGCGTTGAGCTCACCTCGGGCTTCTTGAGAGCGTGGGCAGCAGCAGCAGACACAGAGCCGTACAGGAGATACCTGAGAGAAGACCATAGAGAGAGTGTGGAACGGATTCATGGGATGGCGAAATTCCATTCCATAGCCATGGGTTTATCAGATGGCGCACATGGGTTTATGGTGGCTCTCACATCTGCTATGTAGCATGCACATAGCAGCCAGTCGGTAAATCCATATTCGTACTTTGCCTTTCAGCTCGTTCATTCACCTGCTTGGGTTCTTGAGTGGGTTGTGCAGGCCGGACTTGGGGCACTGCGAAAGGCTTCCCATCTGCTATGGAGCACGCAGATAGCAGTTACTATTGCTGTTTTTAGACACTCTCACCTGCTTGGGTCTCTCACCTGCTCGGGTTCTTGAGCGGGTTGTGCAGGCCGGACTTGGGGCACTGAGAGAGGCTCTCCACAAACGGCTGTGCTCAAGAAGGGACCATGGGGAGAGACCAAGGACAAGAAGGAAGAGAATCGGGCAGGGGTAAGGAAAAGCAACCAAGGGAATCGAAATCCAGTATCAGGGCAATCCAGTATCAGGGCAATAAGAGAGGATGTTCGCTAAGTGGGGAGGGAGGATGAGAATTTCACACATTCATGTCGCCTGAATGCCACACGCCCAGACACGAACACCAACACAGACGAATTCATCCCCCCTGGATCTCATCCGCCTGTGCGTCCAGCAGTGAGATAATATTTTAGGCGCTTCAAAAATAGTCTCCTGTACTTCCGGCACTGAGATCATATCCCTTCCACCAGACTCACACACACTCACTCATACCCGCACGCCCCCACACACAGGCACACAAAGAACTCCCTCCCCCCCCCCCTCCCCCCCCCCCTCCCCCCCCCTCCCCCCCCCCCTCCACCACACCCCACCCCACCCCACCCCACACACACCTACATCTCACCTGAATCTCATGTGCCTGTGCATCCGGCACTGAGATCATATCCCTCCCATTCAAGGGATCCACAATCACCGCTCTCCGCTCACTGCCCCTCCACTCCCCACCCACTGCCACCGGAAGGGGATGGGGTGAGAGCAAGGGAGTTCACATATCCTGTGCATGATGTGACGTGACACGTCTTGAAAGCCTATGTGGTCGGACCCATAACCATATCCCTCCCATTCAAGGGGTCTACAATCAACGCGCTCCTCTCACTGCCACAGACAGAAGGGAGGGGCAGAAAGCAGGGCCCTTAAAAGCATATCCAAACACTGGGAGCGACGAGAGTGGGGAGTGCTCTGGGGGTCAGGAGGAGTGGGGTGAGGAGGAGTGGGGTCAGGAAGGATTTCAAATCTCACTGAAACTAGAGGTCCACGGTAAGAGTGATTTTAGCTTTTACCGAGGTTGAAAATCTTGGAGTCGGAGGCTTGTAGCGAAACGGGGTCGACTGTAGCGAAGTCCAGGCCGGACAGGGAGGAGAGGAGCCTGGGAGAGGGGCAGCGGAGAAGGGGGAAGGGACAGGTGGCATGGGGGAGAGGGGGAAGGGACCGGTAGCATGGGGGAGAGGGGGAAGGGACCGGTGGCATGGGGGAGAGAGGGAAGGATGGGGAAACAGGAAGGCCGTGACGGGAAAATCATCGGGAGAAAAACGGAAGGAAATAACGGTACTTGAGATGTCTGAATCTTAAAGGTACACGACGCGTCGGTGGCTTTAAGTGGGACTTACTCCTGGAAAAGAGCTGACTTTCGAGTCGACGCAAAAGTCAGCTCGTTACAGGAAGAGCGAATGCCGAATGTGGATCTTAGCTGCTGAAAGAATGTGTCTTAAAAGGTCGAGGATAGAACGAGGAGCGCAAGCATCCCTCACTCGCTACTACCCTTCCCGGACTAAGACCACTCGCTACTCGCTAAAGTTTACCTCGAAGAGGCGAATGACCACGTCATCCCGTGCCGCGCGCGACCCGCAAGGGCCATCGCTTGGCGACGCGACGCCGTCGAAAGCATCGCGGGTCGCTTTGCCTTCCGGGCGATAGGCCGAGACGGCAGGACGGACCAGCTGGCTTGAATGCGAAACCCGGACCAGCGAGAACCTAGATTCGAGCCTTATTCGAGGGTACCCTGATTGTGGTGGCGCTAATTCAAGCCTAGATTCAATTTCGTTGTGGTCGAATTCAGAACATGCAAAAACGGCAAACTGTCATATATAGAAGGGCTACGCCTTTTACAGAAATTTGTAAAATGTGTAGAATAAGTGATTGAAACGCGTATGTATGTTCAGGGGGCCAGTGAGCGCCCTCGTTGGGCGATAGGTTGTCCCATTTGCTTGTGCGATAGTCGCAAGCAACAATTCAGGCACGTCGTTTCGCCCAGGTGCCACACTTCCAGGTTGGCAGCTTCTTTCTGCGACACCCCAGACCACCTGGCGCCCCCCTGCAGACGTAACAGCCAGCCTCGGCGACACTCAGCGAACCACTGCTGGTCGCGAACACTTGGTGGGGGCGGCTCGCCTCAACCACCATGCGACGTCCGGCCAATCACGGCCAGCAGAATGAAGGCATGACACTTAGGGTGTATTCTGGATCTCGTTTTTGACACGAGTGTCATACGGGAATACCCGAGGTAAAATTAAGATGCCTCGGGTCTCACGACTCCTGACGGCTGCTTGACTGGAAGCACACCGTTTGCAGACAAATCTACCGGAATTGAAATGGCGCAAGTGCATCGCCCGCCAATGTACACCTCCCGTTTCGCGTTTGCAAAACTCTGTGCGGTTTTCTGTACATTGTCAACTCGTGTTGCGACTTTCTGCACTCTGTAGGCGCACGACAGTCAAAGTCACTAGACCCGAGATTGAGCCTCTAAACCCGCGGCTTCTTCGACCGCGGGTCAGCCCCGGGTCTTCTCAGAGGTGCAAAACCTGCCCTGAACTATTTTCATAACGCCCCATCAGCAAGGTGCTTCAACAACCCCGAAGACCAGACCTCTGAAATTCTTTTTTCCAGTTGCGTTTCCCAGAGCGGAATTTTCCGTATCCTCTCTTCTCGCATCACCACCCAACAATTCAAACTTATTCCAAGCAGATTTCGTGTATCCCAAGAGCTGCAAATACTGTAACTGCTTCTCGTTTCGTAAAAGTCACCGTAGTGCCCAGCTAATTTTAAAGCAATCAGCCTCTCATATACAGGACGGTTCGTACCACCTGCTCTCCTCTGCTGTTGTGTGGCTGCCCTGCCCTCCCCGCCACCCGTACCACACCCCCCCACCCACCCCCCTTCCCCCCCATCTTCGGGTAAGTTCTACTGCCGTTAGAACAGTCATCCACCCTTCCTCCCTCAGCCAAGCATTTTGCGATACACTTATCTTGCGCTATTTTCTCCTTCCTTTGTAGCTTGTCGTGTTCTGGATTGTAGCTTGTCGATAGCGCAACAAAATGTTGTCGTATGCGCTGTAGCTCGTCGTTTGCGCAAGGGTAGCGCGGCTTGAGAAGTTGCTGGGTGAGAAAATGGCGCAGGTTAGGTGTAGTTGCCAGTGCCGCAATACTTGCACGGATTCTCTAGCTTGAGGTTTTTTGCTTGGCGAGTACAAGTTGGTGGAGACCGCGGCAATCCCGACTCGACAAGGAAACCTAGCTAGCATCCCCCCTAACCTTCCCGCTCCTCACGAAGCAGCAACAGAGCCGCAGGAGGAGCATCAATAACAGCTACTATCCGCTTTGCCCGAGAAGCAGTAGCATAAGCCCAGATTCCCCTTGACTATCCACTCACAAGTCGGTGCCATGGCTGCCTCCCACCGCCACAGGTCTCGCATCGTTCGCCGAGTAACCATCTTCGGAGAGAGGGCTTTCTTTCGCTCGCTCCTCCTCCCCCTCGTCGCCCTCCTCCTCGTCACCTGCGCGAGCTGCCTCTCCTTCGCGATGTCGTGCGACGAAGTGTTCGCCTCTCGCGAAAACGACTTGACCAGTAACCACGGCCCGCGAAGGCGGTTACAGCAGGACGACGCGGAAATCCCCCCTGCTGACGACAGCTCTGTGGAGTGGTTAATGGAGAGGGAGGAGGAGGACGACGCGTCAGGGGGACTAGGGCTAGGTCGCAAACGCCATGGCTCGTTGCTGGACTTAGTGCGAAATGCAGATCTCGGTGAGGAGTCCTTGGGCGAGCCGATTGAGCGACAGGGGCTGTCGCCGGGCGACGCTGGCGACGGGGCTGCGAATGAGGCTGGCGACGAGTGGAGTCCCGATGACGGCGTTGCGTCGAGTCACGGCGATCAGGCGAAGGTTTCGAAGCCGGTTGCGAAACATCAGCGACAGAAGTTACCGTTTTCGATACACTCGAACACCCTCCGAAGTTACCGGCTGACGCTGTTACATCCTCCGGGGACAAAATACCAGCCGGGCAAGCCAAAAAATGGCAAGAAGAAAAAGGTTCTTTCCTGGCACATCTGTAAGGGAGCGGGTAAATGCCCCGATTTAAGGCCTTGCGGCGGCTACCAACCAGAAATCGACGCGTGTTGGCACGAGGATTACATGGGCGAAACTGACTCGCTCGCGAGTCAACAAGACGACTTAGCCTATCAGATCTGGCGCAAGCAGAAAAATCCGGGCGCGGAAACGTATCCCTCAACCGTTTTCCGGGCAAGACGGTACAGACTCGCAAATAACCCTCTGGAATCCTGTGTAGCGAACGTGAGCGGGAAGTTACCCGGGGAACTGCTGCGCCCGGGGTGCTGGGCGCTGGAGGGGGAAGGCGCGGAGGCGGTAATGCGGAGAGCCAAGGGGGGAGGGGCGGAAGAGGAGCGCGCGGAGTGGGCCGGGCAGGTTTTTGTCTTGCGGGACGTGTTTGTGAACCATTTCGGGCAGGTGTTTAACAAGACGCACCTGTTCGACACGGGCGGCTGCAACTGGAAAGCCAAGGTATGCTTGTAACGGGGACGTTAGATAGTGCTTGTTGATGGCTGCACTTGTAATGCCGGTTCGCTTATAAAGGGGATGGCGTGCAGTGATCAGCGCCCGTCCCACCAAGTCTTAAAAATGTCGCTTACTCTTTGCTTGTCGCCATATCCTTCCCCTCACTCCTCCTTCTGCTCCATCCCCCTCCTGTTAACTTCACGTACACCAAGCAAGAAGCAGCGACCAGCGCTCGTATCACCCGGTCTCAGAGAGGCTTACTCTCTGCTCTACTCTTGCCCATCCCTCTCTTTGCCCTCCCTCCTCCTCTCCAGTTCACGTACCCCAAGGACGCGCCAGTGGTGGCGCACAAGACAGTCGTGAACCTAATGGTAGCCCGGAGCGACCAGCGCTCGTACCACCAGGTCCTAGAGAGGCTCCCCCTCCTGCACGTGCTGCGCAAGATGACAAAGAACGCCGCCCTCAAGGACGCACACGTGGCCCTGCCGTCCTCCAGGGTGAGCAAGAAGGGGGGAGGAGGGGGGTAGGAGGGGGGGAGGAGGGGGGTAGGAGGGGGATAGGAGGGGGGAGGAGGGGGGTAGGATAGGAGGGGAGGGGTGGGGAGAGAAATGATTTTTTAGCAATCGCAAAAATCACCGACGACACGAAGGGGGGAGGAGGGGGGGATGGGGAGGGAAGGGAAAGGGTCGTTTTCTTTCTCTTGGGAGGGGAGGGAGGGGGGGGGAGAAGAGGAAGGAGGGGAAGGCAGGGAGAGGCGAGACAGCTCAAGGGATTGAGATGTTGTTTGAGGAACACAGACAGCCGGGCTTGCACTGCATGCAAAGGAGCCTACACACACACACACACACACACACACACACACGCATGCACGCACGCATGCACACACACACTCACACACACACACACGCACGCACGCACTCACGCACACACACACTCTCTCACACACACACACACACACACACACACACACACACACACACACACGCACACTCATCTCCCCCCCATCCCCGCTCTCCGTGAGGAGTCTATTTTTGAGACGCCTCAAAAACACACAGACATCCGGGCTTACACCTCAGGCAAAGGAGCCTACACTACACACCCTCGTCTTCCCCCCACCCCCGCCTTCCCCCCACCCCCGCCTTCCTCCCGCGCCCAGTTCCGCGCCTCTCTCGCTCACAGTCTTATTCTCCCTTTCCTCCCCCATGCACCAGGGCCTGCGTTGTATGCTGTCCAGCATTCTCGATTTTTACCTGCCCTGGGCGCCCTTCCCCTTCAACACGCCCAGCACTCTCCTCATTCCCCCCCTTCCTCCCCTCCCCCCCCCACTTGCTGTCTCCCGCTGTATGCTCTACAGGGTCTGCGTCGAATGCTGTCGAGCATTCTCGACTTCGACCTGCCCTGGACGCCCTTCCCCTTCAACACGCCAAACACTCTGCTCTTCGCCGAGTCTCTCATCCAGCCGCTCTCGGAGCACTGCGACGAGCCTCAGCACTCTGTTTGGCGCGACATCCGAGCCTCGCTCTTCGACCCGCACCACCCGTGCCACCCCCGAACCTCCTCCATTTCTCCCCCAACCTCCCTCTCCCTCCCCTCGGCCCTCCAAGCCCACCATCTCTTCCTCCAATCCTCCGTTCAAGCGATTCAAGACGCGAAAGCCGCCCAGAATCCGGGCAGCAAGGAAAAACTTTCCGTGAGCTACCCGACGCCGTTTTTGGCCGGCGTGCTGCCCATGCTTGACGTGGATTTGGAGGAGGATGAGGTGGCGTGGGCAGCGCTGCCGAGTGATTGGGTGGTGGTGGTGGGGCTGCAGGGACTGCATAACCGGGCGGATGCCGAGGCGATCAAGAATGTCGTTTTGCAGCATTTCCCCGCGCACCGGATCGCCAGTTACTGCTCGAGCATGACTGTAGACGAACGTGAGTATAAATAGAGTGCGAATGTGGGTATAATAGGGTGTTAATATGGCGAAGTGAGTTGGTGAGTTAATACGGAGAATGTGACTGTAAGAGAGGGACTAGGGTTTGCTTGCGCACCGAGTAGCGAGGGCCTAGGGTTTCTCTAACCCTACTACCCCACTTCTTGCCTCCCTGCCTTTTTCTCTCCCTTGGATTGCAGTGCGCTACCTCTTCTCCCGAACAGCACTGTGCATCACAGTATCCGACAGCGCCCTCATGCATCTCCATCTCAATGCCACCGGCAACTCTTCCCTAACCCACTTCCTTCTTCTTTTTCTGCCTTTCTCCCCCCCCCCCCCCCCCCCCCCCCTTGGGTTGCTTGCAGTGCGCAACCTTTTCTCCCGCACAGCACTGTTCATCACAGTGTCCGACAGCACCCTCATGCACTCCATCTTCATGCGGCCGGCAACTCTTGTCCTGGAGCTCCGCCACCCTTCCGCCCAGCGCTTTCCGTCCTACTCCCTCTCCTCCGTCCTCCGCCTTCAACACTACATCTCCGTTTGTAGCACTAGCCCCTCTTTTGGAGGGGAAGAACCGGATGTAGACCCGGCAATGGCGGCTGTGGCAGGGGGAGGGGCCGAAGGCGAGAACTCCCCTTTATTTTGCGACCTGGATCATGTGAAAGAGGTGGTGGATAGAGCGGCGCACTTTGTTTACCTAAGCGAGGCTGCTTATGTGGAGACATCTAAGCGGCTTACCAGGAGGAAGTGGGGGGGAGGTGGGGCGGCGACAGGATCAAATCTTGCCGTGCCAATGCTACAGGCGGCTACATCCGAGGGGGTAGATTGGGACTTAACCCTTCCAGATTTTACAAGCTTCATCCCAGGTTCAGTTCTCCGCACACACGGGCAGGTCGAAAGTTTCCGGTCGTGGGCAGCGTGCGTCGGGCAGGAGGGGCGGTGGAAATTCGACGGCCGGCCGAGATTTTTACCGTGGCCTTATAAGGGACCCGGCACATGTGACACTAGAGCAGTTGAGACTATGACGGGGGTTATAGCTGTGAACGATGCTGATGATGTGGTAAGGAGAGGTGGGGCGCCCAGCGAGTGGAAGATCAGAGGGGAGCTGAAATATGTATGGGACGTGCCTAAAGGCACGTGTGACTATAAGGAGGTGGCTGGTAGTGTGGCGTCCGGAGAGGAGGGGTATGAGGAGGAAGGAGGAGAGAGAGGAGGAGAGGGAGGGGAGGGGGAGGAGGGGAGTGAGGTGATCGAGGGGGAGAGTGGGGGTGGTGGCGAGGAGGAGGGGTTTGACTCGCAACGCAGGCGGCTCTCTGAGGGGAGGAGAAAGAGATACAAGCACAGAAGAACCGGCAGCGGCAACAGCAGGGGGAATCAGCTGCAGCAGCAGCAGCAGGAGTCGCCTACCAGCAACAGCAAGCAGCCCTGGAAACCCTTCGACCCGCGCCGGTTCTGTGACCGAGTCGGCCGCGATCGAACCCTAGTCTTCGTGGGGGACTCCCTCCAACACCAGCTCTTCCAAGTCTTCATCGACTCCATGCTCATGGGGGTCCGAAAACCCTTCTCCTCCGAGCTCAATGAGACTAGGGAGGAATCTCCGGAGTGCAGCGGTTGGGTCCTCGGTCCCGCCCAGAAGATTTTCTGCCGGGATGTGACTTTCGATGATTCCATCTGCCCGGGGCTGAGAATAGTTTTTCTTCGGAACGACCATCTGCAGCTGGGGAATCCGCGGGAATTTTCGCATTTCGCGTGGACGAGGGCGCCGGTGCTGCCCGCTGCCGACGCGATTATACTGAACCGGGGGCCACACTATAGAGAGGACAAGGACTTCGAGCCGCACCTGCGCGCCACTCTCCTGTACCTCCGGAATCGATTCCCTGATAAGCTCATCATCTACAGGAACAGTGCGGGCGGGCACAAAGACTGCCCGAAATACCACAAGCCGATCGAAACCCCGCAGGACCCCAGCACTCTCCCGTTCAACTGGGACAAGTTTCCCCACCAGAACTGGATCTCTCAGCCCCTAGCGGAGCGGCTTGGAATGCCGTTTATGGACATTGAGCGGATGATGGCTCTGCGGCCCGATGGGCACACGGGGCAGCTCGCGAAGCTGGACTGCCTGCACTACTGCATGCCGGGCCCGCTAGATACATGGGTGCAGGTGATGGCGAACATGCTGGAGAAACTGCTGGCTCCCAGGAGGTTGAGGGAGTGAGGGTAGAGTGGGAGGGTGATGGGCGACAGACAGGTCTGATGGCCGGATGGGCACACGGGGCAGGGTGTGAAGCTGGACTGCCTGCACTACTGCATGCCAGGGCCACTTGACTCGTGGATGCAGGTGGTGGCGAATATGCGGGAGAAACTGCTGGCTCCCAGGAGGTCGAGGGATTGAGGGACTGAGGGTAGTGTGGGAGTGTGAGGGGGGACTGACAGCACTGCGGGACAGCTGGCGAAGTTACCATAGACAGCTGGCGAAGCCTGCACTACTGCATGCTGGGACCGCTGGACTCGTTGGCTCCCGGGAGGTCGAGGGTCTGAGAAGACGGTGGGGAGAGGCGCTGAGGGGGGTGGGGAGGAAACAGAGGGAATCTGGGCTGCCTGCAGTACTGCATGCCAGCACCTCTCGTCTTGTGGGTGCAGGTGATGGGCGAAAGAAATTGACGAGTAGGAGTGCAGGTGATGGGTGCAGGTGATGGGTGCAGGAGACAATTTTAGTACAACAATGGGGAGCATGCTGCACAGGGGGACTCGTCACTCGGGGGGGGGGGATGCGATCATGCGAGCAGGCTCAGCAACAGGGCACTGCATCCAATGGGTTACACTGAACAAACATCCACTAATGGACGTAAGCTTATGTTAATAAATGCTCGAGAATATTTTATTGATAAGCAGTTGTGCAGGTTAGGTTATTTGTGTTACTGTATGCTTAGATTCCTGTTTCTAGAGAAGCATATGACCAGAAGTGATAGAAAAGACGCCTTAAATGATGTTACTATTACCAAGTGTGAATATGTGAGTACGGCAAATCCCATTATGTAGGCAGTACGTAACATTCCAGCAAGGGACATTTTTGCCAAACTAGCAGCAGGCCACATAATCGAAACAACAGTAGCACCGAGTGAAAATCCAACTGCTACGTAAAACCAGATGTTAAAAGCACTTGCTGGAGACAATGGTCCTGCTGTAGAGATACAGCAGCAGAGATCAGATCGCAGGAATGGGGGACTGGGGGGGTGGGGGTGGTGGGGTCTAGGGGAAGCAACCCTTTTTGCCCGTCTCCCCCTTGCTCTCTCGGCTTCGTAGTTAATACAACGGCATCGACCGTCCGGCCCTGCCTCTTCCACGTCCTCTGCCCCTTCCCCTTCCCCTCCCCCTCCCCCTGCCCCTCCCTCTCCCCCTTACCTCCACCACCTCATCATCCTCTTCCTCCTCTCCCTCCATCTCCCCTCCCCCCTCCCCCTCCGCCTGCCCAGAGCCCCCCCTCCCCCTTCCTCATCCTCCCCATCCAACGGCTGAGAAAGCGCACCGGAAATCCTCGTCATCAGATCACCCAATCGACGGTTGGATCCTGCTCCCCCCCCTTCCCCCTCTTCCAACTCCTCCTCTTCCTCCCCCCCCACCAACTCATCTTCCTCATCCTCCTCCTCCCCTCCTAGCACGTCCCTACGTGCCCTCTGTGCCGCCCGGCCTGCCCCAATTTTGTCTGCACCTGGGGAAGATTCAACTGGAGCAGGCGCCGACTGGCCCACTGAGTACATGCGCAGGATATCCTCGCCAAGAGAAGATGCGTTAAACTGAGAACGCTTACCCTGCGAAGCAGCACCAGCAGCACGCGAACCAGATCCATAAGGGCTATCCCCTAGCCCACCGCCACCAGAACCCATGCCACTGCCCATACCACCACCATACCGCTGCTGCTGCTGCTGACCTTTCCAGCCTCCGCTGTCCCACCCGGCCCGCCCCATCCCACCACCCCCACCTCCTCTCCCCTCCTCCTCATACCCCCCCTCAAACCCCTCCTCGTCCTCCTCAAAATCCTCCTCATCCTCAAACTCGTACCTGCCACGCTTGTACCCACCACCACTCCCCCCAACCCCACCCTTCCTCCCTCCCCCCGCCCCCCCTGTAAGGCCACCTCCCCCCTGGAGGATATTCCCCATGCCAAATCGATTGGGGGTCAAATGAGCGGGCGACGCAGCCATAGCAGATGGATACAGGCCCCATCGATCCACACCGTACCCGCCACCACCCATTACACTCGCACCCATGACATTCGAAGCACCCATCACATTCGCCCCCATCACATTCCCCCCCATAACCCCTCCCATGTATCCCCCCATGCCCATCACCCCGGGCCCGGCCCCCATCATCCCACCCCCCAGGTATCCATACGCCCCTCCCCCACTCCCAACTCCACTGCTCCCATACCTTCCTCCGCTGCCACCACCACCCCCCCGGCCCTTCCTCCCTGCAGCACCACTCTGTGACACCTTCTGAGTGCTGATAGCCCCTCCTCCTAGGGCAGCAACCGTCCCTGCCTGGGGCCCCTCCTCCCCTTGCCTTGACCCCACTGGCCCACCTCCCTCCCCGGCTGTTCCCCGTGCCCCTACGGGCGATGGTGCTCGAGCCCGCTTCGACTTATGCCCAAGCTTGTCGATATTGTCAAGGAAGTACTTGGCTCGTTCCTTCCAGTTGCACTTCTCGTCCCGGGATCGCCGCGATTGGAGCAATCGGTCGAGTGCATCATCATCCAGAGAACGAAAGAACCTCTCATTGGTGAGAGCCTCCGGGCCATCGCGATCGATTAAGGCGCGGTCATACGCAGCTGCAGCGTCCTCTTCTGTGGTGTATAATCCGATCTTCCTCACCTTTCCGTGGTCTAGTTTGATCAGCGCCGCCCAGCGCTGCTTGTCCGGCATCCAGCTCACGCCCTTGAATAGGGACGAGCCACGCCGCCCCTGGAACACGCTGCTGACGTTGGTGCGGCGAACGTGGGTGAGAAATTCTTCGACAGTCATTGAATCGAGACGCGCCTTGTCCTCCTCGGGAAGAGGGTAGTTGGTGGGCGCGGTGGGGCCCTTGAGGCGGTACGCCACCCTGGTAGATGGGACAGAGGCAGGGGCAAGAGAGTATAGATAGAAGCAGAGGACGTGCATGAGGAACTCCTCCACAGCCATTAAATCGAGACGGGTTTTGTCCTCGTCTGGGAGAGGGTAGTTGGTGGGCGCTGTGGGGCCTTTGCGGCAGTATGCCACCCTGTGTTGTTGGTGGGATGGGAAGGGGCAAGGGTCGAAGTCAGAGCTCAAGAGATTGCGCAGAAGCACCGACACGCAAGGACGTCTTCTAACCACGTAGAAGGTAAATTAGTTTTTGAGAATTCTGAAAAACCAGCTTACCTCAAGAGATTGCGCAGAAGCACCGACATGCAAGGAAGTCTTCTAGCCATGTAGAAGGCGAATAAAAACATTCAGATCAGAAGCAGCAAAGGACGCCTCAACACACGACACGAGCACAACACAAAACACGCACATGAGAGAAAGGGAGATCCTGCTTGTCACAGAGCCACGCTGCCTCCTCCTCTGTATACTGCTGCCCGTAGGTATACCGCGGCTGCCCCGGAAACAGAGGACAGAAACAGGACTGTACAAAGAGGGCTCAGGGTAGAAGGAAGGAGAGCCGTACTTGTCATGGAGCTTTGCTGCCTCCTCCTCTGTATACCGCTGCCCGTAGTTATACCGCCGCTGCCCCGACATCAGAAACGCCTCCCACGCCCGGGTCCGTCCCTTAAACTCCACGCCCATGTATTTATCCGACAGGCGGTTCTTCTCCTCCTCTGGGTGCTCATGGATCCTTGGGCGCCCCCTCGGTCGCTTCCCAGAGTACGTCTGAGGGCCGTTGGAATCAGGGAGTCCGAAGGACGAGGTAGTAGCGGCTAGAGTGGAGACGGTGCTGATTTGGAGCGCGGAAGGCGCGCTGGCTGGTGTGAGGGGCAGAAGAGAGGCGCCAAGAGTGGGGGTTACTGCACCCCTGTTGTCCCCATCGCCCCCCTGCCCAGGGCCCTTGGCGGAGCTTGGGGTTTTAGGCCCCCCTCCTTCTCCTCCTTCTCCTCCTCCTGTTTCATCCTCGTCCTCTTCGACTGTATCCATCCAATCACGGCTCTGCGTGCCCCCTGCCTCCCCACCATCACCTCCACCCCCATTACCCCCCTCATCTGCATTCAGTTCCAGCATCACATCCTCATCATCTTCCCCCCCCTCTCCCGCTCCCTCACCTGCGCCTCCTGCAGCACCCCCCGCAGCACCCTGTGCCCCGCCCGGCCCAGCCTCAGCAGCAGCCAGCAGCTGCTCCACAGAAGCGTGCGCGTTCGACAACCCATCACCCCCAATCTCTCCACCTTCCCCATCGCCCACAGGACTCTTGCCATCAGCACCATCCGCACCAACAGCACCATCGGGACCACCAGCGCCACTAGCGTTGGGCCCTTCAACCCCGTCAGCCTTCTCGCCTGCACCGGCTTGCCCCTCCGCCGCATCTGCTCCTTGCGTCACCTCCCTTGCTGTACTCTCGCAAAACTCATCCCATTCCCCCTCAGCGTCATCCCCACCCTCCCCACCTGCATCCTCCCCATCGTCCGCCAGCCCAGCCATCTCTAAATCAATCGCTAGAGACTCCTCCTCGTCCCCCTCCCCTTTCTCCTTACCACTGCCCTCCACACCCGCGCCAGCAGCACCTGCAGCGTCAACGATCGCTCCTGTACCCTTCTCCCCGCCCCCCTGCGCAACCCCCTCCATCCACCCCACGATCTCCCCCTGCTCCCACTCATTCGCCATCCACTCGTCTATCTGCTCTAATTCCTCGGCTCTCGGCGCCGGCACCACCTCCTTCCCCTCCCCCGACCCCGCTCCACTTGCGGCATCCCCTGCAGCTCCTCCTCCTTCCCCCCCTGCTGCCCCTCCCTCCGCATCCCCCCCACCACCACCCTCACCACCACCAGCAGCACCATCACCACCCGATATTCCCATCTTTGCAGCTTCGACCAAGCCACCCAACGAAGCCACCAGCCGATTCCGCCGCTCCTCCCGCGCCAAATGAGTAATCGGCGGACGCCCCCTCCCCCTTCCCCTCCCCCTTCCCCCCCTCCCTCCCCCTCTCCCCCCATCCCCGCCCACCCCTACCAACGCCGCCCGGATAAACGCCTCCTCCTGCCCCTTTATAGGAATCTCCGTTACAGTCACCTGCGCATGGTTCAACCCATCGACAAACTTCGCATTAGTCATCACATGCACCCCCCGAACCTCCACAATCGTCCGATCATACGCAGCCGCCGCCTCCTCTTCCGCATCAAACAGCCCAATCTTGGAGAACCGATTCCCCACGCGGATTGCAGCGATCCACTTCTGCTCCTGCGGGCCCCACTTGACGCCCTTGTAGATGGAGGGGCAGGAGCGCGAGCGGAAGCAGCGCACGAAGGACTTGCGCAGGTGCAGCTGGAAGTCGTCCCTGCTCATCTTCTCCAGCTCCAGCTTCTCCGCGGCTGACAGCCCGAAGTTGAGCACAGCAGAGGTGCCTCGGAACTTGTACGCCATTCTGCAATGATTGCACGGGACGGGAGGGAGGGATGAGGAAGAGAAAGGCGCATGAGGTGCAGCTGGAAGTCGTCCCTGCTCATCTGTTCTAGCTCCAGCTTCTCTGCAGCTGACAGCCCGAAGTTGAGCACGGCAGAGGTGCCGCGGAACTTGTACGCCATTCTGAAAGGGGGTAGCCCGGAAGGGGGGAAAGCGGAAGGGGAAGAGAAAGGAGAAAGAGAGAAAGGGGGAACGGCACATGAGCACGAGAGCACGTGGGGTGCAGCTGGAAGTCGTCCTTGCTCTTTTGTTCAAGCGCCAGATTCTCCATAGTTGACAGGCCGAAGCTGAGCACTGCAGAGGTGCCACGGAACTTGCAAGCCATCCTGACATCGATGCGTGAGAAGGGCAGGACACGGGATAGACGACAGCAGGGGGAGTGAAACGGGGGGATAGCACGCGAGCACATGCAGGCTGCCAATGTGCCTCGGAACTTGTAGACCATCCTGGAGTCGACACAACGAACAGCTTGGGGATATGAGGAGACATGAAGAAGAACTTTGGCGCGATTAAAAACGCACTGCAACAGTCGCCTTGCGACACGACAGTACGTGACATAGACACTACCATACCTGTCGTACAGGCGAGCAGCCTCATCCCCCAATTGTGTCCGTCCTCGGTGGAATGACTTGGGGCCGATGTAGAGAGAACCATCTCCCACGCGCCCTTGCCCTTGCTGTGCAGCACTTCCCTCCATCGAAGCTGCTCCCTCAGGCATAGGGCCAAGCGCCACTGTATCTACCACAGCGTCCAGGAGTGCCTTACCTGTCGTATAGGCGTGCAGCCTCGTCTCCCAGTTGAGTGCGTCCTCTGTTGAACGGCTTGGGGCCGATGTAGAGAACCATCTCCCACACGCCCTTGTCCTTGCTGTGTAACACTCCCCACCGGAGCTTGCCCGCCCACCCCGCCACCAGCTCGCTGCCTGAGGTGTGCGCACAAATGAAAGGGGGAGCAGAGTGAGAGGGAAACGAAGAGCACAGAAGCAAATGACAGGAGAAGGTGGGGAAGGGGGGCGCTGAAAGGTGGGGAAGGGGGGCGCTGACAGGCGGGGAAGGGGGGCGCTGAAAGGCGGGGAAGGGGGGCGCTGAAAGAGTAGCACGCGGGGACTGCAATATATGACTTGTGAGTCGACTCAAAAGTCATGCGAGGACTGTGGGCGGGAGAGTACCAAAGATCCATCAGAAACGAAATACGAAGGCCGGGGGATTTACCTGGAGGTAGCTGCGTCGCCGGGACTATGGACACTGACTTGGCGGATGCTCCGCCTGAAAAAGGCAAGTCGGAAAGCAGTTTTAAATCGGCAATCGTAAGAATTAATTCTGAGGCGCCTAAAAAGTAAGCGCTTTTAAATCGGCAAGCGTAAGAATGATGTCTGGCATGAGAACCTGACGAATCACCAAGAAAGCGAAGAAGGGGGGGACAGGAGGAGGGGTCGGCACCGGGGGAGGGGACGACAGACTAACGAGACAAAAACAAACAAAGCAGTTTCGTAGTACCTTCCATCTCCGCCACTCGCGAAAGGATCACCGCGTCGCGAAGCCCCTCGAGGTCCATCAGCGTCTCGACTTTGATACACCCGCCGAAGATCATCGCGTTCGTGATCGCACGGTCGCCGTCGCGTCTCAGCAGCGCGCGATCGACGGCGGCGGCCGCCACCTCCTCCGTCTTGCTCCGTTTGATCTTCCGCGTGATCCCGCCCATGTTCACCTGCGCCACCCACCCGCCATAGTCCTCGTACCAGCTCACACCAATGTAGTTCGAGCTCCATCCTTTCCGGAAGCTTAAGTTGAAATTGTCCTTTTTTATAATGGCGAGGAATTCGCGGTCGGAGAGGGCGTCGAGAGCTCGTTTCTCGGCTAGCGTGAGGCCGAGATTGAGCGTTTCGGCGTTGCCGTGAACCTTGTAGGCAAACCTGCCGTGGAGCGGAAACGAAAGAGCAACAGTAAAAATCAGGAAGAAAATAACAAAACGAAACGACGACGTGTTATGATGGAGTTGCAGCTGGAAAACCGCACTCATGTTAACGCAGTAGCCTGGAGATGCCATTGAAATCTATTAACACTGAAATCGCCGTACTTGTCATAAAGCGACGCCGCCTCTTCCTGCGTCGGCCGGACGCCGAGAACGACAGTCTTGCCGCGCGACGAGTACTTGACGAGCCAGCCGCGGACATGCTTCTGCACTCCCTTGTACTTTAGGCTCTGGTCGTCCCGGTCGAACAGCCTCTCGCGCGTGCCTTGCCGGCTGAATGGGAAAATGGAACGAGAAGCAGGAAAGATAAGGACATCATGTGAATTAACGGAGCCAGCCGCAGGCATGCTTCTGCACCCCCTTGTACTTTAGGCTCTGGTCGGCGCGGTCGAATAGCCTCCCGCGCGTGCCTTGCTGGCTGAGCGGGAAAATGGAATTAGCAACAGGGGATAAGAAGATACTATGAGACAAGCAGCACGCAGGACGATGAGCAAGCTTTTTGACTTTGAAGATAAGGCAAGACTAGCACACTGAATCAGGAAATGCTTCAGTCAGAAAAGAATGGCGTCGGAGTGCAAGCGAGCAGATAGTATTTCCAGTTGGATGACTTAAGTACCTTCCACCGAGTTTTGGTAGTGGCTCCTCTGGGAGACTCCACGGAAAGAGTCCCCCTCGCATCATCCTTCCTGCGGTTCAGTATCAGGGGAAGAAACTAGTTTTTGAAGCACAGGCTAAGGTGCTAGGGTCTACTGAGGAATTGGTCAGTAACTAAACTGGGGAACTGCTCAGGAAGTCCACTGGGGAATTGCTTACAGAAGCCAAGAAAGGAAGAGATGTAGAAGAAACCCTGGGCGTGAGGGTTTGTTCCTCAGGTAACTGCTGGAGGTTGGCTGGTGATTTGCCCTTCTGGGATTTCAACAGACGGTCAGCAAGAAAATGCGCGAAGTGCCCGATAGTGGGTGTAGGCGAGATAGGATACCTCAAGTTGGGATAACATGCACATGTTCTCACTGGAGTGCTGCTATCGCTTACCATGTTACTTTTCGGTCTGAACAAAGGGCCCAAACGGAAAACAATTCATTGTCTGCGCACTGGTTTGTCTTTCTCTTGCCAAGTTTCGAGGGTTTTATGAACGTCGAGGGCTGGTAGTTCCTCACCCCCATCAATCCAGCCTCGAAACCATCGAGCTTTGGGGGAATGTGGTTCGTTCGGACAAAAGGAAACAGAAGTGGGGAAAGCTTGAAATCCGGTCAGACAAAGAAGAACTGGTTTCCGTCACTAGTTTGTCAGACTGGCCATTAGTGTAGGCAATCAGAATGATCTGGCCATAACTACTTCTCGGTCTTATGGAACGGGCACAGAACGAAGGATATTGTTAGACATAGGGTTTCTTCCTCTTTCTGACTGCATTTCGGGGGCTTGATGAACCAATGTCGGGGGGAGCCTCTACATTGGCGCGGAATTTCCCCAATCCGCGCTGAGCCAACAGTGGCGAATTGGGGAAATTCCGCTTCTTTCACCGCAGAACCCCGCCACAGTGGGAGGAAAGTTGAGGAGCATGCGGGAGTTGCGGCGAGGAGACTCGATCCGAGACAAGCGATATCAACCAATCACAATCAGGCGTAGCTCCGACTCTCGGATTCGATTTGCGCGTTTTCACTACCGTTTCAGTTGTGCTGCACTAGTAAACAGAAACGTTAGCAGTAGAAAAGCGTCACCTAATATTACCCATTTATACATCTCTACTTACTCTACAAACAATAATTCATTCACAAGAATGTACAGATTCAGCTTTCTACACATGTAATCCAACTAGTCAAATCCACCCAATTCGTCCATGCTCCCCAAAGAGCACCCTCAAGGATGCCCTGTGGGGAATTATCGACAAAGATACATGCATCCGAGATGCAGGGAGGGGCCAAACAAATGCCAGCACTGCTTCGACCACAGCAACTTCTGGAAACAACACGCATGCCATTCTCAATCTCGGCTTCTAACCCCATGACCATCCACCTTGATCGAAGGCCATCCATCCACCCATCATCGAGGCCATCCAACCATCGATATCATCCAGTCATGGAGTTCATAGCTGCTTGCCCCGCCGCCCCTCCTGCAGCAGAAGCTGAGCCGACCTGCCTTGAGCCCATCCCTGCACCGGCCCCCGCACCAGCAAAACCTGCACCAGAATAGCCTCCACCAGCAGGCGCTGCATGGGAGGCAGAGCTAGCAGAGGGGTGCATTCCCCCATGTGGTGGGGCAGCGGAGGGAGAGGCATGTGGAGGCGCGTAGGAGGGCGCAAGCACACGCTCCCTCTCAGCCCGGGATTGCATGCGACCTGAAAGGGGGGAGGGGTGGGGGGAGGGGATATTTCAGGGCAGAAGATGGTTTCGCGGGTTTTGGTAGCTGCTTGCCCCGCCACCCCTCCTGCAGCAGAAGCTGAGCCGACCTGCCTTGAGCCCATCCCTGCACCGGCCCCCGCACCAGCAAAACCTGCACCAGAATAGCCTCCACCAGCAGGCGCTGCATGGGAGGCAGAGCTAGCAGAGGGGTGAATTCCCCCATGTGGTGGGGTAGCGGAGGGAGAGACGTGTGGAGGTGCGTAGGGCGCAATCACGCGCTCCCTCTCGGCCCGGGATTGCGTGCGACCTGATAGAACAGGAATCCGGGTGGGAGGGGGGGGGAATGAGGGGGGGGGAATGAGGGGGGGGGGAATGAGGGGAGGCGCCTCAAAACTAGAACAGGAATCGGGGGTCGGAGGGGGGGGGGGGGATGAGGCGCACAGTACAGTGAGGTTACGACGGGAGAAGGGGCAAACCAGAAAAACAAGACAGCTCGTCTGCCACATTGTCTTGACTTGTTCGAAACATTCTCTCACCTACAATACGTAGCGTGTGCGGATGTAGATGCTGATGCACTCTGATGCGCTACTGACCCCATCCATCCCTTCTGTCTGAACCCTGTCTTCCCCCCTCACCTCCAGCAGCCAGCAGCTTTTCAACCCGTGCCACGATGTGCTTACCATAGGTGAACGTCTTGAGCGTGTGCAGATGCACTGTGGTGGGTATCAGCGGCCCCATCTCTACAGCCAACACCCCTTACGCGTCCCTTCCCCTCACCTCCAGCTTCCAGCAGCTTATCGACACGGGCACGGTGTGTTTCTCATAGGTGAGGCTTTTGACCGTGAGCATGTGCAGAGGCACACACATGCGCCCCAGCAATCAACGCAACATGTGTCTAGGCTAGGAACCTAGTTTTGAGGCGCCAAAAAACATGTGTCTAGTTTTGAGGCGCCTCAAAACATGTGTCTAGGCTTATAGGGACGACTCACCTCCTGCCGCCAGTAGTTTCTCCACGCGGGCCACGATGTGCTTGCCATACGTGAACTTCTTGAGCGTGTGCGGATGCACTCTGATGTGCCAGTGACCCCATCCCTTCAGTCTACAACCACTAACCTCCTGCCGCCAGCAGCTTCTCCACGCGGGCGCCGATGTGCTTGCCGTAAGTGAACTTCTTGAGTGTGTGCGGATGCACACGGATGCGGCCCAGCAGTCACATGGGACCGCACCCACAGGCAACATATCCCCTGCTTCCTCCTCACCTCCTGCAGCCAGTAGCTTCTCCACGCGGGCCACGATGTGCTTGCCATACGTGAACTTCTTGAGTGTGTGCAGATGCACGCGGATGCGCCCCAGCACCATCTCCCGCTGCCCCTCGCTGCACGTCTCCAGCACCTTTTGAACAACATAGTTTCCAAACTGGTCCTTCATCATGGCCTGGGGGGGAGTGGATGGAATGGGCATGCGAGGGGGAAACATATTGCGGGTAGAGGGTGAAGGCGATGAGTTGAGGGAGGCTCACAGGTTCGCGCTGCCCCTCGCTGCCCGTCTCCAGCACCTTCTGCACCACGTAGTTGCCAAACTGGTCCTACATCATCGCCTGGGGGGTGGAGGAGGGGGGAGCGACTTTTGAGGCACCTCAAAACTGGTCCTTCAGCATCGCCTGGGGGGGAAAGGTGGAGGCGGATAGGAACGCAGGAAGCCAAAATGGTCCTTCATCATGGCCTGGGGGGGTGGAGGAGGGGGGAGCGTGGGGGGAGGGAGAGAAGAGAACAAGAGAGGGCGCGTTTGAGAGGAGATGAGTCCTGCCTGTGTGCCCCTAGTGTCCCCCCCTAATCCCCACAAGCCCTCACCTGCAGTGGCTCGTTCTGAGCAGGCCTTACGCACCACACCGCACCGCGCCACACTTCGTTACAACCTGCTCAAGATCCAACCTGCTCAAGCTCCAACCTGCATAACAAAGCCTTCTCAGATAAGAGCAGCGGCTTCTGAGCCGGCCCGCCCTACTGCAGGCACCTCTCAACCTGCTCAAGCTCTAACCTGCCTTACACGTCCCTCCCAAACACCTCACCTGCACTGGCTCGTTCTCATCCGTCCTCCCCAGCATCTCAGAAAAGAGCAGCTGCTCCCGCGCCAGCCTGCCATACTGCAGGCACTTCCCAGCCCGCTCAAGATTTTTTTTTTTTTTTTTTTTGTTAACAAACATTGCGGCGATGCGATGCGATTATATCGCGCGATTTTTGCGATATCGCGTTTATATCGCACTTTTTTTGGCGCGATAAAATGCGATTCGCGATATTAAAAAAATCGCCTGCGATATTTGGAGCTCGCCATTTTTTTTTTGGCTGTTTATTTGTTAGAACCGACGTTGTAATGGTGTGTTGTGCCCCTGTTTGAAACCCTTCCGCAGTTCCCAGTTATCTAACTATCCAAATTGCTGCTGTAGTTTACTTTGCCTTGAAATTTAGCCCTGGCGATGCGATATTTTATCGCATCGCGCGATAGATCGCACTCTACAGCGCGATATTTAAGAATATCGCACCTAAAACGCGATATGCGATTTTGGGTTTTTTTTTTATATATATATATCGCATCGCCGCGATATAATGCGAGATAAGTCAAAATGCGATGCGATATCGCATCGCATCACATTTTGACCATGTCTATCTAAACCTCTCAGATCTCTCTAAACCTCTAAGATCTCTCTAAACCTCCAAGATCTCTCTAAACCTCCAAGATCTCTCTAAACCTCTAAGATCTCTCTAAACCTCTAAGATCTCTCTAAACCTCCAAGATCTCTCTAAACCTCCAAGATCTCTCTAAACCTCCAAGATCTCTCTAAACCTCCAAGATCTCTCTAAACCTCCAAGATCTCTCTAAACCTCTAAGATCTCTCTAAACCTCTAAGATCTCTCTAAACCTCCAAGATCTCTCTAAACCTCTAAGATCGTTCTAAACCCCTAAGATCTCTCTCACTTCCCAGACACATTCCTCCTCAAGCCCTCACCTGCAGTGGCTCATTCTCGTCTGTCCGCCCCAGCATCTCTGATAAGAGAAGTTGCTTCTGAGCCGGCCCGCCGTACTGCAGGCACTTCTCAATCACATTGGACGCGAACTTGTGCTGGCTCATAGTCACTATCTGCCCGGCCAGCTTCGTTATAATCACGTTGCGCTCGTCCTCACTCCCGTGCTCCAACACATGCTGTTAGAATCGGAGGGGGCGGGAGGAAGGGGAGTCGGCAGGGGGGGTTGAAGAGGGGGGAGGAGAGAGGGGAGTGGGGGGAAGGGGCGGTGGAAGAGAAGGAAGGGTGACTTGTGCTGACTCATAGTCACAATGTGCCCGGCCAGCTTCATTATAATCACGTTGTGCTCGTCCTCACTCCCGTGCTCAAACACGTGCTGCTGGAATCGGGGGGGGAGGGTGGGTGTGGGAGAGGAGGGACGACTGGTTGACTTGGGCTGGCTCATCATAGTCACAGTCACTTACAAGTGCTTTGAGTCTAACAAGTGCTTTGAGTCTAACAAGTGCTTTGAGTCCCACAAGTGCTGTGAGTCTAACAAGTGCATGCCTCACCTGCACGACGTAGTTGCCGTATTGGTCCTGGGCGAGCGCACATGTGGTGTGGACCTCATGCTGTCACAGCACACACAGCACGGCTGGGCACGGCTGGGCAAGCTGAGCCTCACCTGCACGACGTAGTTGCCGTATTGGTCCTGGGCGAGCGCACATGTGGTGTGGACCTCATGCTGTCACAGCACACACAGCACGGCTGGGCACGGCTGGGCACGCTGAGCCTCACCTGCACGACGTAGTTGCCGTATTGGTCCTGGGCGAGCGCACATGTGGTGTAGACCTCATGCTGTCACAGCACACACAGCACGGCTGGGCACGGCTGGGCACGCTGAGCCTCACCTGCACGACGTAGTTGCCATATTGGTCCTGGGCGAGCACACATGTGGTGTGGACCTCATGCTGTCACAGCACACACAGCACGGCTGGGCACGGCTGGGCACGCTGAGCCTCACCTGCACGACGTAGTTGCCGTATTGGTCCTGGGCGAGCGCACATGTGGTGTAGACCTCATGCTGTCACAGCACACACAGCACGGCTGGGCACGGCTGGGCACGCTGAGCCTCACCTGCACGACGTAGTTGCCGTATTGGTCCTGGGCGAGCACACATGTGGTGTGGACCTCATGCTGTCACAGCACACACAGCACGGCTGGGCACGGCTGGGCACGCTGAGCCTCACCTGCACGACGTAGTTGCCGTATTGGTCCTGGGCGAGTGCACATGTGGACCGCATGATCTCATCCATCACACCCCGCTGCTTCTGCTCCTCCGTGCAGTGCTCCAGCACTCGCTGTGAAGTGAAATGGAGGCAGCGCACACAGAAGGTATTCAGTACACGCACTCATTGATATAAGCACAAGCCAACCTAACACTCGTGATCTCGTCCGTGGCACCCCTCGGCTTCTGCTCCTCCGCGCAGTGCTCCAACACTCGCTGGGAATACACGAAACCTGGACACCCACACATGCACATACATTTGTTATTAGTACACATGGATATAAGCACAGCACCCAAGCACTCATGATTTTGTCCATCACAACCCTCGGCTTCTTCTCCTCTGCGCAGTGCTCCAACACTCGCTGTCATATCAGAAAATGACAAATTTGAGATAAGCACACGCGGATAGAAGCACATGCCATAAGCGCAAGAGGATATCGCTTATCACTAATCCCTGCTTCCGCTCCTCTATGCAGTGCTCCAATACTCGCTACAAGGGGTACTACTAGAACATGCGGGTATAGGCACACACGGATAAAAGCACGCGCAAATATAAGGCACGCGCAGATGGACACATACACATGGCCCTATTTTCTCAACTGATTGCACCTCATGCTTCGCTTGAAAACGATCCCCCGAGGGGATGGGTGGACAGCGCGGCCTCCAGGCTATACAAGCTATTGCCGATGAGCACCATGAGATGCAGCAGGTTGCACGCCCCAGGACGAGCAGCATGCTCACCTGAATGACCCGGCAGCCATAGGGATGGGTTGACAGCGCCACCACTTGGCCGTAGAAGCTGTTGACGATGGACGCGATGTGGTGCGGCGGCACGCACTCAATGCACTTTTGAATGACATGGTTGCCATTCTGGTCCCGCACGCACCGCATCACACTGCCCTCTAACTCCGCCACTATCTCCAGCTGCTGCGGCAGGGGGAGAACTTCCAGTGCCTGGGGAGGCGGGGATGGGGACGAATGGAAGAGGAGGATTAGGAAACACATTAGTTGCCATACTGGTTGGGCATGCACCGCATCTCAACCAGCTGCTGTGGTCGAGGGCGCACCTGTGCGTGACGGTATGGGTTAGGACAAGAAAAGGAGGTTAACAACAGCGCAGTGTGAGAAAGAAGAAGCGCTTCTTTCATGGCCCTCACGACGAGGTCAACAACGCAGTGTACCGCCCCTCATTCAGACCTGCATCAAACAACACCGCCCATCCGCCCCTCCGCCCCCCCTCCCTCCTTCCCCCCCTCCCTCCTTCCCCCCCTCCCCCCTGCCCCCTCCCCCCTGCCCCCCTCTCCCCCTTCCCCCCCTCCTCCTCTCCCCCCCTCCCTCCTTCCTCCCCTGTGGGGCTAACTTCCTGGGCCACCCGCCAGCGCCAGCAGGCGCCTCTCCCATTCTCCCGTGCCCCTCCTGCTTCCCCTTCCCCCCCCCCGCCTCACCTTCTGAATCACCCACCACCCATACATCTGCAGCCCCAGAGCCAGCACATGGTCCTCCTCCCATTCTCCAACCTCTCCTGCTGTTTCCCCTTGCCCCTCCCCCTTCAACCTTCCTCTCTCACCTTCTCAATCACCCGGCACATGTACATCTGCAGAACCAACGCCAGCACATGATTTTTGAGTCGACTCAAAAATCACCTTAGGTGATTTTTGAGTTGACTCAAACATCACTAGCAGAACCAACGCCAGCACATGCCCTTTCCGTTTTCCTCTTCTTCTTCCCTCTGCTTCTTGCTTCCCCTTCCTTTACCCCCCCCCCCCCCCCCCCTTCCCTTCCAGCTCTCACCTTCTGAATGACGCGGCACCCATACATCTGCAGCCCCAGCGCCAGCACATGGCCTTTCAGTTCGCCTGCTAGTGCCGCCCTGTGTGAGTCCAACCCGTGCTCAAAGAACTGCGAGGGGGAGAGGGAAAGAGAAGGGGGGGGGGGGGGGTGGTGGTGAGGGGGGGAAGGGAGGGCTGCACTGAGCGCCTCAAGGCGCCTTTTGAGTCGACTCAAAGTCAACCCGTGAAAGGTGCCCCTCTCACGCACATGCTGTTTGTCTGGGCACCTGGAGAATGGTTGGCTCCAACCATCCCAAAACTCCCAACCTTCTGGACATCCGACATCCGACACCCACCTTCTGGATCACGTAGCTCCCAAACACGTCCGTCAAGAGGGAGAGCACCTGCGGCAGCACCTTGCAGAACACCAGCTCCTTCTCTGCTGCACTCTCTCCCTAAGGTGAGCTCACTTCCCTAAGGTGAGCTCATTTCCCTGAGCTCACTTTGCTGCGCTCACTTCTCTAAACTCACTTCCCTGAGGTGAGCTCACTTCCCTAAACTCACTTCTCTGAGCTCACTCCTGGGAATGGGAACCAGCATCCAATCCGCACACCGCTTCGCCCTGAAAGCTCACCTTTTGAATGACGTAGTTGCCGAACACGTCGGTCATGAGCGAGCGAGAGCGCCCACGGCAGCACCTTGCAGATCTCCAGCTCCTTCTCTGTTGTACTCTCTATCCACCTGACTTGAAAACCCACCTACTGAATCACATAGTTGCCGAAGACGTCCGTCATGAGAGAGAGCGCCCTCGGCAGCACCTTGCGAAACACCACCGCCATCTCAATGCCAGGTGCTGCTTCTCTTGTGTAAGAGCCCAGTCTAGCCGGCTGGCAACCAGCATCAGCCCCCCCACCCCACACACCTACCTTCTGGATCACGTAGTTGCCGAACACGTCCGTCATGAGCGAGTTTTTCTGCGTCGACTCAAAAATCGACTCATTACACACGGAGCCCCCCCCCCCCCACACACCTACCTTCTGGATCACGTAGTTGCCGAACACGTCCGTCATGAGCGAGAGCGCCCGCGGTAGCACCTCGCAGAACACCAGCTCCTTCTCCGCGTCGGTGGCCATCTCGAGCTTCTGCTGGATGAAGCGGCTGCCGTGCTGGTCGGCACTGGGAGGAGAAACGGGAGGGTGGGGGGATGGGGAGGAGGGGGAGGAGGGGAGGAGGGGGAGGAGGGGACGAGTGGGAAGGGAGAGCTCCTTCTCTGCGTCGGTCGCCATCTCGAGCTTCTGCTGAATGAACCGGCTGTCGTGCTGGTCGGCACTGCAAGAGGAATGGGAACACAGATAAGGGGGGGAGCAGAAAGGATGGGCAGGGAGGAGAGTGGGGGGTTGAGGGGAGAGAGAGGGTTGGGCAAGGGAGTCACTTCAAAGCTCCTTCTCTTCTTTGGTTGCCATCTCTAGCTTCTGCTGAATGAGGCGACTGCCGTGCTGGTCAGCACCGTGGGAGGGTGGGGGAGACGAGAGAAAGGATCCGCAGGGAGGAGCGTGGGGAATTGGTGAGCTGTGAAATTGGTGGGCAGCCGGTGCAGATAGGGTTTTTGAGGCGCCTCAAAGATTGGTGAGCTGTGAAATTGGTGGGCAACTGGCGCAGATAGGGTTTTTGAGGCGCCTAAAAAATTGGTGAGCTGTGAAATTGGTGGGCAACCAGTGCAGATAGGGTTTTTGAGGCGCCTCAAAAATTAGTGAGCTGTGAAATTGGTGGGCAACCGGCACAGATAGGGTTTTTGAGGCGCCTAAAAAATTGGTGAGCTGTGAAATTGGTGGGCAACCAGTGCAGATAGGGTTTTTGAGGCGCCTCAAAAATTGGTGAGCTGTGAAATTGGTGGGCAACCGGTGCAGATAGGGTTTTTGAGGCGCCTAAAAAATTGGTGAACTGTGAAATTGGTGGGCAACCGGTGCAGATAGGGTTTTTGAGGCGCCTAAAAAATTGGTGAGCTGTGAAATTGGTGGGCAACCGGTGCAGATAGGGTTTTTGAGGCGCCTCAAAAATTGGTGAGCTGTGAAATTGGTGGGCAACCGGTGCAGATAGGGTTTTTGAGGCGCCTAAAAAATTGGTGAACTGTGAAATTGGTGGGCAACCGGTGCAGATAGGGTTTTTGAGGCGCCTAAAAAATTGGTGAGCTGTGAAATTGGTGGGCAACCGGTGCAGATAGGGTTTTTGAGGCGCCTCAAAAATTGGTGAGCTGTGAAATTGGTGAGCTGTGAAATTGGTGGGCATTGGGCAGCCGGTGCAGATAGGGAATCGCTCGCCTTCACTCAACTGGTGGGAGACAGGGAGGAGCCTGGGGAATTGGTGGGCGCAGAAAGGGAGAGTTGAGAGGAGGTGCAGATAGGGAGAGTTGAGAGAAGGTGCAGATAGGGAGAGTTGAGAGAAGGTGCAGATAGGGAGAGTTGAGAGAAGGTGCAGATAGGGAGGGGGGCTTAAAGAATGACCTACGTTGCTGTGAGAGGGGCGGTTCTCTGTCACCACCTCGAGCTTCTGCTGGATGAACCGGCAGCCGCGCTGGTCAGCGCTGGGAAAAATGGGGGTTGCGTTGCGGACACGGTTCCTGAACCCAAGGTGACTTTTGAGTCGATTTTTTAGTAGACTCAAAAATCGACTCATTACACACGGTTGAACCAAGGTGACTTTTGAGTCGCGAACAAGGTTGAAAAAGAACCAGTTTGATCCCAACTCCAAACCCAAACCCAATAGTACCCGAACTCAAGCACATGGCCTGCGATATCACACAGCTCGTATCGCCTCGTCACACACACCAGCCCTCAAGCACCTGCCTTGCACCACATGGCCTCAAGCACCTCAACTCCACCACATAGCCCGAGTACCCAACCACCCCGCACCGCATGCATACCTGAACTCCACCACATGGCCTGCGATATCACACAGCTCGTATCGCCTCGTCTTGTTCGCCTTGAAATCCTCCAAGAAACTGACCGCCCCTCCCCCTCCCCTCCCCCTCCTCCCCCTCCCCCTCCCCCTCCCCCTCCTGCTCCTCCTCCCCCTCCCCCCCCACCGCCACCACCACCATTACCACTCCCCCTACTTCCTCCCCCTCCCCCTCCCCCTCCCCCGCCGCCTCCACCCATTCCCCCGGAGTCTTGCTGGTGAGATGCGTGATGGTGGTGGTGGTGGTGGTGATGGTGCTGCTGCTGCTGATGCTGATGTTGATGCATGGAGGATTGACCTCTCCCCCCTCCCCCTCCCCCGGGCGACCCCCTCAGTCCTCCGCCTCCCCCTTTCTCCTCCCTCCTCCCGCTCCCCCCTCCCCCCCCGCCCCCACCTCCTCCCCCCACGCCATAACCGCCCCCTTTTGCTCCCCCTCCTCCGCCTCCACCTCCCCCTCCCCCTCCCGCTCCCCCCATCATGCTCCCCCCACCCCCTGCCCCAGCTGCCCCCATCCCTCCCCCCAGCCCCCCAATGCCTCCATCAGCCAATAGCATCGATTCGTACAGATTTGCATGGTGCCCGTGCTGGTGATGCTGACTCAGCATGCCGCCCTGCTGATGTGGCAACATGCCAGCTGGCACCACTCCTCCTGCTGCCCCCCCACCAGAAGGGGACAAGGGCGGGTAACCAACCACGGGAAGGAAGCTTCCTGGAGGGCTCCCGAAGTACATCGGAGGGTTGCCGTGTGCGCCAGCTGGCAGCCCCGACGCACGAGATTGCGCCACGTCAGCAGGGATCCCCATTGGCTGACTCCCCCCAGGGAGATACCCAGAAGTAGAAGGGCCCATGCCCATACCCATACCCATCCCCATGCCCATGCCAACCCCTCCCACTGCTGCCGCCGCAGCAGCCAGACCACTAGCGCTCGTGCCACCACCACCATTACCACCCCCCATGCCCCCAGCCCCGGTAAACCCTCCCCCAGATAAGCCTCCCCCGGATAGGCCCAGGCCGGATAGCCCTGCTAGAATCTGCGCCCTGTACTGAGGGTGCATTGCCAGCAGCTGCTGCACCTCCGGAGGCAACATGGCATCAGCAGCAGCACCCATATTAGCACCACCCATATTAGCACCACCGAAGTTAGCACCACCAAGGTTGGCACCACTAGTGCCCAAGCCAGCAGATAAGCCTTCCCCAGATGCCCCCATACCCGCCCGCCTCACCCCCCCTCCTGCGCTCATCAACCTCCCAATGCCACTGTTCACGCCAGCTGTACCAGTGGCACCAGTGGCGGCGAACTGGGCGGCTTCGCTTGGCAGGTAGTGCTGCGCGTTAGCATCCAAACCAGCGCTAGTACCATCAGCACCAGCACCACCACCACTACCGCCAGCACCACCTCCGCCTCCTCCAGACAGATGAAACCCGTTCACGGATAAACCTACCCCAGGTAAGCCTCCAGCGCCGGCGCCTACTGCGAGGGGAGCATGGGGAAGAGGATGGGGGAAGCCAGACGCGGATGACCCGGCGGAGAGATGGGCGGGGAGGAAGCCTGCAGGGGCGGACTCGTGCAGAAAGGCGGGGTACGGTGGAGAGCCTACCACAAATGATGCTGCCCCTGCTGCTGCTGCTGCTGCGGCGGCGGCGGCGGCGGCGGCGGCGGCGGCGTTGGTGGTTGGTGCTGGAGGGAGGTACTGGAGATAGGCGGGGTGAAGGGCGGAGGTAGCATGGGGCCACTGGGGGGCTCCCTGTGCCAAATGCTGCTGCTGCTGCTGCTGCTGCTGCTGCAATATCTGCTGCTGCAGATCCTTTTCCTGTTGCTGCTGTTGTTGCTGATACTGTTGCTGCTGTTGCTGTTGATGCTGGTACTGCTGCTGCTGCTGCTGCTGCTGCTGGCCCAACTGCTGTTGCTGGTACTGTTGCTGCAGTTGCTGCCCCATCTGCTGCTGCTTTTCAGCCAATCTCAGCCCTTCAATCGCGGATGCCAGCTCAGCAGCAGCAGCACTACCCTGCGCCATTCCCCCCTCCCCTTGCCCCCCCACCATCCCCGGGCTCGCTGCCCGTGCAAGCACACCCGCGCCAACCCCTCCCCTTCCCCCTCCGCCCGCTCCGCCCAGCCCTACCTCACCACCCCCCAAACCCAGACCTACCCCCAAGGCTGGGGACTGCGACCGAGGCAGACCGGCAGGCTTGGCAGCCGAAGCAGCCTGAGCCGCGGCTAACTGCATCGCCAGGCCCGGACTCACCCTACCCGCAATCAAACCGGGTGGGATTATAGGCGTTCCCGAACGCGACCCCGCGCCTAGCAGCGGCGGAACGCTACTTGCCCCCCCTCCGCGCGTGTTCCCCGCGCCCCTCCCCCCCGCTCCCCCTGCGCCTCCGCCCGCCTGCAGCCCCGCGGTCAGCAGCGCGAGCTCGTGCCTGTGCGCCTCGTCTAGCTGTAGGGACGAGCGCGGGCGCCGGGGGAGGTCCTGGGGGCTGGGCGCGGACGCGGGGGGGATGGCAGAAGATCCGCTGAGGAGAGACGGCGCAGCGGCGGCAGCAGCGGCGGCGGCAGCGGCGGCGGTGGCTGCGGAGGCGTCAGAGGAGTCGTCCGCGGCTGAGCGGCTGGCTGCGCGCTGAAGCGCGAAGATGGGGGAGGGCGTGCGGGGGAAGTCCTCCTGCGGGGCGGGGAACGGGGAAGAGGGCGCGCAAGGGGGGGGAAGTGGGCAGGCAAGGGGGAAGTGCAGACGGGGGGGTGGGGGGAGAAGGACAGTTTAAGAGAGAAGGTATTGCAAGACCGAACCACTTTATGATGCTACAGTAAACATGCGCCATTTTGTACGGAAGAGGCTAACACGGCAGATCTACTCAGGATCTGACATATAAGTATATCCACCCAGCGCTTACGCCATGCTTAGCTAAGCAAGGGCGCTAAGTGTACATGTGCTAGCCGGCCTCCGTCTGAACGCGCATAAAACTGACCTGAATAAGATCGACGAGGCTCTTAGGTCGATACGCCAGCCCCGCAAACCCTCCGCCCCCAGCCCCCGCTGCGCCCCATCTGTCCGCCACACCTTCGCCCCTCTCCGCGCCAACTCCCCCCATCCCTCCGCCTCCGCCTGCGCCTGCGCTGCCGCCCTGCCCGCTCCCGTCGCCGTCGTCCTTCCCCCCCGACGTAAGCACATCCTCTAGAAGACTCTCCATCTCCTCCCGGTGCGTGGGGAGCGTGGGGGACGGAAACAGCAGATTGGACGACGAGGATCTTCCTGTTCGCATCCCATGTCCCTCATCGAACGGTCGTAACGAGCCCATCCCCGCCCCATCCTCCCCAAACGCCCCCGCGTTCCCCTCTTGTCCAAGCCCCGCCCCGATACCATACCCCCCGCCTCCCCCTGACGCATACCCCCCTCCGCCTCTTTCCGCGCCTTCTCCGCCGCCGGGGAACTTCTGCGCGCCCTCTCCGCCGAGGCCTAGCGCGGCGGAAGACTGGAGCCGCTGCGCGAGGCGGTAAGTGTCCCGGGAGATCAGCGGCGGCGGAAGGCGAGGGTTTAAGTGGTGGTTGCGGTAGTAGTACTCTAAGTACCCTGGATCCGCTCTTAAAGCCTCCTCGTCCTGCAGCCGATCTAGAAGCTTCCGCGCATCCCGCTGCTTCTGCAGTTGCTGCTGCTGCTGGATCTGCAACTGAAGCTGCTGCTGCTGCTGCTGTTGAAGCTGAATCGCCGCAGCTGCTCCTCCGCCGCCGCCGCCGCCGCCGCCGCCGTTCCCGCTGCCGTCAGCTCCCCCGCCACCGAGCTGGCTCCCCAGGGCATCCGCGCCGAGAAACTGACGGTTGAACGAAAACCCGGGGAAGTTACCCATCGCAAAGATCGATCCTTCGACCGACGGGGGAGCGCTGCCGCTCCTGTGGGGGTAATCCCTCCCGCCATATCCTCCCGCCACAGGCGCACCGCCAAAACCCTCCGCGCCCCCCATTCCGCCCGCCATGCCCCCTCCCGGAGCTCCCTGCGGGTCTCTTAATCCATACTGTGCTGCTAGTGATGCACCCGCTGACGCCGCGGAGCCGTCTCCTAGCCCTCCCGACGTCCCAGATATAGACACTTGCTCGTAACGAGTCTGGGAGAGAGGCGCATTTCCGCCCCCGGTGCCTCGTAGGAGGAGCCCCAGCTCCTGCGCGACTTGCCGATCGTCCTCCGACGCCATCGGGAGATTCATTGAATCCCTTCTGATCTCAGAAGGTGGGTTGCATTTGAGAGTTTCTGCCCCTGCCGGGCCATGTGCACATGAAATGAGATCCAACGGTCGGGGGCTCGCCAAAACGAAATCAGCGGGATCACTAGGTCGGGTCGGGGTATATCGAGGCGACTTAGGCCGATCTTCACGTCGACGAAGGTAAGCAGCGCCGCGCTCTCAGGGATAGTTGGACCCAGGTATGAGGGCTCTGGCGAGTGAGACGCGGGTGCGACGAAGGATCATGCACGCCCGGCGCCGATATGATCCTGAATAACTCCTATCCGCAAGCCATTACCGTCAACGAACGTCGGGCCAGCTCGATCCTTAGTCTTAATCGCGGCGAAATTGGCAAGCAAGCAAGGCAAGAAACGGAGTTTTCCTGGGTGAGCCTTGCTCTTAGAGTTCCAGCATTCCGGAGGGCAGTTATCCTCTTTCAAGAGTCCCCAGTACCTACCTGCTCAGAAGGAGGATTTAGGGTTGGGCGTGTCACGAAAGTATGTATGTATTCGCAAAATACCGTAACTAACTGTTGTAGATATCCAGTCAACCGCGATCGAACAGAGCGTATCGTATTGAACCGCAATCCGACATACTTCAGTGATACGCCCTATAGTAACTGAAAAGCACCATGGAGAGTCGCGCGCGCTCATAAAGGCATCACGGGTAGCCACGCGCGCATGACCGGGCGTGACAATGGGGATGAGCGCACGGGGGAGACTAGTCCGCGCTACTGAGCAGCCGTCGAATGACGAGTTGCGAAGGCCATGCACGACGAGGTTGCTGATGTGGAGGAGTCCCAATGGTTGACGAACGGACTTGGAGTGAGACCTTCGTTGATAACTGGACATGGTTAACGAAAGAAAGAGCGAGCCTCTAAGTTCGCGCAACGTGAGTCACTTTGAGGGGAATTCCGCCTGCGCCGATGGCAAGGTGGGCTGGGGGAGACGGGTGCGGACTTCATATGTACACTACCGAAGATGCAATGTACAGCAGAACAACGAATGAGCTCATTCTGTGGAAAATATTTCCATGACCCCGTTGTAGCGCCTCTTCCTAAAAGCTCGCTGCGCAACATGCACGTAATCTGTGCTTCAGGCAAACTTCGCTGTAGCCATGCCACCAGCCCACCCAGCCGAACCCAACTCGATATAAGAAATCTGGGAAGCTTGGAAAAGGTCTAGTCTAGTCTAGATTACAGCCCCACCAACTCCAACAACCTTGGGAATGCCGAGAAAAGTATGGGCGAGGGAGCTGATGGGAGGAGAGAAATTGACTAGACCTGTGGAGTGAGCACAGAGATGGGGATAGATAATTAGTAGGTGATGAGGTAGTGTGAGAAGCAGAGGTAACCATGGGGAATTGTTAAGGTTTTGATGCGACACGCCATGGATTACTGCCTGGCGCAAGGGACTTATCCTTCTGTAGTGAAATAAATCGCTGTACAATGGGTTGTAGTTATGGTGCTTCTTTGCGAGCCTAATCGTGCAGCGATGTTGATTTTAGAGTACGCTGGCTAACTTCCACCTGCCATTGAAGGCCGACATCAATCAAGCAGGCGTCGAGTCACTATCAAAGGCTATTGTTAAGCGCCACTGCGCTCCGCAAGTCCCGTGGCTATTGTTAAAATTTATCTCCGTATCTTCACGACGACTGCTTACGACGACTAGTTAGTTGCCTGGTTCGTTTTGGTGAGTAAAACGCGTGGTAGCAGGATCACGTGAATTGTGATTCGTATGTGTGTTCTGAACACTGTTGTTCCGCACCAGTGAAGCTGTTTTCCTCGCTGGGTAATTGACTCCGATGGTAGAACAGCGATAACTGAAACGTAGTCGTCTCAGCCTTGGCTCCATATGGCTATTCCAGTCTATATTTGGCATTGGTTCTCTTTTGCGTAGTGTTTTTTTTTTTTTTTTTTTTTTAATGCTCCTTATAGTCGTTAATATTTCTCTCTGAGATCTTATTTCTGCCGGTTTAATTGTCTGCTGTAAGTGGTGAGATAAGCCTCACATTGTTTGCGTGCCTAAATCTTGAATATTTATTTGATGACGGTCCTTAAAGAGCGCAAAATACATCCATAAGTCTCGCATTTCGTAACTGCTCCCGCCGGTTCTCTCTTTCACTTCGACCCTTTTCCTTCTCCCGTTTCCGTTATGCCGTTTTTCTTTCGCCGTTAACCAAGTTTCCCAGCTTTCCGTTTTCCGTCTCGCTAATTTCCTAAACCATTCCTCGTTCCCTTGTTCCATCCCTCTTTTTTGAGTCGACTCAAAAATTTCCTGAACCATTCCTCGTCCCGTTTCTCCATCCCTCTTTCTCCGCTTCCCTTTTGCCGCCTCTCTGTTTTCCCCTTCCTCTCAGAACACCATGTCGGCGGCGCTCCTCGCGAGGCTACGTGGCAAGCTGTCATTGGTCGCCGATAAGCTCCTCGAGCTAGACCAAGAAGCGCTCCGCCCTTCGTCTCACACCCCTCATCACACCCAAGACAATGGCCAGAGCACCCGACTCAACCGCACCCTACCGCTGCTCTCACAGGAGGGAGGCACGGTTGCCGGTGGTAACCCGACTGCCACCAACAGCAGCAGCAGCTGCAGCACCAGCACTAGCGCCACCACCAGCGCCAGGGGAGGCAGCGGCGGCAGCACCACCTCTGGCACCAGTAACGACAGCACCATTGGTAACCACGTAAATGGTAACGGTAACCCGGAGGGCCCGGGCCTTAACTCGCAGGTTCAAGGCGTCATGGCGGTGGCAGTGGCCATGGCGTTAGACGTGGACCGGGAGGTCAAGAAGACGCTAGACGAGGGGGACATGCTGCGAGGCCTCCTAGGGCTCACGCCTGCAAAAAGCACTGCAGATGCTGCTCCGCAGTCGGAAGGAGGCTCGCTGGAAGCGCACGGGAACGGTGCGCCTCGCGCGGAGGCGGAAACCCCAGGGCTTCCTGGATCCGGCGTACAGGGGAGAAGGGGGGAGGAGGGGGGAGATCAGGTGAGACTCGGCCCGGAGATTGAAGCTTGCTTGGGGAGGCTTGAGGCGAGGTTTGGAGGGGGGAGGGGGGCGATCGAGGAGATTGAGCGATGGGTGAACTCCCAGGTGGAGAGTAAGGGGCTGAGGGCCCCGGGCTCGCAACCAAGTGGTGCAGAACGGTTGGGCAAGGTGAGCGCGTCACCGGCAGTGACTGTGGTTGACGGAGCGAGCGAAGCCGGGGAGGTTGAGCGAACACTAATTGCGGAAGCAGAACACCTGGGGGAGGCTGCAGTTTCGTCAACCACGGGCGAAAACTGGTTACCAGGTAAAGTGGCAGGTTCGCTTGAGAAGCAGCAGGCTCGTGCTAAGGCCTCCCTTGCTCTCGGAGGCCTGGAGTCCTGGGTTGGTTCTAACGGGGATGCTTTTAAAGGAGCGCTGCTGCAGCTGCTGGAGAAGGAAGAGGCGCGGCTGGAGGGGGGGATCCAACGGCTGGGAATCGATTCTGAGCGGAAGATCTGCGATCTGAGAGAGGAGGTGGAGCGAGCCGTGGGCGGTGAGGGGAGGAAGAGGGAGGCCGAGATGGACCGAATGGTGAATCTGCTTATAACGGAGGCGGCTCACAGGCAGCAGCTGGAAGAGGAGTTCAAAGCGGTGCAGAGGCAGTGGGCGGTGAAGCTGCAAGAGGCGCGGGAGCAGCAGAAAGCGCAGCAGATGGTTGAAATGGAGGCAGTTAGGAGAGAGATGGAAGAGATGCGAGAGCAGTGGCGGGTGCAGCAGGCAGAAGAGAAGGACGCGGTGAAAAGGCAGATGGAGCAGATGCGAGAGGAGTGGAGGGTGCAGCAAGCACAGGCGAACGAGGCTCTGATGGGGCCTATGGAGGAGATGAGAGAGGAGTGGCGGGCGGCTGGCTTGGGCGGCAGAGTGAAACGGCTGGAGGAACGGTTGGAAGCGGTTGAGGGCGGCGAGACGGACATGGAGACCCGGATTCTGCAGAAGGTGGCTGAAATGCGGGTTGAGGCGGGGTTAGAGGTGGACAGGCTGGAGGGGATTGTGGATGAGAAGGTGAAGGGTCTGCGGCAGGAGATAGAGGGGAGGATGGAGGGGGGTAAGCAGAAGGTGGAGCAGTTAGAGGAGCTGTGGATGGCTGCTGATGTGCCCGGGATGGTTGAGAGGATCGAGAATGGCGTCAAGTGTAACAAGATTGTGATCGAAGCGGTGGATAGAAGGGTGAGGGAGCAGGGGGAGGGGCAGGAGAGGCTTATGGCGGAGGCGGAGAGGAAGGTTAAGAGGGTTGAGGAGAGTGTGGGGGAGAGGGTGGGGAAAGTGGAAGAGAGTATGGAGGAGAGAGTGAGGAAAGTTGAGGAGAGTGTGGAGGAGAGAGTGAGGAAGGTGGAGGAGAGTGTGGAGGAGAGAGTGAGAAAGATAGAGGCGGGTGTGGAAGAGAGGGTGGTGAAAGTAGAAGATAGTATGGAGGAGAGAGCGAAGCGGGTGGAGGAAAGTGTGATGGTGGGAGTGAGAAACTTAGAGGAAGTGGTTAAGGAGGTGGAGAAACTAGAGGAGAAGAACGTGCAGGAAAGGTTGGGAGAGGTCGCAGGGAGCGTGGAGGAGAGAGTGAAAGGAATCGAGGGGAGTTTGGGGGAGAGAGTGAGGAAGATAGAGGAGAGTGTGGGGGAGAGAGTGAGGAAGATAGAGGCGAGTGTGGAGAAGATGGGGAAGGTAGAGAAGGGAGGCGAGGGGGGGATGAGGGGAGTGGGGGAAAGTGTGGAGGAGAGGATAAGGAAAGTGGAAGTTGATACGGAGGAGAGAGTGAAGCGGGTGCAGGGGAGTGTGGAGGAGAGAGTGGGGAGGTTGGAGGGGAGTGTTGAGGAGAGAGTGAGGGGGCTGAGAGGGGAGATGGAGGCAGTGGGGAGGCAAGCAGCAGACGTGGGAAGGGTGGTGCTTGAGATCAGCAGGGAGGTCGCACACCAGGTGGAGACAGTGAAGGCCCAGCAAGGCATACCCCAAGGGAATGGTATTTTATCAGGAGGAACTGTGGGGGGAGCGGCGGCAGCAACGCCTGCACAGCAGCAGCAGCAGCAGCAGCAGCAGCTGGAGGCGGTGATTGCAGTGGGCAGGGAGGTAGCCATGGTGGCAGCAGAACTGACCAAATCCGCCAAGTTGGCTCAAGGGAGAGACGGGACGGACGAAGCAGGGGCGGGAAGCAGGGCGCTTCTGGAGCAGGTGGTTCTGATTGGCCGCGAGGTGGCGAGTGTGGGGGCAGAGGTCGCTGCGGCGGCCAAGGGACTGGAGGGGAGGAAGGAGGAGATTAAGCACAGGGAGTATCTGGAAGAGGTTGTTCTGATTGGCCAAGAGGTGGCCCGGGTAGGGGCAGAGATCGCCAAGGGAGGAAAGGAGCCGCCGCACGGAATCAAATCTGAGGAGGAGATCAGATCTTTGATTGCAACTGAGCTGGCCGCGGCTGGTGGCATAAAACAGCAGGAGCCGGCAGCAGCAGCTTTGGAGGAAGCTTCCAAGAAGGTGGCGCAGCTGCAGGAGCTCCTGGAAGAGCAGCAGCGCAAGGCTGACGTGGCAGGTGCTAACGTGGCATCGAAGTTCCAACAGCTGGCGGGCAAAATCTCCGCGCTGGAGCGCAAGCAGGCGCAATCCACGTCAGCAGCAGCAGCATCAGCCGTGGCTTCTGCTGCTTCTGCGGAGAACCATACTGCGCTCCCCCGTGCGGCATCCTTAGGCGGGGGGATGCCGATCTCCTCTCGGGGCCCTAAGACCATCACAGCAGCAGCAGAGGCGGCGGCAGCAGTGGTGGCGGACAGGGGGTGGGTGCAGCAGCAACTGTCGGAGCAAGAGATGAAGCTCCGGTGGCGCATGGAGGCCCTTCAGCGCATGGCGAGTGCTGCTCTTGAGAAGGCGCAGAAGCAGGCAGCAGAGGCTGCTGCGGCGCTTGCAGCAGCAGAGGCAGCAGCAGGAGCAGCAGCGGCTGGTGCGGGGACCAGTGCGGGGGCAGGAGGGGGGGCAGTGGCAGGGGAAGCGGCAGGGGCAGTGGGCGGCACAGGGGAAGGGGGCGGCTCTGGAGCAGGGGCGGGGGAAGTGGCAGTGGCCGTTGAAGGAGCGGACAGGGGGTGGGTGCAGCAGCAGCTCGCAGAGCACGAGCTGAAGCTCGAGAGGCGCATGCAGGGCATGCAGCGGATAGCAGAGTTCGGCGTGCAGAGGGTGGGGCAGCTGGCAGTGCGCGCAGCAGATATGGACTGCGCGCTGACCCAGGTGCAGGACGTCCTGGGGAGGCTCGTGGCTCGACTCCAGAGCATGGAGGAGGAGAGGTCCGCATCGTCCGCCTCTCACCAGCAGCTGGCAGTGCGAGCAGCAGAGGTGGAAGGCGCGCTGAAGCAGGTGCAGGAGGTTCTGGGGGTGCTGACAGCGCGGGTGCGGGGGGTGCAGGAGCAGCAGGCGGGGAGGGGCGCGGAGGTAGATGCGTTGGGTGCGCTGAAGGCGCGGATTGAGGGGGTTTTGGAGCAGCAGGCGGAGCGGATTGGGGGTGTGGATGCTGTGGTAAAGCAGGTGGAGGAGCAGGTGAGGCGGCTGGTGGAAGCGGACGCTTGCAATATGTCAGCTGTAGCTGTAGCAGCAACGGAAGCAGCAGCAGAAGCAGGAGGTGTAGCAGAAGCAGGAGCACCAGCACCAGAAGCACCAGAAGCACCAGAAGCACCAGAAGCAGCACCAGCGCCAGAGGCAGAAGCACCAGAAGCAGCACCAGCGCCAGAGGCAGGAGCACCAGAAGCAGCAGCAGTAGCAGCAGCAGCAGCAGCGGAAGTAGCAGCAGCAGTGGCAGAAACAGCAGCAGCAGCACCTGAAACAGCAGCAGCAGCAACAGAAGCGGCACCAGAAATTGCTGCAGCACCAGGGACACCAAAAGCTGGAACAGCACCAGAAGCAGAAACAGCCGCGGAAGCAGAAGATGCAGCAGCAGCAGAAGCGGCACCACAAACACCAGAAGCAGAAACAGCAGCAGCACCCGAAACACCAGAAGCGGAAGCAGCAGCAGCAGCAGCGGGTCTATTGCCATCGGCTGTGGCAATGACAGCAGAACCAGCAGCAACGGCAACAGAGTCTGCAGGTGATGCCACAGCATCAGCTGTAGCAGCAGCATCACCTGTAGCAGCAGCATCACCTGTAGCACCAGCAACACCTGTAGCACCAGCAGCACCTGTAGCACCAGCATCACCTGTAGCACCAGCATCACCTGTAGCACCAGCAGCACCTGTAGCACCAGAAGCACCTGTAGCACCAAAAGCACCTGTAGCACCAGCATCACCTGTGGCTGCAGCATCACCTGTAGCACCAGCAGCACCTGTAGTGCCTGTACCGTCTGTGACTTTCGCAGCGAGCCAAATTGATCTCCTGTGCCCTATGCCCCAAGATGTGGAGCCATCCAAACCGACTCAAGACTCGCCATCAGCAGCAGTCGCGGCAACAGCAGCAGCACCGCCATCACCATCAGCTGCAGCAGCAGCAGCAGCACCATCACCATCAGCTGCAGTAGCAGCAGCAGCAGCACGTTCTGTAGCAGCGTCCATATCAAGCCAGGTAGGCCTGCCCCATGAGCAGGACGCTTCTGAGCCGACTCAGGAGTCATCAGCACCACCAGCGCCACCAGCGCCACCAGCACCATCAGCACCAGAAGCGGCAGCAGCACCAGAAGCAGCAGCAACAGCAGCAGCAGAGGCACCTTCGGTTGACCTGATATTGTCCCAACAGCTGGACACACAGTCGCAGCAACTACAGGGGGACGAGGCTTCCGAGTCGACTCCAGAGCCACTATCATCTTCAGCTGCGGCTGCAGCACCATCATCACCATCAGCAGCAGCCGCAGCTGCAGCAGCAGCAGCACCAGCAGCAGCAGCAGAAGCACCTTCAGTTGACCTGATATTGTCCCAACAGCCGGACACACAGTCGCAGCAGCTGCAGGGAGACGAGGCTTCCGAGTCGACTCCAGAGCCACTATCATCTTCAACTGCGGCTGCAGCACCATCATCACCATCAGCAGCAGCCGCAGCTGCAGCAGCAGCAGCACCAGCAGCAGCAGCAGAAGCACCTTCAGTTGACCTGATATTGTCCCAACAGCTGGACACACAGTCGCAGCAGCTGCAGGGAGACGAGGCTTCCGAGTCGACTCCAGAGCCACTATCATCTTCAGCTGCGGCTGCAGCACCATCATCACCATCAGCAGCAGCCGCAGCTGCAGCAGCAGCAGCACCAGCAGCAGCAGCAGAAGCACCTTCAGTTGACCTGATATTGTCCCAACAGCTGGACACACAGTCGCAGCAGCTGCAGGGAGACGAGGCTTCCGAGTCGACTCCAGAGCCACTATTATCTTCAACTGCGGCTGCAGCACCATCATCACCATCAGCAGCAGCCGCAGCTGTAGCAGCAGCAGCACCAGCAGCAGCAGCAGAAGCACCTTCAGTTGACCTGATATTGTCCCAACAGCTGGACACACAGTCGCAGCAGCTGCAGGGAGACGAGGCTTCCGAGTCGACTCCAGAGCCACTATCATCTTCAACTGCGGCTGCAGCACCATCATCACCATCAGCAGCAGCCGCAGCTGCAGCAGCAGCAGCAGCAGCAGCAGCAGCAGCAGCAGCAGAAGCACCTTCAGTTGACCTGATATTGTCCCAACAGCTGGACACACAGTCGCAGCAGCTGCAGGGAGACGAGGCTTCCGAGTCGACTCCAGAGCCACTATCATCTTCAACTGCGGCTGCAGCACCATCATCACCATCAGCAGCAGCCACAGCTGCAGCAGCAGCAGCACCAGCAGCAGCAGCGGAAGCACCTTCGGTTGACCTGATATTGTCCCAACAGCTGGACACACAGTCGCAGCAGCTGCAGGGAGACGAGGCTTCCGAGTCGACTCCAGAGCCACTATCATCTTCAGCTGCGGCTGCAGCACCATCATCACCATCAGCAGCAGCCGCAGCTGCAGCAGCAGCAGCACCAGCAGCAGCAGCAGAAGCACCTTCAGTTGACCTGATATTGTCCCAACAGCTGGACACACAGTCGCAGCGTCTGCAGGGAGACGAGGCTTCCGAGTCGACTCCAGAGCCACTATCATCTTCAGCTGCGGCTGCAGCACCATCATCAGCAGCAGCCGCAGCACCAGCACCAGCAGCAGAAGCACCTTCAGTTGACCTGATATTGTCCCAACAGCTGGACACACAGTCGCAGCAGCTGCAGGGAGACGAGGCTTCCGAGTCGACTCCAGAGCCACTATCATCTTCAGCTGCGGCTGCAGCACCATCATCAGCAGCAGCCGCAGCACCAGCAGCAGCAGCAGAAGCACCTTCAGTTGACCTGATATTGTCCCAACAGCTGGACACACAGTCGCAGCAGCTGCAGGGAGACGAGGCTTCCGAGTCGACTCCAGAGCCACTATCATCTTCAACTGCGGCTGCAGCACCATCATCACCATCAGCAGCAGACGCAGCAGCAGCAGCAGAAGCACCTTCGGTTGACCTGATATTGTCCCAACAGCTGGACACACAGTCGCAACAGCTGCAGGGGGATGAGACTTCCGAGTCGACTCCAGAGCCACTATCATCTTCAGCTGCGGCTGCAGCGCCATCATCACCATCAGCAGCAGACGCAGCTGCAGCAGCAGCAGCAGCAGCAGAAGCACCTTCGGTTGACCTGATATTGTCCCAACAGCACGGCGCACAGCTGCAGCAGCTGCAGGGGGACGAGACTTCCGAGTCGACTCCAGAGCCACTATCATCTTCAGCTGCGGCTGCAGCACCATCATCACCATCAGCAGCAGACGCAGCAGCAGAAGCACCTTCGGTTGACCTGATATTGTCCCAACAGCACGGCGCACAGTTGCAGCAGCTGCAGACGGGGGTTGAGGAGCATGGGACTTCCGAGTCGACTCCGTCAGTAGCAGCGGCGGCAGAAGCAGCAGACACAGCAGCAGCAGACGCAACAGACGCAGCAGCAGCAGCAGCAGCAGCAGCAACAGAAGCACCTTCTATAGCGGCGTCCTTACCAAGCCAGCTAGACCTGTTGTGCGCCAAATCCCAGGAGCAGGACGCGCAGCTGCAGCAGCTAAAGTGGGGCTTTGAGGAGCATGCGAGGCAGCTCGCCCTGCTGGAGAGCGCGTGGAGTGAGAGGGTGGACGCTGCGTGCAGGGAGACGGTAGATGCAGCATTCAGAGAGAGGGTAGACATGGCATTCAGGGAGAGGGTGGATGCCGAATTGAGGGAGAAGGTAGACATGGCTTTCAGGGAGAGGGTGGATGCTGAATTGAGGGAGAAGGTAGACGTGGCATTCAGGGAGAGGGTGGATGCAGAATTGAGGGAGAAGGTAGACGTGGCATTCAGGGAGAAGGTAGGCGTTTTATTGTCGACTCAAAGGCAGCATGCGACGCAGCTGGCCCTGCTGGAGGGGGCGTGGAGGGAGACGGTGGAGAGTACAGCTGAGCGAAAGGGAAAGCACGTGAAGGACGCTCAGGAAACTGCTTCTGAGGCGCCTCCAAAGGAGAGGAAAAACGCGCAGGAAGCTTCGTCCGAGGTGACTCCAAAGGAGGGGCTGCATGTGAAGGACTTGAGGAGGAAGTGGGAGGGTATGGTAGGGGCGTCTGGGGCAGCAGCAGAACCAGCAGCAGTAGCTGCGGGGACAGGATCAGCAGCAGCAGCAGCTGCGGGACCAGGAGCAGCAGCAGCAGCAGCCGACGTAGGTGGAAGGGGGGGCAACGAAAAGCAGAGTGGCGGCTCCAAGCAGGCGGGAAGGCTGGAGAGCATGGGAGGGGCATCTGGGGTTGGAGCAGAACCAGCTGCAGAGGAAGGAATAGCAGCAGGAGCAGGAGCAGGGGCAGTGGCAGGAGGGGGAGCAGCAGTGGCAGAAGCATGTGGGAAGGCGGGAGACAAGCCGCAGAGTGAGGCCTCCCTGTTGACTCAAGTCAACGAGGAAGTTGTGGAGGAGGGGGCGCAAGAGGGAACTGCTAAGGACGGGGATCTAGAGGGAGGTGAAAAGGATGCGGCACAAGAGGGAACTGCAGCGGATGGAACCCTTGCTACAACGTCAAGCGCAGCCCTGAACACAGCTGCAAGCACTGCATTCAGCACGACCGGATCCCTCCCTCCCACCTATCCCAAGCACACAGTCGATTTCACCCGCCTCCCCAACACCACTGACAAAGACTTCGAGCATTTCCTCCTGCTCACGCAGCTGCTCCCCCCCTCCATCCTCTCCTCTATCTCCTCCCTCCGCTTCGGCTCTGAAGACGCCTCCTGCAAATCCCTCACCGCCGCCTCTCTCCGCCACGCCACCTCTCTACCGGGCCTTACCGCTCTCCACCTCCGGGGTTGCACTGGGGTGACCACCGAGGGGATTCTCCAGATCGGCCGGTTGACTCTGGTTGAAACGCTTGACTTGAGCTACACGCCTGTAGGGGATGCGGGGTTGCGGTGCCTAGAGCAGCTGGTTATGCTTCGGGAACTGGATTTGAGCGAGTGTAACCTGGTTACCGACGTGAGCGTGCAGTGGATCGTGAAGCTGAAACGGCTAAGGAAACTGGATCTGGGGGTGTGCTTGGGGATAGGGGAGAGGGGACTTGAGAGGGTTTGCCGGGAGATGACATGGCTCGAAGAACTAGGGCTGTCAGGCACGGCGTTAAGTGACAGGGGTATGGAGAGAATTGGGCAGATGGGGGGGTTGAAGAGCTTAGATGTGTCGCATACACGAGTGACGGATGAGGGCATTGCCTGTTTGGTGGTGTCAGAAGCTCTGTCGGTGGGTAAGGAGCGCGCTCGAGCGGCCCTGGCTAGAGCAGCAGCGGACGCAGAAGCAGCAGCATCAGCAGCAGAGGCCGCTGTATATGCTGCCGCACCAGCGGAAGTTGCAGGAGGAGCAGGAGCAGCAGCGGCTGCAGCTTCGGCAGAGGTGGGCAAGGCTGCTCCTCCTGTTGCTGCCCTGAACCCAGCAGCAGCAGCAGGACTGGCTGGAGCAACACCAGCATCAGTGACAGCAGCAGGAGCAGCAGGGGTGGAGGGAACAACAGCAGAGCCGGCAGGGGAGAGAGCTAGGTCACCAGGGACTATTGCGCGTGAGGCGCTGGCTCGCTTCGTTGGGGATGAGAGTGATGACGACGGCGCTGCTGCTGCTTCAGGCGATGCTGCACCTGCTGCCGCTGCTGTTGCTGCAGATGCTGCTGGTGGTGCGGCTGCTAATGCTGCTGCTGCGCCTGTTGCGTCAGGCGTTAACGCACCTGCTGCTGCTGCTGCAGATGCTGCTGCTGCTTCTGCTGCTGATGCGGCTGCTGCTGCTGCTTCTGCCGCCAATGCTGCTGATGCAGCTGCTGCTTTTGCTGCTTATGCTGCTGCTTCTGATGATGATGCAGCTGATGCTGCTGATGTTGCTGCAGCTGCTGCTGCGGATGCTGCCGCCGCTGCTGCTGCTGATGCTGCTGATGCTGCTGGTGCTGCTGCTGATGCTGCTGCTGCTTCTGATGCTGCAGCGGCTGCTGATGCTGCTGCTGATGCTGCTTCTGCTGCTGATGCTGCCGCTGATGCTGCTGCTGCTGCTAATGCTGCTGCTGATGCTGCTGCTGCAGGTTCTGATGCTGCTGCCGATGCTGATTCTGCTGATGCTGCTGATGCTGCTGGTGGCGCCGTCACTGCTGTTGTTAGGGCGTCTGCTCCTGCTAGTGGAAGTACCTCGGCTGAACCCGCCGCTGCTACTGAATCTGCTGCTGCAGAACAGACTGTTGCAGAGAAGCGGAGTGCAGAGAAACAGAGTGCAGAGAAGCAGAGTGCAGAGAAACAGAGTGCTGCAGAAAAAGAGAGCTTGGAGTATCAAAGCGCATCAACGCACTCTTGGACACTCCCTGCCCCCAGCAAGCCCAATCCCCACATCCCATCATCATCAGCATCATCTTCCCTAGAAGCTTCCTCTCCGTCCATCCCACCTCCCCCCCCCCCTGCTCCTGCCTCCCGCTACCTCCTGCGCCTTCACCTAGTGGGCTGCTCCCGACTCACCGACACCGCCCTCCACCGCATTGCACACCTCTCGCAGCTCCAGGCCCTCGACCTCAGCTTCACTAGGATCACAGGCGAGGGTCTGGTCTCTCTTAAAGCCCTCTCCTCTACTCTTAACGAGCTGGTTCTTAGTGGGTGTGAGCAGCTGGGAGTGGAGGAGAAGGAGAGGGGGAAGGAGGGGGGGAAGGAGGGGAAGGGGGGAGGGGAGGAGGGGGGGAAGGGCGGTATTATGGAGCAGCTAGGGGCGTTTGCTCAGGGGAGCTCGTGGTTTGGATTCTTGCAGATTGAGCAGCCACAGCTGGAGAGCGGAAGCAGTGGCACCAGCAGCAGCACTAGCAATGAGAGGAACAGCAGGAACAAGAGTGATAACAACGGCACCATCACTAGCAGCAGCGGCAGCAGCAAAGGCAGCGGCAGCAGGACGGCTGTAGCTGCTGCCCCAAAGGGCGGAGTCCTTCGTTATCTAGTGGCGCTGACCTCTTTGCGTAAGCTCGACTTATCCAACTGTGTGCGTGTGGGGGTGGAGGGCGTGCAGTGTGTGTGCGAGGGCATGCCCTGGCTTGAAGATCTGTGTCTTGACGGGTGCAAGCTTACAGACGCGGGTATGGAGGCCATAGGGAGAATGACCCGGCTCCGAGTGCTCGATATCTCCGGTTCTCCTATCACCGATGCCGCTTTAGTGCATCTCTCTCAGCTAAACACCGGCACTTACGGCTCGTCTGCTACCATCAGCAGCACTAGCACCAGCACAAGCACCCCAACCACCACCACCAGCACCGGCACCAGCAGCAGCAGCAGCAGCAGCATCACGAGCACCAGCACCCCAAGCACCATCACTCCCCCTCCTCCAGGACTCCAGGAGCTGCGCATGTGGCGCTGCCCCAACCTGACCTCATCTGGCATGGAGCACATCGGCCAGATCCGCACCCTCCGCCGCCTGGACGTGTCCCAGTGCCCCGTGGGTAATTTAGGGCTAGCGCACCTCCGCCCCCTCTCCTCCTCCCTCTCCTCGCTTGACCTGTCGTGGTCCGGGGTGTCAGATGAGGGGCTGTGCCAGCTGGCGGGGTATGATTGGCTGGAGGAGCTGCATCTGAGCGGCCCGAACGTGACCCCGCTGGGGCTGAGGCAGGTTCGGGGGCTGCCGAGGCTGCGGAAGGTTCGGCTGTGGTCGGTGACGAGTGAAGTGCTGGCCGCTGCAAGAGACGTGCTGTTGGGTGTGGTAGTGTACTAGGTTACCAAGGTTACGTTACATTTGCTATTTCTCGAATCGTTAAACTGCCTTCTGGAGAAGTGATGGAGAAGGCTGGGATGGTATGGGATGGGGTATGAGAAAGCTCTGTCAACCTACCGTGTGGTGGGAAGGGGTAATGTGTGGTGTGGGCAGGTGAAGTGTGCTTTTGAGGCGTGTGCCTCAAAAGAATGACCTGGACAACTGAAGCTGGTGCAATGCAGCTCAGGCAGTTGTGGTTGGAGTTTGGCTGGAGGTGAAGGGCATGTGAGTCGGATTGCTGCAGATGCAGAAGAAATTAAGCAGCAGGCTGGTACCTCAATTTATTCCTAGATCTCTCCTTACCCTGCTCCTATCACTCTTACACTTGCTCTCACACGCTCTTTCAGTGCCTTTCTCGCCTTTTTCCCAGTTCTGCTCTCCCTCTCACTATCCGTTCCTCTTCCTTTCTCCATACCTACCCTTCGGAAGATTTCCATCTCATCCGGCCCTTCGTGAATCTCCCCTTGTTGCCTTTCCTTAGCCCCTGGCTTTGATCTTCTTTTATTGGGACAACCACCTTCTTTAGTGCTTGTACTTGCTATTTCTAACATTTGCTTCTCTAGTTGGATGGTCCTTGTACCCACATCTATATTATTTCTCTTAGGTTATTAGTTCATTTGGGGACATAAGCTGGGTGCTAAGAGGTTTGGAATGATTTTCTAATGCGTTACTTCACTAACGGTTCTCTTGTTGTGGGTGTGGCCAGTGCTGGGTCAACCACATTCGTTGCAGCCAAAACCTGATCTCCTGATCTCCCTACCTGCTGGATCCGAATCACATACCAAACCTATAGTTCAGTCTGGTCCGAGCGTTATGTGATCCAATCGAAGTGCGAGGAAGCTCAACTCTTCTCCAGCTGATTCGTGGTCCGGTATAAGAAATTCCTTGCTTCAAGTCAAACACCCCTCCTCACCAGCGCCGAGCCTCACATACGCCTCGTCAGCGTCACGGCTTGATGTGGTACAGGTCAGCACTCACTCTCCAGCGCGGCGTTGGACTCGCACCGCGCGCCACGGACCTTGCACGCATCCCCCTCCACCCCGCCAGCGCAGAGCAGCAGGGCCTGGGTTTTGGGGAAGCGGCCAATCACACCACCCTTGTGAGGTACGGAGGGCGCCCAACGTAGCGTAGCCAATCAATGTCATCGATGGTCCCTTCCTCCGCGCTTCCCCTCCTCCGTCTGCTTTTCCCCCCCTTCACCTCTCCCCTCCACCCGAACCTCCTCGAGATTGCTTCCTTTCAAAAGGGTGTATATGCGGTGAAAATAGGCAGTCTTAAAGCCCGCGTTTTATGCTTTAGAACATGACGTGCTCCAGTTAGATATTTTGTGAGTGACGATACTGAACAATTCGGCAAACCTGTCGCGAGTGTATTTCGTTTCGCTCAGTCAGCGAATTCCAGGGGCACTGGTTGGGTTGGGTTTGGAAGTCCCAAATTGCAGCAATGACCACTTTCAAGTTTCCGCAGGCCAACCCACACAAACCCCCCAGCCAATATTTTGATCAATCAGGTGCCTTCGTGGTGTGTGTAACCCCAGTTTCGTGGAAAAAAAACGCCCCAAAATCGTCAGTTTTCATCTTTCTAGGCTTGAATCATGCGACACGCAATTTGAGAATCGGGCTTTAACACACGACCAGGACTTCGTCTTTCTCTAGTCCTATCATCCAGAGCGAGTGTATGTCCGCAGTCTGCAGTCTATTTTCGGTGGCTCTTTCTCTCCCTGCTTGACGTGAACATACTCCCACGCCCACGCCGTGTCTCCTCAACTGCTGTAGCCAGAAGCTCGCCATGTCAGTTACGATTTTCTTTCATCCCCAGCGTAGTCGATTCGAAGAGCCGCTTTCGCCACGCGTGGTTCTTTGCGCTGGGCTCAGCTCTTTGTAACTACTGCCTCAGCTCTTACCTCTGTACTACTGTACAAGCTCCTGCTAGTGTAGGAGGACCCTGTAAGCTGGCAGGAGCTGCACAGATCTTGAGTTGCATATTTACCGTTGTTTCGCGCCGTAGTGCATCTACTGTTCGCCTGATTAGTTCTCTTAGCGAGCTTAGTAGTTTCAGTGCGATTGTCTCGCGATGGAAGCGCTGCTGAACGACATGCACGGCGCGCACTTAATCGACTCCAGGCCTCCGCGACACTCGCTGGACGACGCGCTCCGGCAGGCCTGCCTTGCCGCTGAAACAATCCCGCCGTCGACGTCCGTCAACGTTAACGACAACGTCGGCGCTGACGGAAGGAGAATTCAGCAAGGCTCTGCGCCGAGCTGTCATGGAGGCAAGCTCAACGGGAGAGTGCATCCTGGTCTTGACGCTAACGAGCGTGCTTCTAACGATAAATATACTGCAGCTTACTTGAAGCCTGAAGATTGCGTGAATGGCGTAGGTTCTATACCCCGGTCTAGAGCATGTAAGGACCGCGTGCTGGGCGACAGTGTGATTGTAGACACTCAGAAGGGAGCTCCTTATCGCGGACGAGCGGAGCCCGGCGTTTCCGGGATTCCTGGCGTGAAACGCGGCAAACAACCCGATTTCACGAGCGGGACTCCTGGCGCTGTTCACGAAAGAAAGGGGAGCCGCGCCGGAGTTGGCGCCGGATTCGTCGGCGGCGGAGGCGGAGGCGGAGGCGGAGGCGGAGGGGGAGGGGAAGGGGGAGGCGGGGGAGGCGGCGGAGGGGGCGGGGAAGAGGAACAGCAGCAGGGTTCGATCACGCGAGAGTTTGCGGAAATCGCGGCGAGAAAACGGGCGGATCGGCTGAGGAAAGCGCGGTGCGGCGGAGTGGCTAGCGGCAGGTGCGGCGTGACATCCGCCGGAAGGGTCGGAAACGAACCGGCGGAGGGGTTGGAACGAGGTTCGGAGTCTGCCGAAGCAGCAGCTGTGGCTCGGAATGGTATTTATGGAGCGGCTAATAACGGGGCGGCTACTAACGAGCAAGGGGGGGGGAGATGGCTGGAAACGCCCAGGACTGGCCGCGTGAAAGTAATTCCGCCTTTGTCCGCCGAGAGCCGATTCGATCCGATCCACAATCCGACCCACAATCCGAACCACAATCCGAACCACAATCCGAACCACGATGGTGCTGTCAGTAGCCGTACCGCCTCTGACCGCCATGGTTCGTGTGACAGTGCGGGCAGTGCTGGTCAGACGGATAACGGTTATTTTCCCCGCGAGGAGCCGAGCGTCCGTCAAAACAGGTTCGGTGTTGGAGGCGCGGAGTGCGGAAGAGGTTTGGGAGCAGGTCCGATAACAGGCTCGGGAGCAGGCTCGGAATCAGAGGGCTATACAGTGGTGTTTTCGCGCCTGAAGGAGCAGAAGCTAAGGGAGAGAATTGAGCACAACAATAATATTAATAATAATAATAATGATCTTAATGATAACAAAAGCACCCAAGCAGCAGCAGTAGGTGGCGTGATGGACACGCAAGCTTGCTTGCTTCCGAACCAAGGCGCAGGGGGAAGCGGGAGCGGAGGACGAAGCCAAGGCGCAGGGGGGAGCGGGGGATTTATACCTGAGTTTATCCCGTTCCAGGAGGGGGCCGAGGCGGCTGTGGAGCTTACCCTAGCCTGCGGGTTGGGCGCAGCAGGGCAGGCGCGCGCGCAAGGAGAACCAGGCGCGCGGAAGCAAGCGCGCGCGGGGGGAGAGATGGGCGGAGGCGGGTTGCCCCGGAGCCCTGTGCGCAGGTCGCGTGAGAGCGTGGGGGGAAGGAAAGTGGCGGTGCCACTGGCGCAAGGGCTGGCGGAACGAGAGGCGCAGGGGGAGTACGGGGCGCAGGCAGGGGGAGGGGCGTGGGGAACAGGGGGAGGGGCAGAGGGGGCTGCTAGCTTAACATTTCAGGGGTGGGACAGCATTAGAAGGCGGGTAATTGCGGAAGAGGAGGCGGAGGGGGAGCAGGAGGGGGAGGGGGAGGGAGAGGGGGGGTGGGAGGCGGAGGAGGGGGAGGTCCGGGAAGAGGAGGATCGGGTGTGGGATGCCGAAGCTGCAGCTGCGGACCAAGCCGCGGAAATCGCTGCCAGGGCTGAGCGGCAGGCTCGGATCCAGCGGCTGCTGCTGGAGGTCAATCTCCCGAGGCTGGCGGAGTGGGGGGGCAAGGGCGGAGCGGAAATCAGCAGTGGTGCAGGGAAGGCGCTGGCTACCAGCGCGCCTGGGGGCTTTTTCGCGGGGGAGGGGAACAAGGGGGAAGGCGGAGGGGGGTATGGGGGGAATGGGGGGAACGCGGGGGGGAGTGTGTGGGGGTACAGCTCTGGAAGTGGGTCTTCTGTTATAAGCAGCAATAGCAGCAACGAGGGGAGTGGGGCAGGTAGTGGGGGAGGGGTGGTAATTAAAACGAGCTCCTCAGTACCTGTCACAGCAGCAGCAGCAGCAGCAGCAGCAGCAGCAGGAAGGGGGGGGGGAGGAAGAGCAGCAGCAGCAGCAGCAGCAGCTTTGGTCGATAGATATGACTTTCCCCCTGGGGCTGGTATGGGTGGGCCCAGCTTGGGAGGGGCTGGTACGGGGGGGGGTGGTATGGGGGGGGCTGGTATGGGATCCTACTATGAGCCAAATCCGTACGGTGCTGACGCGTTCCATGGCTCTTCAAGCTGCCCGGAAGGTGGGGTGGCAGGCTGGGGACCTTTCACTCCAAACGGGGCAGGATGGGGTGTGGGGCATCTGGGTGGGGGAGGGGGGATGGGGGGAATGGGGGGAATGGGGGGAATGGGGGGAATGGGGGGAATGGGGGGAATGGGGGGAATGGGGGAAATGGGGAGCCCACGCCTACTGAAGCAGCCAGCTCAGGTGCAGGGCAAGAAAGGGGGGTTCTTTTCGCTGCTCAAAGCAGGCCGGGGCGGGAAGAAACTTGCGAAATCGGAGTCAGCCGATGGCTGGCTGTACTAGTGACCGGCTTTGAGGTGCCCTATGATAGTACTACTATATTCGATTACTGTTATCATTTGTTATATTTCTTGTGATGTCTCACTGGTTTGAACTTTGGATTTAGCTGTGTTCCTTTTGTGCGGATTCTGGTTTGGTGGCGATATATACAGTATCCGTCAGAAACCCAGCCATTAACCACTGAGTTAAAAGGGCTTGTTAATAGCGGGTCAGTGCGCCCATAGCCCCCCACGCTTTGCAGCTGTGGCCCTTCCCCGAGGATCTTCTCAAGGGTAGTAACCCCAGCGGGTCACTCGACAGTATCAACCACCCGATTCTATCTGAACTCAATCATTCTTGACACTGCTACCTACAGTACATCAGAGGCTAGATTCCCATCCTATACTACTCTCAATTCATTACACTGCTTGTCGCCGTCAGTATCTGCCGGTCCAGAACCATCAAGTCTCCCCTCTCCCTCCCACAGCCCTCAGCTCAGGTACACCGTCAAGCGCCCTCCTTCGCACCACTTCGGTACATGCGAGGCTCAACTCCCATCATAATATAAACCGCCCCTCATTAAAGCAGAACTACATTATCATGTCTTCAAGAACCATCGGGTCTCCCCTCTCCCCCCAGCCGCCCTCAGCTCAGCTACAGCCCCAAGAGCTCGTCTCAATGCTGCTACGTCCGACACCGAACCTGCGCCGAACCTTGCTGCACACTGCCGGACGATTTCCGAAGCTGTCAAGCCCGTTTCCCCCGAGCCATGAACAGCACCGGATGCTGCCGAACCTGGTGCCAGGCCTGGTGCCGAACCTGCCTCTTGGAACAACAGCACCAACTTCTGCTGCAGGTTTGACGGGGCAGCTGAATCCTGAGCTGCTCCTGCTGCCAAAGCGGATTCCGAGCCTGAACCCACACCTAAACCTGTCCCTAATCCTACAGATCCAAAACCAAGGCCCATACTCCTCCCACCTGCAATCATCCCACCACCAATACTGCCACCACCACCACTATTCTCGCCACCACTGCCACCTCCACCTCTTCCTCCTCCTCCTTCCTCCCCTCCACTTGCTAAAGATGAAACCACGCCTTGCCTCTGCCGCAGCCTCAGCACCAGCTCACTAGAAGACAACGCAGCGCCGCCCGTAATTCCTGCACTCACTACCCCCCCAACCCCACTTCCATAGCCACTCTCGGCCAACACCCCTCCTCCCCCACCACTCATCCCTCCTCCTCCCCTGTTACTCACCCCTCTCCCCAGCCCACTCCCAAACCTGCTGCTAGCATTGGCACTCGCCGAAACAAACCTCCTCCGCCCTCCCAAGCCTGGCACACCGGCCTGGCCAGACCTGCCAGTCCACGTAGGCTCGGAAACGTCGCTGGAGGCTCGGTCGCGCTGCGATTGGTGGAGGGCGGCTGCCGCCCGTGCCGCCACGGCTGCTGCTTCAGAATCCATCCGTATCCGATCAACCGATGCCAGCCGTTCGATTGTGTCTTGGTCTAACGCGGCCTGCACACCGTTGGATTCGAAAAGAGATCTCAGGATCTTGGCCTCATCCCGTTCCCCATTGTTAAAGTTCTTACTCTCCTGTGTGCCTTGGTCTCTTCTACTGCCTCCACCCCCTGGTCCTCTGCCTGCTCCCAGTGCCCCACATCCTTCCTCCAACCCCTCTTCCTCTTTCACACTCCTTGGCTCCGCACACATTCCCCCTCTTCCTCCTCTCCTTATGTCCTGCTCCCCTCCCCTACCCCCCACCACCACTTTTACTCCAGGCAGGCTTGCAAGCACCTCAGCATTGTCCAATCGGAAACTGACATCTGTTCCCTCCTCCCCTCCCTTCCCACCCCCTACACCACCATCCCTCTCCCTTCCCCTTCCCTTCCGCTTCCCCCTCTCGCCCTCTTCCTTCCCTCCCCCCTCTTCCTCTTCCTCCTCCTCCAGACTAAACAAGTCTCTTAAATCTTTCGATTTAAACAACCGCCGCTGCTTTGGGTCTCTGAGAACCCGGTTGGAGAGCAGCTGCTTCGACAGCTGGCGGTGGAAAACCTTCTCCTCTATGGTGCCCCTCGTTATAAGCCTGTAGATGACCACCTCTCTCTTCTGCCCTATGCGCCATGCCCTCTCCCGAGCCTGTGATGGAGGGAAAGGAAAGAAGGCAAATTAGCTTCTATCGACCTTTTCCACACCACACAGCACCACTCAGCACACATCCACAAGCTCACCTGGAGGTCTGTCTAGGGGTCCTCCCAGTCGGGATTGAATATCATGACACCGTGCAGCACCGCACATCACCACACCCCTACAGCACTGTACACTTACCCACATCACTGTATACACTACCCCACAGCACCATATACACTACCCTACAGCACTGTACACTTACCCACATCACTGTATACACTACCCCACAGCACTATTTACACTACCCCACAGCACCGTATACACTACCCCACAGCACTGTATACACTACCCCACAGCACTGTATACACTACCCACAGCACTGTATACACTACCCCACAGCACCGTACATAACCCCGCAGAACAGCATGCACAAGCTCGCCTGCAGGTCCGTCGAGGGGTTCCAGTAAGGATCGAATATCATAACCCGATTGGCCGCCGTGAGATTGAATCTGCTTTTGAGTCGACTCAAAACCGAGTGTAATGAGTCTGCTTTTGAGTCGACTCAAAAGCAGATTGAATATCACCACATCATCGCGCACCACAGCACTGCACTCGACCACACACAAGCTCACCTGCAGGTCCGTTGAGGGGTTCCAGTCAGGATCGAATATCACGACCCGATTGGCTCCTGTAAGATTCGTCCCCAGTCCGCCAACCCGCGTGGTCAGCAAGAAGACAAACACGCCGCCCTCGCCACTGTTGAACTCGTCGATCAGCGCCGCCCGCAGCCCGGGCGGCGTGCTGCCATCCATTCGTCTATACTGCATGCCGCGGTTGAGCACGAGGGATTCGACTATGTCCAGCATTTGCTGCGTCTGGCAGAATACCAGGGCTCTGTGACCTTCAGCTTTCCAAACTTGGAGGACCTGAAAAGGTTTCGGGTTTCGGGTTTAGGGTTGGGGTTTAGGTTTTAGGGTTAAGGTTTCGGGTTTTAGGGGGGGGGGGGGGGGGGGGGGGTTGCACAAAGGCATGCTGCAGTTTAGCACAAGCGATTCGACTATGTCCAACATTTGCCGCGTCCGGCAGAATGCCAAAGCTCTGTGACCCTCGTCTTTCCACACTTGGAGAGGACCTGGCTTGAGTTGGGTGGATGAGGGGGGAGAGGGAAGGTGTTTTGTTGAGCACAAACGACCGACCATATCCAGCATCTGCCGTGCCTTGGCAAAATACCAATGCTCTGTTTCCATCAGCTTTTCGGGCTTGGAGCACCCGGAAGGAAGCATGAGTGTTGAGGGTGAGGAGTGCGGGACGTGGGGGAGAAAGAGGCGGCATCAGCCTTCCAGGCTTGGAGCACCTGGAAGGAAGCATGAGTGTTGAGGGTGAGGGGTGCGGGACGTGGGGGGGAAAGAGGCGGCGGGGAGGAGCATCAAGAAACACTTGCCTAAGGCCTCATAAAAAACAAAGTGTCTCTCAGCCAAACAGCACAAAGTGTTTTAGACAGAAACGCCATTCTGTACCTTCTATAGCACTTGCAGCTTGGAGCTTGGAGCTCGGCTCAGGGGCTCCAAGCTGGATAAGGTGTGAATGGACCCGCCCTCTCTTACCTTATCCAGCACTTGTAGCTTGGAGCTTCTTTCAGGGTTCCCGAAATCAGGGTCGCCCTTCTTTGTGCTGCCACCACCTCTCCTGCCCTGCCCTCCCTCCTCTTCCACCACCGCCGCCCGCCACTTCGCCCACTGCCCTCCCTCCCTTGGATCCACCACTACCTCCCTCACACCCTCACTCCCTCTCACATCCTCACTCCCTCCCTCCCCCCTCCTCCCTTTCTCTCCCCCTCCCCATCTCCTCCCCTTCTTCCCCCTCCCCTCCTCCCTCTCGTGCTCCCCTTCCTGCTCCTCCTCTCGCTTCCCCTCACCTTCCCCTCTCCCAACCCCACCCCCTCCCCCTCCCCCTCCCCCTCCCCCTCCCAGCACATCCCTTTCGTCCAAATCCAACCCCAGCAGATCCGGGTGGTTACAAATCTTCCTCAGCACATCGATCCCATATAAGCTGTTTCGATAATGCTCCATGATCTGCCGCATCTCCTCGCTCTGCAGGAACGCGCGGTACAGCGTCCGTTGGAATCTAGTGAGCGGCACCAGCAGCACGCGTTCCGTCTTCTCTGGCAGCTGGATGTCCACGTCAGCTTTGATCCTTCGGAGTAGGTAGGGTAGAATCACGTCTCGCAGCACTACGGCACACTTGTATGCTGTGGCGACCTAGATTGACGGGGGTAAAGAGGGAAGCTGGATGACTACGTCAACTTTGATTCTTCGGAGGACAGTGCCTTCCCCCCCAACACTGCTGGTAGGGGAGAATCACGTCTCGCAGCACTACTGTGCACTTGCATGCTGTGGCGACCTGCAGTGTTGGGGGGGAAGGGGGAGCGGCCAACATGAATGAACACCCGCTGCACCAGCAGCACACGTTTCGTCTTTTCCGGAAGCTGGATGTCATCGTCTAATTTGACCCTTTGGAATCACTGTTCCTTACAACGGTAAGCAAGCACAATTTACGTTAGGCTAAAGAATCACTACTATGGCACACTATTTCGATCCACCAGCAGCTATGGGGAGGCACAAACCCGGCCAGCTCCATTGCGCCTTATGGCCATGCTCACAAATCCATTGTGCTCACACGGCACAGTAAATCTTGATCCATACCCTCGTACTAGCTTTCTCACTCACCTGCAGCGGAGTGGCGTTGAGGTATCCGCCAATGGCTATGGGGAGGCACGAATCCAACCAGGTGACTCACATTGTCCCTTACTGCCAAGCTCAATCCATACACTCAGTTTTACACCATAAACCCACCAATAAGCTTTCTCACCTACCTGCAGCGGAGTGGCGTTGAGGTATCCACCAATGGCTATGGGGAGGGCGAACTCTGTGGAGAACACAGGGAGAGTGCCTAGCCTGGATATGGGGGGGAGGGGTAGTGGGGCGGGAGATGGTGTGACCGTGTGAGTGAGAAGGGAGAAAGGAAATGCATATGGGGAGGGCGAACTCTGTTGAGCAGACAGGGAGAGTGCGCAGGGTCGCCCATTCAGAACCGTGACAGGGTTGCGCAGGGTGAGTGGGTGGGTGGGACCGTGACAGTATACACACCTGCCAGGGTATACTGTCACGGTCCCACCCACCCACTCACCCACCCACCTGCCCACCCACCTGGCAGTTAAACGAAGTCCATCAGTGACCAGAGCTCGTTCAGCCGATTTTAAATCTGGGACCCTCCCTCAGTCCTACCTGCGAGTACACACACCTGCCTGCCAGGGTACACTGTCAAGGTCCCACCCACCCGCCCACTCGCCCACCCACCTGCCAGGGTAAACGAAGTCCATGAGCGACCAAAGCTCGTTCAATCTGTTCTGAATCAGCACCGCTTAGCAGCAGGTGGTGCGGCGAGCGCAGCTGCTTGCACGCACGCAGGGCTCATTCCAGTATCAAGGGTGGACACATGGGCAAGACTTAACAGTAGGACCCACCTGCCAGGGTAAACGAAGTCCATGAGCGACCAAAGCTCGTTCAATCTGTTCTGAATCGGGGATCCGCTCAGCAGCAGCCGGTGCGGCGTGCGCAGCTGCTTGCATGCGATCGTGGTGTCAGCATCGGGGTTCCGGATCCGATGGCCCTCGTCGAGTATCGCGTACCCCCAATCAACGGCCAGGAACAGCTCTCTCCTCATCCGGATCTGCTCGTACGTGGTTATCACCAGCCCGTTTCCACTGGCTGATCTGGATGCTGCTGGAATGGGGACTATAGCGAGGGATGTTAGGGGAGAGTCATGGTGTGACTGTAACGAGGGTTTTTTCGGTAGGCTCACTCCAACGGCGCTTTCTAGTGCCTTTCTCCATTTCTCAAAGACTAGATGCTGGCGCGTGGTGTTAATGCTCTTGCTCCCAACGCCGCCCTTCATCCCACTGCCGTTGCTCCCAGTCTCTTTGCTCCCACTGCCTTTGCTCTGCCTTTTGCCCTTGCTACTTTTCTGCCCCTTTCCGCCTCCTTCCTCCTCCTCGTCCTCCACTCCTCTCCAAAGGTCTTCTCCTCCACTTCCCCTTCCTCCTCTTCCTCCTCTTCCTCCTCTTCCTCCTCTTCCTCCCCTCCTCTCCCTCGCAGCCCTCATTCTTGACCCAGCCTTCATTCTCTTAAGCAATTCATCCACCTCTTCTTCCTCCTCCTCATCCTCCTCCTCCCCACTCCCCTCTATCTTCTCTTCCTCTTCCAATTCCTCCTTCCCCTCCTCCCACTCTGACTCTTCCGTCTCATCTCCTGACTCCCACTCCTCCTCCTCCTCCCCCCTTCCCCTCTTCCTCCCTCTCCCCTTCTTCTCCTTCTTCCCCTTCGGCCTCTTCTTCCTTCGTTTCTTCTCACCTCCCTCTCCTCCCTCCTCCTCTCCCCCTCCTCCTCCCCCTCCGCCTCTCCCCCTCCCCCCGAATCATGCAGAATCACCGGATTAAGCCCCGGACACCACACCCGAACCTCCCGCTGCCACTGCCGAAGCAGCGTCACGGGGCAGACCAGCAGGCTCGGGCGGTACAGCCCCGAGCGTAGCAGCGAGGCTAGGAACGCAGCCACCTGCACAGTCTTACCTAGACCCATTTCGTCCCCTAGAATGCCGCCTACCTCCTGGCAGTGCAGCTCCCACATCCATTTGACCCCCGTCCTCTGATACTCAAACAGCCTGTCGTAGACCGACCCCGGTATGTGCAGTCCCCCCTCTAGTATCACATCATCAATATCATCATCATCATCATCAATATCACCATCAACATCGCCATGATCACCACTTCCAATACTGTCACTTTCATTAGTGTCATCGCCAGTTATGTCTATTATGCCTTCCGCCTCTCCTCTCCCCGGAAACACACCATCACCACCACCCAAATCATCAGCAGCATCACCACAATCATCACCATCCCCACTCTCCTTCTTCCCCTCTCCTTCCCCTCCCCACATCCTCTCTGCAGCCTCCCCCAACATCCTATCCCCCTTCCCCTCCCTCCACGCCTTACCCGGCAACGGCCTCCTGACAACCCTCCTCCTCTTCCTCCTCCCTCCCGCACCTCCTCCCCCCAACCAGCCTATCCCCCCTCTACCTCCCTCCTCCCCTCTCTGCCCTCCCACTATCTTCGCGAATTCTCTCTGAGGCATCCCAGCCTTCGGGACTTCGTCCAACCCTAGCAGCTTAGTTTGCCGCTTCCCCTGCCTCTCCCTCACCCCCTCCCCTTGCACTGCACCCTCCCCTACCCCCACTCCCTCTCTCTCCAGCCTCCCTCTGCTTCTTCCCCTACCCCCCTGCTCATCCATAACCCCTCCCTCTGCTTCCCTCCCTCCTCCACCCTCCAGACCCCCACCCTGCACCCCTGAGGCACTGCTGCTTCCTTCCCGGAGCCGAGACTTGTGCGAGGCACCAGACTGGACGGCCTTGTCAAAGCCCTTGAGCTGAGCGAAAGGCGTGATCAGGCCCAGGCGAATCAACCTATCCCGCTCCTGAAGCAAGGTGTAGGGAGGTGGGAAGTGTGAGGTGGAGGAAGGTGGGAGGTGGGAGGTGGGAAGTGGGAGGGGAAAGAAGGACACCAGACTGAACAGCTTTGTCAAAGCCATTAAGCTGACAAAAGGCGTGATCAGTCCCAGGCGAATCAACCTGTCCCTCTTCTGATCGGGTTTGAAAGCCTTACCAGAAGCAAGGGTCAATAGGAGGCAGAGAGACGGGAATGGCAGGAGAAGTTAGGAGGAGTGAGGTGAAAGGGAACCCACTCTCCTATGGTTATCTCAATCAAATGTGGATGGAACAGACCGGAAAACAGGATATTATGCACACAATTAAAAAGATGTATATATATAAATATATATATATATATATAATTCAATCTATGATTTCCACCAAATCTTGCATATGCTGAGAAGATCTGTTACCTGTGACTGAAATCACATAATTGTTGCAAGCTGGTTGAATCACATACCGTTTCCACGAATCCAGTAGCACCAGCACCATCCAGCGCCGAATCAAAATCATCCACGTCATCCATCAGCATCGGTGCCTCCACCTTCTCCTTCCCTTTCCCTTTCACCTTCCCCTCACCCTCCCTCGCCCCCTCTCCCCCTCCCCTTCCACTCCCCCCACTTCTCCCACCGCCATCATTCAAACCTACCCTACTTCCCAACCCCGTAACACCTTTACCCTTCCCTCTCCCCCCACCCCTTGCTCCTCCCCCTCCCCCATCCCAATCCCTCCCCCTTCCCTCTCCCCTCCCCCCCCGACCTCCCCCGTCCCCTCTCTCTCTGCTCCCGTCCACCCCTCCCCCAGGTCCAGCCTCCCCCAGTTGAGCCTGCAGCTGCCTGCGCAGCTTGAGCAGGCTCTTGACCCGCTCCTCTGTGAGAGCCAACTGCAAATTCCTCGCAGTGCTGTCTGCCTGGCTGCTACCCCTGTCTTGGCTACTACTAGCAGTGCCATCTGCCTGACTGCCTCTCACACCACCTCTAGCATGGCTCGTCCCACCCGGCTGTTTCTCACCATCAGTAACATCCCCGCCACCACCAAGTGCAATGCGGTCGCGCTCTCCTTCCACAATCGCAGCAATATCAACGCCCTTCTCCTCATCCTCCTTCTCAACCTTCCTCCCTCCGATGCTGTCATCCCGTCCTAACCGTCCGATGCTGTCAGAAGCTCCGAATCCAGTTGGCGTGAGACTCTTTCCCTTCGCTCCACCTCCTCCGGGCCCTCTGCCAGACCCTCTCCCGCTCACGCATTTACCCTTCTCCGCACCTCCACTCTGACCGCCCTTCAGCGCCATGAGTGTGTCTCCCAGCGCGCTTAATTCCCTCGCCACTGCTCTCAGCTGCTGCCGCACCCTCGGTGCCTGAACCGGTTGAGGGGATTTTCTGGGTTGTGGCGCTTTCCTGGGTTGTGGCGCTTGAGTGGTCATTTCGGACGCTTGAACGGCCAAGTCTGACGGCGGGACGGTCGATTCTGACGCCTGAACAGTCAACTCCGACGGCTGAATGGTTAAATCTGACGGCTGAACGGTCGGTTCTGATGCCTGAACGGTCGGTTGGACGGCGAAAACGCTTGTGTCAACAACAGCCCCTGTAGGTCGCATATCTCTCTCTTGGTCAACAGCTTGTTCCGACTTCGCCAGCTGCTGCTGCTGCTGCTCCTCATCCACCGCAACGTTCTCCTCATCCTCCCTGTCCTCCTCCTCCTCAGTTTTGATCGATGACACTCTCACAGGTAAAACCTCCACGTTTTCGTCCCTATCCTTCACTTCCCCTTCACCCACTCCTACCCATCTCCCAGCAGTGCCGCTTTCGATTCGCTTATCCAGATCCATTCGATCGACGTCCTTGAGTCAATCGCGGGGTTTTTTCAAACGCGAATACGAATCCGAGACTTGTGCACTTTCACTACTAACTGATGCAACGCATAGACGGAAAGACGAGCAGACTCTGCTCAATTTTGAATGCGCATTAGCTGGCTATGCTACTAAAGATCACTCATTCAGCACACACCCACGCGCGGGAATTCTAAAGACTGACCGTTGAAGTGCAATTGTCAGGATTCTGTGGCTTTCGATGCGTTGAAGCGTCGACGTCACGCTTTTCCCTGGAATCTGACCCTGACACCTACACCAGTGAAACTTGGATCTTCCCCGTTGCCTCTACTGCTGCCTCTTCCCTTACCTCTTCCCGTACCTCTTGCCTCCCCCCGTTTGCCAACTATGAACACCTCACCAGATCATCTGACAGCTCCGCTTTGTTCTTTGTTTCCTGCCGAACCTCTGTCACCAGACCAGACCTTGGTCTGGCCCGGAGGCTTAGCTGCTTGTTGCTGGTGATGCCTGTGGTTGCGTGGCAATATTGTTTGCCGAACCTGCTGTATATGTTAGTGTGTGGGTAATTTGTGGAAACACGTTCGGCACGGACCACAAGCTCACCTTTGGCATTTTTGGGGGGAAAGGAAGGTCACGCAAAATTTGAAGGGTAACCCCAAGGCAACATCACCAACGTGAATAATGTGAGGGCGGATTCCTGCATCGTGTCATTGCGAGTGCCTCCCGACATTTGTCTGTAGAAGACACCAGGTTCGGATGACTCCTAGATATCCCTAGATCGGATGGCATTCGAGGATGACACCCGTGGAGGAAACTCCCAGGCGAATTGCACAATGCATTGGGCTGTGTGAGCACAATGTACTGGACAGTGTGAGCTACTGTGCTCAGAAACATAAGAGCCTGCAATGAACCGAACTCCATCACACAGAAAGAGCTAAAACCGCTGAACTTTCCGAACTGTTTGTGGACAATTGAGTTGAGCCAGATCCACAAGGAAAGGGTGAAGCATCAAGGATATGCCAGTTTCCTTGTTTGGGTAGTGTTGTTACAGCGTCGTCATCACTCGTCACTGGAAGCCTGTCAATCTTTGTCCTGCTGGATCTGTGGAAATGGCTGATCGTGGTAGCAGCCTCCAAGCGCGACTCAGACGACTTCAGTCACTTCCAGGAAACAAGGAGTGCGCTGATTGTGGGTGTAAGAATCCTCAATGGAGCTCTGTTACCTACGGAATATTTCTTTGCTTGGAATGCTCTGGAGTTCATCGTAGTCTGGGGGTGCACGTCAGTTTCGTGAGGTCTGTTGGCATGGATTCTTGGAGTTCAGAACAATTAACGCGAATGGAGGTAAGTATACGCAATAACTCAATATCCCGTTTATTACTTTGCATGATAGGACTCTAAGATGTTTCGAGGGTGCAGAATGGTGGGAATTCAGCATGGAACGAGTTTCAGGATCGATACCAGGGCCAACAAGGAGTGACTGATCAAGCCATAAGATATACATCTCAAGCAGCTGAGCTGTACAGAGAGAAGATTGATGCGTTGGCTGCTGGACGCCAGTGGGTGGCACCCCCACCTCAACCGCGCCAGCAGAGCGTAAGTGACCTAAAGGGACATGCAATAGAACAGAAGTGTCGTTCTGAAGGCAGCGGCTGACCCTTGTGTTTCTGCAGGCTCCTAAAACGAATTTTGTGAAGGATGGGAGTACTTCAAAAATTGACCACTGGGACGACTGGGGTGAAGGCTGGACGACAGTGCGTGTCTAGGATTGAGAAGTTACCAGATATTTTCCCTACGCTATTCGCATTCGTGCATTGTCGCCGTGGTCATATTCCGTTTGAAAGAATAAAATATACTTTGGACAAAGCACAAGAGGGAGAAACGCATGCTTTGAGAAAACTACTGGACATGCCTCAGCGTGCGAGCATTACTGCTCCGCCACTTCGATCATCGCGGCGCAACATAACCGCGTGAAGGAGTTAAAACCGCTTCTTAATTCCCCCATACGCACGGTACGTTCCAGGCCGGCAGGTTGTACATGGTTAATATTAACAGCTCAGGCGAGGCGACCGTCTCAAGAGTTGGCTCCGACGGTACCCCAGCCCTCACCCCAGTCATCCCAACTTTGCGAGGCGACGGCTCGTGCGGGAGGAGCGGTGCATCTTCTGCTGTTTCTTGACGCAGCAGAAGAAGCTCGGGATGCAGTTGACAGAGTAGAGCGCGCCTGAACAGCAATAATATGCAAAAAAAAGGAGAAATATTAGCAAGTTGATCGGCTATCACTCCACTTTAAACATAGTACGTCAAACTGGTGACCAGTACGACTTGTAGAGGGAAAGTGGGGGAAACGACATAACTTGACCACAAGGGCGCAAAGCTTGGGCGGAATGCTTACCACTGTCTTTTGCTTGGGCGTCAGTCCAGGCGGGGGGGTCCACGCTCGACCAGCCACAAGCACATCCAGCTTTTCCCGGTAAAACTGAGCGGCAGGCGACGCGTATTTCTTCGCTATTGTCGCAGTCTCCGTCGAATCAGCGTATCGGTCAAGGAAATCGTTCCAGGCAGAATTCCCTCCCACTTCCATCCGCTTAAGCTGAGACTCGCTCCACGAATCCATGATCACGGAACGGACGAAGCTCAGGTGCACACCGAGACTGCGGTGAGTGCCGGAGCACTCGAGGCAGAAGAAGATGCCGTAGGTCACGGAAGCCCATTGCGGGTTCTTACAGCCGCAGTCCGCGCACGCCTGGTTGCTGGCTATCGCCTGCACCTTTCGTAGCCGAGCTTGCATCATGGGTGTCGCCATTGCTTTAAAATCTCAAGCGTTGGGGTGTGTAGCTGCGTCAGTTTCCAGGTGTACAGTTGCGCGTTCGGCACTGATGGTCTTGATCGTTGGATCTCAACTGAGTTGTAACGATTGGGAATAAAAAAACTAACGGCGCACGGTAGAAAGTACAGAGAGTGCTCAACCCCTTCGGTTGCGCGGTTTCCGACTAATAGAAACGAAGTATTGAGCACTCAAGTCGACACTTGAATCGACTGAACGACTGAACGAAAGAGCTAACCACTAAACGGACCAAATCAGAAACAGGGCCAGGATAGAACTAGGCTAACAAGGTCTGACTGATGCACCGAGCATTTTAGAGACAACCAGTCACAAGGAACCGCAGGTGACAGGTCGGAGGGGGAACAGGAGGTCCGAGAAAGGGGGGAAGTGTGCGCGAAGCCGGGAGAACTGTGCGCGCCACTCCAATAATTTCGTGCTGGTTTGGGTGGGATGGGGGGAACTGGACTGGATGGGCTGCGTGGCGGGCAGCCCTTCCCCCTCTGGCTAGTTTGTGAAGAAAACGGGGGAATCGGGGGGAATAGTGTGGACCATGGAAAACGAAGAATGCTCATTTTCCCAGACTAGCTGGCGGCAAGCCCCGCCAAGCCACACCGAGTCCACCACACCTCAATGCGGTGATGCACCCGCGGGATTCGTTCCGCCGACAGGGCTTGTTCGCTGGGGGTTTGACAAGTGGGGGAAAAGAAATTGGGGGAGCAGGTCGAACAAAACTGCACGTGGAGCGCGTGGGGGTGGGGGACCTTCGGTTCCGAGGGACTGGGGGGCTGCGCAGGGGGAACTCGGAGGAATATACAGTAATAGTAGGGCGGAGCGGAAGCGAAACGTCCGTTCCACGATGGTAGGTGGAAGCAACCGCATGCGACGCGGGGCATGGCATGACCGTGCGGGATGTGGTGGTGTGATGTGATGGGCCATGGGCGAAGAGCTGGCGAAGCCGTTCGAACTCATCGCAAGTGCGATGGGTGTTCTTTGCAACATTCGCACCAAACCGACGACATTTTTTTGCGCGAAAATGCATCGCTACGCGTTCGGAACAGTCTCTCGACCACGTCCGCGACAAGCTGGTAAATCTGCAAGACGTCGTGATTTCAGGTTCGTGCCGCGTCTCTGTGCCGAGCCATCGGACTCCGCACGTCCAATGAAGGGGGAGGAAACGCGGTGCGCGAGCCTAGAAATAGGCCCGTTCGCATTTCTCTGAGCACACGTCACTGTAGCATTGGTTGGTGGGGGGAGCGGAGGCGTAGTGGATTGGTTGGTGCGATATCTGCTGTCAACCGTGGCAACATGGCCCCACCTGATGGCACCTGAGATCCGTTACTATACAGAATGACACTGTACACATCAACACTCTATTGTCACACCATGACATGCCGACGCGTTGTGGGATGTGACAGCTTTGACTGGCCCCGCCAAGCGGCGATCGTCCAGCAACACCGAAATATGTGAAACGCGGACGGTCACCGTCACCGACTCCAAAAGCAGTGGTTCGCGCCACAGTACAAGAAAAGTGACTTCCAGAGAGAGGCCTTTTCCAGTTTTAGTGCTATATTTTCATATTTGTCTGGAAGTGCTACTACACACCCTGAAAGGCGCAGAGTTTCACTGCACCGACCAGAAGTATATGTGCATATACAGCCAGTTAACCTACGGGGAGTAACAAGCCTTAGTGTAAAGAACTCTAGGCGGCAACTGGGGCGGCATTGAGGGCCTTGAGGGGGTTGGTGATAACAGCATCGATCAAGCCATACTCCTTGGCCTCTGTTGCACTCATGAAGAAATCGCGATCCGTGTCCTGTCATGAGATAGCACGGAGGAGAGAGCGCGGGAAAAAAAGAGCACGGGGGGGGGGGGAGAGACACCATGGGAGCATGGCAGGTTGAAGGGCGTCTTCAGGAAGGCAATGAATCAACTAGCCATCACAAAGACACTCCCAAGAGCACTCCTCCATGTTGCACACAAAATGTACTCATAACCACCTCCTGGTCACACCTGTCTGGATAGGATTGCCTAAAGTGGTACCCCAGGTAACCGTTCAGGTTGACCTTGTGACACAAAAAAAGTCACCTGAATCTCAACAACCGGCTGCTCGACGTCTGTCCGTCTATTACTCTGAATCTCACCTGCACTATCTGGTCATAAGACTGCCCGGTGTGGTAGGGCAAATAACCGTTCAGGTTGGCCTTGGTGCGGGATCTTTCGCCTGCCTGATTGTCTGCTTTCACACCACCTCCTGCTCGCCCACACTCCGCTCACCTGCACGATCTGGTCGTACGACTGCCCAGTGTGGTACGCCAGGTATCCGTTCAGGTTGGCCTTGTGGTGCAGAATCTCGTTCGCCTGGATCTCAATGTCCGTCTGCTGCCCCTGCGCCCCTCCCAGCGGCTGATGGATCATGATGCGGCTGTTGGGCAGGCTGTAGCGCTTGCCTGTGGGGGGGGAGGGGGGGAGGAGGGGGGGGGGGGGGGGGGGGCGGGCGGGGGAGGGAGGGACACCATGAGAGGGGGGAACGAGAGGGAGGAATAGGAGACGGATAAGGGGAGGAGAAGTTGCTGGACATGCCCCTGCCCCCTGCGTCCCTCCCAGCGGCTGATGGAACATGATGCGGCTGTTGGGCAGGCTGTAACGGTTGCCTGGGATGGGGGGAGACAGAGTATGAGAAAGAAAAATTCGAAGGGGGACACCTGGCGGGGGACAGAGTATGAGAACGAATTTTTCGGAGGGGACACGGGGATTAGATGGTGCTGGATATGCCCCTCCCAGCCGCTGATGGATCATGAGGCGGCTGTTGGGCAGGCTGTGGGGGAATGGGGTGTGGGGGAATGGGGGACTGGGGGGGGAGGGAGGAGAGGAAGCAGAGGGAGAAAAGGACCTTGCATGGGTGATGGAATGAGCAGCCTGCTCGAAAGGCAGCATGCACGGCAGGAAGCTGATTCAGTGACGCAGCTTGCTAAAAAGAGGTCTATTTTTGAGGCGCCTCAAAAATAGACTCCTCACGCATGCACGGCAGGAAGCTGATTCAGTGACGCAGCTTGAGTGACGCAGCTTGCTAAAAAAAGGTGCCATGGAAGGCAGCAAGGGCAGCATGGGCAGCCACCTTTATTAGCATGGCACGCAGCATGGGCCGTAGATGGAGTCTGAAGGATGGACTCCTACTGATGAGAATTATTGCTGCAAGCCAGCATGTAAGGCAGCTTGGCAGGGCGGGTTGCCAGGGCAGCTTGGCAAGGCAGTTCACACGAACGTACCTTTCGTTCCTGCTGAAAGGAGGAAGGCGCCCATACTGCAGCACAGGAGAGCACAGCACAGAGCGGATGCACAGAGGAGAGAAAATAAATAAGTAAATAAACTCATGTGAAACCAGCTCACGAGGACGGACAGGCGAGAGAGTAGGGGTTAACGGGATAAGTAAAAAATAATAATTAAAAAAAAAAGAGGAATAGGTAATTGCTTAAGAGTGGCGCATGTGAGTGTGCTGCTTGGGTGGGGGGGAAGAAGAGGAGGGAAAGGGGGGAGAGAGAGGGGGTTGTTGAGGTGGATGGGTGGTGGGGAAGAGTGGCATTAGTGTGGATGTATCCGCAACCCCGCAACAACCCTCGACTGGCAGTAAGCGATAATTAAGTCGACTAAAAAATCACCAATGGGTGTTGAGCCTTGCGGGTGGTGGGCAGGAGAAGCATGAGTGTGCATGTAGTAGCAGCCCTCTGCAACAACCCTCACCTGGCAGCGACGCCTAATCTTGAGGCGCCATGAGGGCATGAGTGTGCATGTGTGTGCGGGGAGGAGCGGCATGAGTGTGCATGTGTGGCGGGGAGGAGTGGCATCAGTGTGCATGTGTTCGCAACCCTCTCAAACAACCCTCACCTGGCAGCGAGGCCGACACACACAGTGCTGACGTCCGGCCGGATGTGGCGCATGGTGTCAAAGATAGCCATGCCTGGGGGTAATTGGGGAGCGGACGGGGAGGGGGGGAGGGGGGATGGGGATCGAAGTGGCCAGGGAGTTACAGGCGGTGTTCGGATGTGGTGCATGGTGTCAAAGATGGCCATGCCTGGGGGGAATGGGGGAGCGGAAGGGTGAGGGGAAGGGGGAAAGGGAGGGGAAGGCGGAGGGAGGGAGAAGGGGATCGGAGTGGCGAGGGATATTTAGATGGTGTTTGTATGGGCCGACTGACTTATGGCGGAGGGGGAGGAGGGGACGTTGAGATGAGGTGGTTGCAAGGTGTTGTATAATGAAGGTTGACCATTTAAGTTACGAGGTGTGTGTATTGCCGTCAAACACCTTGACATACTGCTTCAGTCTATCCGTTTCTTGCAACCAACTCTTGAAGCCAGCAGTATATGTGCAGTGTGGGGAGGGTGCGTATAAGCAATATAGGTGTAGTGTGGGGAGGGTGCGTATAAGCAATATAGGTGTAGTGTGGGGAGGATGCGTATAAGCAATAGAGGTGTAGTGTAGGGAGGATGCGTATAAGCAATAGAGGTGTAGTGTAGGGAGGATGCGTATAAGCAATATAGGTGTAGTGTGGGGAGGATGCGTATGAGCAATATAGGTGTAGTGTAGGGAGGATGCGTATAAGCAATATAGGTGTAGTGTAGGGAGGATGCGTATAAGCAATATAGGTGTAGTGTAGGGAGGATGCGTATGAGCAATATAGGTGTAGTGTAGGGAGGATGCGTATAAGCAATATAGGTGTAGTGTAGGGAGGATGCGTATAAGCAATATAGGTGTAGTGTAGGGAGGATGCGTATAAGCAATATAGGTGTAGTGTGGGGAGGATGCGTATAAGCAATATAGGTGTAGTGTGGGGAGGATGCGTATAAGCAATATAGGTGTAGTGTAGGGAGGATGCGTATAAGCAATATAGGTGTAGTGCTTCACATTCAGACAACCCAGGTTTCACGCTTCAGCTCTCTCACTCACTATGAGGATGAACTCTCACTATGAGTATGAACTCTCACTATGAGTATAAACTCTCACTATGAGTATAAACTCTCACTATGAGTATAAACTCTCACTATGAGTATGAACTCTCACTATGAGTATAAACTCTCACTATTCTCACTATGAGTATAAACTCTCACTATGAGTATAAACTCTCAAAATTTGGATTCCGTGTTGAGCCTCTCAGTTCCTCCCTCCCACCTCCCCTCGCCCTCCTTCCCAGTCCCCCACCCTTCCCCTCCCTCCCAACCCTCTTCCTCCTTCCCAGTCCCCCACCCTTCCCCTCCCTCCCAACCCTCTTCCTCCCACCCCCCCCCCGCACCCCACCCCACCCCACCCCACCCCACTTCACTGAGCTCACCAGCGGTAACGGAGCCACCAGGCGAGTTGACGTACATAATGATGTCCTGGGGAGAAGAAAGGAGGGGGGGGGGGGGGGGGAGGGGAAGAGAAGGGAAAGGGGAAGGGAGCGGAATGAGGCAGTTGACATGGTGAATACCAGCAGTGACGGAGCCACTGGGCGAGTACAAGTCCATAATGATGACCTGCACTAGGACGGAAGAAATGGGTTATGAGGCGCCTCAAAAGTCGGATTATGAGGCGCCTCAAAAGTCGGGTTTTGAGGCACCTCAAAAGTAGCCACAAGGCGAGTACAAGTGCGTAGTGATGACCTGAACTAGGACGGAAGAAAAGGGAGGAAGGGGGGGGCGAGGAGGGGACTAGTGTGGGGAGGATGCGGAGGTGCAGTGGATTCGGAACCACAGGAAAGACGACATGCCGCAGTGGTAGACAACGGTCAGCACCCGAAGGCAAAAGGGAGCGGTAGGGGAAGTCTTATGCCTTCAGGGTGCTGACCGTCATCCACCCGCCATGTTGGTCTTCAGGGAGGTCTTCAGGGCACCTTATGCCGCGTATTTCCAATCCTGTGGTTCCCAATCTTGAGTCGACTCATAATACACTGCCGCGTATTTCCAATCCTGTGGTTCCCAATCCACTGCACCTTCGCACCCGCCAATACACCGCTCATCAGCTTAAGCATCCGCTCCCTTGCCCAATTGGCCACTTCGTCAGTATGTAGGACTCAAGTAACAGCGGCCCACGCCCTTGCCTCTTCCATCCTTAGGAGCCCAAAATCAACGGCTGCGATTGACTCACCTTGGTGGGATCAACGGCGTCGAGGTACAGCAGCTGCGCCACAATCAGATTCGCCATGTCGTCGTCCACAGCCCCTCCGCACCGGATAATGCGCTGATTGGGGGGGGAAAGACGGGGAGAGGAGGGTGGGGAGGGGGAGGGGAGGGGGGGTGGGGGATGGGGAGGGGAGGGGGGGTGGGGTGTACAAGGGGGGAAGGGGGAGACAGGGGTTGACGATGAGGTTGACCATGTCATCGTCCACGGCCCCTCCGCACCGGATGATGCGCTGGAGGGAGATGAGGGGGAAAGGACGAGGGGTGGGGGATGGGGAGGGGGGAAGGGGTGGGGGGTGTGGGGGAGAGGGAGAGTGGGAGGGTGTCCAACGGGAGAAGGGGGAGCGGGGGTTCCACGATGAGGCTGGCCATGTCGTCGTCCACCGCGCCCCCGGACCGAATGATGCGGTGGGAAGGAGGGGGTTGGGAGATGGGGGAAGTGGGAAGGGGGGGGGTTGGGGGATGGGGGAAGTGGGAAGGGGGATCAGGAAGGGGGAATCCACGAATAAGGTTGGCCTTGTCGTCATGCACCGCCACGATAAGGGAGCATTTTTTAGTCGACTCAAAAGTCACCTCATAAGGGAACAAGGGAGGTGGAGTGTGTAAGGAACGGATCCGGCTCGGCACATTCTCTCCACCCCACCCCACCCCACCCCACCCCAGCACATAGGTGCAGGCACCACGCGCTGTTACACATAGATACGAACGCGCGTACTTTTTGGAGGAGCTAAGAGACGACCGACTGGAACGTACGTACGTACGTTTTGGAAGAGCTGCGAGATGACCGACTGGAACCGTTCCTGCAGCATGGGGGGCGGCGCGCCCTGCCCCGCCACCACCGCCGGCGCGCCCATGTACAGGCTCTGCGGCACGTCGAGGTCGTTCCGCATGGACCAGATGTCGCCGCTGTTGGCGGCGGAGCTCGGGGTCCACAGGCGCTCCGAGCGGACCGCGCTGCAGCGCACGCCGGCAGCGGAGGAACGGCTGAATGCCGGGGGGGGGGGGGGGGAAGGGAACGAGGGGGGGAACGGGCAAAAAAGGGAGATTGCGGAAAGCAAGGTGATCCAAGCGGACAGCGCTGCAGCGCACGCCGGCAGCGGAGGAACGGCTGGAGGTACACAGGCTGAAAGGAAGAAGCAGAGAGCTTGGTGAGGGGCCACGGAGATCGGGCGAGACATGGGATTGGGGGGAAGAAACAGAACAAGTTAATAAGTACAGGAGTAAGAAATCAGCTGTGGGGAGGGGAGATCGAGCGAGGTGAGTGGGGATCGAGGGAAAGGGCAGGGGTGAGACGGAAATGCAGACGCGCGCCTCGTACCAAGTGACTGAAGAAGGGGTTGCTGATCAGTGGCGATCAGAGGATCAATCGCCTCTGGAGTATTTAGAGTCGACTCAAAATATCAATCGCCTCTGGAGTATTTTGAGTCGACTCAAAATATAAATCGCCTCTGGAGTACGGGATCCATCAGAGGCGATTGCCCTTAGCACGATCCATACAAAACTGCGAATACTATGGATTCTAAGGCTGCAATCATGATCGTCGGATTCGGAAATGGCAAAAAAAAAAAAAAAAAAAAAAAAAAGGCAGGATAGCTTACGCATTACCTACAACCCGGCGCTACACACTGCGGATCATGTTCTAAAGCCAAGGCTATGCACTATTCACTTCCTTTCTATAAGAAGCCCCCCTGAAGCATCGGCCTCCGTAACCACCTAAAGCAGCAACTTCAAGCCTCCATAACATACGATATTCTCTACCCTTTTTCCTTAGCCTCTTCGGTAAAGATCCAGCACTTATTCCTACGCGTTTCTCAGACAGCGGCCCCGGTGCACTACCTCGGCGCGGCGACCTGTAGTCTCTTGTGCTGGCTCGCCTTGAGGCTCGTGCTGCCGACAAATGCTGACGGCTTCACAGCCGCAGCCGTCTGCATCGTAACGGCCGACATGGTCTTCGCCGGCTGGCTGGTTGTAAGCGGCTGAATGTACGTGCACGAAGCGTGACGAGCACAGAACAGGAGGACTTAGAAACTCCCAGCAGCAATAACTACCCCAGCAACAAGCAAAGGTGCCTCTTATTCTAGCAGGGTCCTCCTAGGGTTCCAAGATAGAACCTCCAAGGGAAGTAGGCAGGGTGCAGTGTGCTCACAGCTCAACTGAGAATGAACAGTGTAATTTTCGGTAACCCTGTGTAACAGCTACTGCTGACCGTTGGATAAGGCATTTTCCACCGCGATCCTTGGGAACTTCGAACTCTGTGAAGGGGGAACGGGCAGCGGCGGAGTAGAGGGAGGGGGGGAACCTGGACGGCGGAGGCGGAAAGGGGAAATGACAGAGGCGATGAGGCGACGTGGCGAGTAGCAAGCACCAATCGACAAGTGGCCGTAGCGAATGGCGGGACGCCACGCTGTCGAGGATATGCCCGCGATTGTATAAAGCTGTACTTGCCAAATCACAGATTTGTGTAGACCTTACAGAGGTAGCGAAGGAAGTTCCACAAAGGAGTGTTATTGATAAGAAGTACAAAAGGTTTACCATATCAATCCCCATTCTTGAGGGTCTTCTTTTCGTACACACCATCTTTCCCTCTCACCCACACTTCTCCTCTATGTTCTAACACATCCAACTTCTCACTTCTCTTCACACGACTTGCTTTCCTTCCTCTAAAATAATTATCAATGATGCCTGGCTCTTCCACACCTTGCCGGCCACGGCTCCTTTCTGAAGAACGTTTCTCCTGCAGATCCTTCTCCAGTCGCGCATTCCTCTTTCCGCCACCAAAATCCGGTCCTCCATTTTCTTCTCTTACCGGCATCCTCTTTTCTTCCCCCGACTGCCCCTCCCAATCTCTCACGTCACTTCGCTCCCCTTGTCTACCTCCCTCCCTCCACCCATCTCGAGCCTCCCTATCACTCGACGCAACCTCTCTCATCTCTCCTCCCACCTTCCATTGAGCATCCCTGCCTCTCCTCCCCCTCTCCCACCCATACCCCCCCACATCCTCCTGAGAAGCAGCCTCCCCCAGATCCAACCGTCCAGTTCTACCTCCCCCAGATGGCTCCACCTCCCACCGCCCGTTCCTCCTGAACACGCGGTCCATGCTTGTGTCCATTGCAGACTCAGGTACCTCCCCTCGCAACACAGCCCTCTTTCCAGCTGCAGCTCTCTCCCCTGCGACTGCCCTCTCCCCTGCTACTGCTCTCTCCCCTGCTACTGCTCTCTCCCCAGCTGCAGCCCTCTCCCCTGCTACAGGTCTCTCCCCTGCTACAGCCCTCTCCCCTGCTACAGCCCTCTCCCCTGTTACAGCCCTCTCCCCTGCTACAGCTCTCTCCCCTGCTACAGCCCTCTCCCCTGCTACAGCTCTCTCCCGTGCTACAGCCCTCTCCCCTGCTACAGCTCTGGCTGCTGCTGGAACTCCCACTTCTCCATCCCCTCCAACCACCACTGGCCCCTGACTTGCTACAGGTCTTGCATCGCCCATTAAAGTGGGGGTCTGAGCAGCAGTAGCAGTTGAGCTGCCAGCCATGCTCTCCCCCTTGTTCCTAGTCGGAATGGCAGCAGGTGGAGAGGCAACATCAGCACCAGGAGCACAAGGAACAGGTTGGGTAACAGCAGGGGCACCAGGAGAGCCAGCAGCAGGAGCGAGAGGGGCAGCAGCTGGAGCCGGAGGAGCTGCAGCAGGAGCCGGAGGGGCAGGTGCAGGAGCCGGAGGGGCAGGTGCAGGAGCCGGAGGGGCAGCAGCAGGAGCCAAAGGGGCAGCAGCAGGAGCAGGACCAGCGGAATTCGCAGCAAGACTTGTCAACACAGGGGCAGGTGAAGCAGCCGAGCTGCCAGCATTGCTCTCCACTCCCTTACTCCCAGAGCTCATGGCAGCACGTGGAGGGGGGACAGGAGGAGCACGAGGGGCGGGAGGAGGAGGGGCAGGGGCCACAGGGGTAACCGCAGCAGTCGAGCTGCCAGCAGTGCTTTCTGCTTCCTTGTCCCCAGGGCTCATGGCGGCACGTGGAGGGGGGATGGCGGACGAAGGTAACGGAATGGCAGTAGTGGAAGCTGCGCCTGAATCTGAAGCAGGTACAGCTGTAGCAAGGGCAGAACCAGCAGGAGAACCAGCAGCAGAACCACCAGCAGCAGAACCAGCAGCAGAACCAGCAGCAGCAGAAGCAGCAGCGGCTGAGAGCACAGAGGCAATTCGAGCCATGGCCACAGCAGCAAAGAGAGCAGATGTCGCGGCTGCTACCACCTTCCCTACGAATACTGCTGGTTCCTTGGTTGATGATGCTGCTGCTGCTCCTGCCTCCTTGCTACCTATAGCAGTGGCCACAACAGCCAAATCATCTGCACCACCAGCACCAGCACCAGCACCAGCACCAGCACCAGCACCAGCACCAGCACCAGCACCAGCATTACTTGCCACATCCACTGAGCCCTCTGCTCCTTCTACCATCTCTCCATACACGGATCTCTCCCCTTGTGCTACTGCTGCTCCTGCTGCTGCTTCTGCTTCTGCTGCTGCTGCTGCTTCTGCTGCTGCTTCTGCTTCTGCTTCTGCTTCTGCTTCTGCTTCTGCTTCTGCTGCTGCTGCTTTTGCGGCTGCTGCTTCTGCTGCCGCTACTTCCGCTGCTGCTGCTGCTGCTTCTGCTTCTGCTTCCACTGCTGCTGCTGCTGCTTCTGATTCTGCTGTTGCTGCTGCTGCTGCTTTTGCTGTTGCTGCTGCTTCCGCTTCTGCTGCTGCTGCTGCCAATTGTGTTGCTGCCGCTACTTCCGCTGCTGCTGCTGCTGCTTCTGCTTCTGCTTCCACTGCTGCTGCTGCTGCTTCTGATTCTGCTGTTGCTGCTGCTGCTGCTTTTGCTGTTGCTGCTGCTTCCGCTTCTGCTGCTGCTGCTGCCAATTGTGTTCCTGCCGCTGTTGCAGCATGTTTGTCAGATTCTGGAGTTGATGCGCCCCCCTCATCAGTCTTCTCACTCTCTTTCCCCAACCCACTCCCAGTTTCTGATTTTTCCTGCTCCTCTTGCCCACTACCCAAACCATCTCCTGCACTCCCCCCCTCACTCAATCCTCGTCCCTCATCCAACCCTCCTGCCTTCCTTGATCCTTCTCCCTCTCCCTCTCCCTTCCCTTCACCCTCTCCCTCTCCCTTCCCTTCACCCTCTCCCTCCCACTTCTCAGTTTGTTTACCTGGGTCCAAATCAGCGGGCGCCTCTCCTCTGCCTTCCCCCATGTCTGTCTGTGCAGACATCTGTTTTTTGCCTGCCCCCTTGTTTGCTTGTGCAGGCACCACGATGTCAGTCCAAGGCCCAACCACTGCAGTGGATGTGCCAGCACTTGATGGTAGAGCCATGACACCAGGTATGACACCAGGCATGACACCAGGCATGACACCAGGCATGACACCAGGCATGACACCAGTCATGACACCAGCTGCAGAGTCTGCCCTGTCCACTCCGACTGCTGCGTTGTCTGCTGCAACCTTTCCTGCAACGTCTGCTGCAGTGCCTGATTCCTTCTCTGCATTTGCTGGCGACGAGCCCACACGACCATTCACACCATTCTTGGCCGCACTGGCAGTAGGCGAAACACCAGCAGCAGCATCAGCCGCGCCCATGGCCACAGCAGCAGCAGCAGCAGCAGCAGCAGCAACTGCATCCACAGCAGCATTACTAGAAGCAGCATCACGTGCGCCAGCCATAGAAGAAATCATTGGAGCAGCATCCATTGCAGCAGCATTAGCAGCACTGGCGACCTCTATTCCCCGGGCCGAGCCCTCCTCCTCTCCCTCAGAAAAGTTATCATCATACCCTCGTTCCCCCCCTCTCCCCTCCCACCCTTCCCTCTCCTCCTCATCCCCACCCAGCAACCCCACCCACCTCCGCCGCCTCATCCCTCCCCTCCTTCCCCCAACCCCGTCACTCCCTGCCTCCTTCTCTCTTCCCCCCTTCCCCCTCACCCCATCCACAACTGTCTCCTCCAAATCGACCAGTACCCCCACCTCGGCTCCCCTCGCTGCTTCCCCGCTCTTCCCCCCATCCTCGGCTCTCTCCTCCACACCTGCCTCGCCCACCCTCTCTTGCTCCTCCAGCCCTTTCGCATCACCACCCCCTTTCCCCTCCGCCCTCTCTTTCTCCTCAACCCCTCCCTTCCCTCCCTTCCCCTCCCTCCCCTCCCTCCCGTCTCCCCTCCCAGCACCTCCCACCATCCAGCTCCCCCCTTTCTCAACCACCTCCTTCTCCTTCCGCCAGCTGCCCTCCCCCATCTCCTCCTCCCACCCATCCGGCACCCTCAATGCCACCACCCCAGCCGCTGCCGTAAACCCCAGCGCCGCCACCGCTGCCACCAGCTTCCCTGCCTTGATCCCTAGAGGCGTGTCCTGCTGCTGGAACTCTTGAATCCGCTCCTGAAACCGCTCGATCTGGTCCCATAGCTGCTGCAGCTGGGCTCGGAACTGCTGCCCCTGCTGCTCGGCCTGTTGCTGGGCTCGCTCGAACAGGAGCTGGGTTGCTGGAGTCTGCTGCCCAGTCTCGTTCTGCAGGGTCTGCTGCTGGACAGCTGAGGGGTCTGGGTTCTGAGTTTCACCACTGGCAGAAACTTCGGCATCAGTAGAAGCACCAGCAACAGGTGACGTACCCGAACTGCCCGGTGGGATGACTCGGCTTGATCCCTCCTCCCCTCCCCTCCCACTCAATCCGCCCGTCAGAGCCTGCACGGTGGGATCTCCCTGTAGCCTCTCCACTGCTGCTGCTGCCCATGCGTCCAGAGTCAGCCTTTCTCCCGAGCTCCCATTCGCCTGTAACTCCAATCCTTCCTTTTCTTCCTCCTCAGCCTTCGCCTGAGCTTTCTCCTGAACCTTCTCTTGAACTTTCTCCTGAACCTTCTCCTGAGCCTCCTCTAGTGCTGCTGGCACTGATGTTAGTCCTGGAGTCGAATCTGCTACAGGCGGTAAGCCTGTAGCAGATGGCGAGACAGCTACAGGTGCTGCTGCTGCTGCTGTTGCTACAGGTGCTGCTGCTGGTGGCGCTGGTGGCGCTGCTGGTGCTGTTGCTGGTGCCAGTTCTGTTGGTTCAACTGGTGCTGGTGGTGGCAGTGGCAGGGGTTGCCAGGCAGGTGGCGGTGGCGGCAGGAACTGTGAAGGTGGCTCCAGAGGAGGGGAGAAGGGCAGGGGAGGAGGAGGAGGAGGAGGAGGAGGAGGAGGAGGAGGAGGAGGAGGAGGAGGAGGAGGAGGAGGAGGAGAACGAGGAAGCAGAACGGATGGAGGCGGGACATTTGAGACACCAAAGGCAGGCTGGCGGGACGAGGGGAGCCCTGAGAGCCCCTCCGGAGCAGCTGAAGGCGCAGCAGAATCCGGCACAGAATCACCAGCCGGCCCATCTTGCACTCCTTCTGTGGCACCACTTCCACTTGTGCTTCCAGGAAGCCTCTCGACTCGCCTCTGCTCGGCTTCCGCCCCTGTGTGGCGCGCGGTAGAGAGCAGCTGCTGGAAGAAGCCCACCAGCTCGCCGTCTGACATCACACGGAACCTGCAGCCGTGCAGGGGTGGGTGTGGGGGGAGGAGGGAGAAGAGGTTAACGAGGGAGTGAGTTAGAGAGTGAAGGATGGATGGAAATCTGCCGGAAGAACTTCACCAGCTCGCTGTCTGACATCACACGGACGGAACCACAGAACCTGCCAGGTGCAGGGAAGGGAAGGAGGGCCGAGTCAGTGAAAGAATGGAGAGCTGCTGGAAGAAGCCCACAAGGTCGCCGTCTGACATCACACGGAACTTGCAATCATTGCAGTCGTGTAAGGGCAGGAGGAAGGGATGGGAAGAGAGGGCACACGAGAAGGGGGGAGCGTGGGGAGAGAAAACCATGTGTGCCCTGCAGCGGAGGGCAGCTGCTGTAAAAACTTCACCAGCTCACCGTCTGACGTCACACGGAATCTGCACAGGCGCAGGGGTGGAGAGGCAGACGGGGGAGTGAGTAAGTGGGTGAGTGAGTGGGTGAGTAAGTAAGTGAGTGAGTGAGTGAATGGAAGAGAGGGAAAGCTGTCGTTAGAACCCCCACCAGCTCACCACCCAACATCACACGGAACCTGCACAGGCGCAGGGGTGGGCAGGTAGATGGAGCGAGCGAGTGAGTGAGTGAGTAAGTAACCTGCAGCCGTGCAGAGAGGGAGGGAGGCAGAGGGAGCGAGTGAATGATTGAGTCAGTGAGTGAGTGAGTGAGTGAGTGAGTGAGTGAGTGGGAAAGAGGGAAAGCTGCTGGAAGAACCCCACCAGCTCACTGCCCGACATCACTCAGAACCAGCAGCCGTGCAATCGTAGACTGCACGAGGGGAGGACCGTTGAATTGAAAACGCATCAAAGCAAGGCATACAGGCTCTGTTGCTTCCAACGGACTCCGAGGCTTACCTCTGCGCAAGTTGCTCCGCCAGAAGCTGCTCCAGCGACAGCGGGGCAGCAGGGCGAGCTGGGGACTCCAGAACGGGAGGAGCAGCAGGCTCGGACACAGAAAGAGGGCTGAGAAGCAGTGAAGATGCGGTGGTGACTGAGGGAGCAATGGTGATGGACGGAACATTGATCTCCTGGTCGTTGAACGCATAGATGTAGCGGCCATGGCTACTGGATGCCATGCTGCGCGTATTCCCCTCCGTGCTGCCAGATTCCATGGTGCTATCAGCACCATGCCGCATGCTATAGGAGCCAGCTGCGGCTGTAGCAGCGGCTGTAGCAGCAGCAGCAGCAGCAGAGGTGTAATGGTTGGGGAGGCAGGAGAGGGGACTCAAAACAAGACAACCGCTCAGCACCGCACTGCACACGAGCTGCAGCACCGACTTGCCAGGCCAGGCAAGGCCGTTGCTTGGATCCGCGCCTGACGTGCCTTTCACGCACGCTTCGGCTTCAGGTATTTTTAGCAGACACCCCTCCCATAAAAGGGCACTCTCAATAGTAACTCCCGCTTCGGGCACAACTCGGTTTTGCGATCCGGAAAACGCTGCTGTTTCCTCCACTGCTGCTCGCTCAGCAGCTGCCCCTCCTGCTGTCCGCTCAGCTGCTTTTTCTGCTAGTCTATCTTCCCCTCCTGCTGTCCGCTCAGCTGCTTTTTCTGCTAGTCTATCTTCCCCTCCTGCTGTCCGCTCAGCTGCTTTTTCTGCTAGTCTATCTTCCCCTCCTGCTGTCCGCTCAGCTGCTTTTTCTGCTAGTCTATCTTCCCCTCCTGCTGTCCGCTCAGCTGCTTTTTCTGCTAGTCTATCTTCCCCTCCTGCTGTCCGCTCAGCTGCTTTTTCTGCTAGTCTATCTTCCCCTCCTGCTGTCCGCTCAGCTGCTTTTTCTGCTAGTCTATCTTCCCCTCCTGCTGTCCGCTCAGCTGCTTTTTCTGCTAGTCTATCTTCCCCTCCTGGTGACCGCCTTTCCTCTCCCCGTTGTTCCCCTTCCCCTCGCTGTATTTCCGCCTTATCTCCCCCTGGTCCCCCGTCCGCGGATCCACGTGAGGCGCAGCAGCGGCTGGCAGCGCGGGAGGGGAGCGCGTAGGCTGGCGCGGGGAAGGAGAACGACCGGCAGCGGCGGAGAGCGGAGGATCTGTCGGAAGAATGCGGAGGACGCGCGGGTAAGAGCGGAAGAAGAGCGGAGTTGTGCGGAAGAGATGCGGGGGTGCGCGGAAGGGATGAGGGGTTGCGCGGAAAGGGGGATGAGGAGGCGGAGGAGGGGTGTGGCGCCAGCGCTGCTGTTGACGAGGAAAGATGGACGGCCATGATGACACGCTTGATTCAGCATCTACGCCGATCTTGACCTTCTTTAACGAATTCTAAAAAATAGCTGCAGACTGCGCAAAGTGGTATAGCAACTTCCCTGAACCTGATCGAGCCTGATCATCCAACATCCTGCCGTTTACGTTCCCCTGAGCTATCCCCCTGTAAGCTACCACAGACCTTGTCTGCGTGTCTAATATACGTGATTAGGCCGTACTTGCTGTTGCCTGGAGATGCAGCTGAGGCAGGCGGAACACGTGGAGTGAGAATCCCGACCAGTACCGAACGGACTGACTCATCCATGCGTCAGCACAGGAGTTGCCGCCTAGAAGCTACCAACAGCATACGCTACACAGAGTGTTGCACAGACTTGGATTTAGTACGCCGAGTTTTGCGTTGAGGATGACTGGATTGTTATTATAATTTTTAACACACGCAGTGTTTTTAAAAAAATTGTGTATTGTGAAAGCGAAGCTGATTGTACTGAAAATTCGGGCATCGTCGAAGCGCGCTACTCGCCCTTCTCCAACTACAAATACGCGGGTTGGAGCTCATTTACCTCCACCCACGTCTCATTTTTCAAACGGCTCAGTCAACTTTTCGTGCTCTAGCTTTTCTCCCGTTCAAGCTGGCTAAGACTAGAACTTTGCCTCGCGGCGAGTCTCCCTCAACTCTTCTTTCCGATATTTTTAAGTTCAACCAATCCGTCATGACTCCGACTACGAATAATCGAGGTGAGTCCAACGTTGTAACCGGCCACCCCAAATCCGAGTCTACTCGCCAAACCCCGGAAATTGCGGACGACAGGCAGAAGAAGGGGCGGCTGCCCCAACTGGGGTTGACGTTCTGCTGCAAGGGGGCGAGGTCAACAATCAGCCTGCTGACGCGCCCCCGCCCCCTTCCGAGCCACGCGCGCAAGTGGCTGAGCAGGGCCAGCCACTCGCGCCTGACGCCGAGCCGCAGCACGCGCCAGCGCCGCAAGTGGCGGGTCCTTCTCGCCAGCGCAAAAGGGGGCACGCGGCTGCCTCGTCTGGCGCGCCGCCCACCCCGACCTTAACCTCCACATTGACCCCTGCGCAGGTCAACGCGCTGTTGACGCTGTTACAGCAGCAGGCGACGAGTGTTACGGCTGTCGAAACTGCTCAACCTGCTACTTCTGCATCTGCTAAAAAGGAACCTGCAAAAAAAGAAAAGGCCACACGCGGAACCAAGACGCCACGCCTCGCCAAAGACGCCATCTCCAGCATCCCGCCTGCCCCAGCGGCCGACAATGACAGTGACGACTCCGACAATGACGCTGGTGAGGTTCCCGGCATTGCTGCAAATTCAATTCCCATGGAGCACCTCCCACCCCTCCCGACCACTAACACCACCCTCTCGGCGGCGTCCTTCTTCAACGCGGCCATGCGCGAGCAAGCGGAAGCCCTGGAGGACCTTAGGGCATACCTGAAGCACGCGGAGTACAAGATGCAGCACAGCGACGCGCAGGGCGATCTCAAATTCCTCGCCGACGTGCTCGCCCTCATATCGCGGCGCTTCGAAGTCCTCCAAGACGAAGACGCCTCCAACTTCCGCACGGCCAAGCGTTTCAAGCTGTACCAGTAGAAGAGTCTACTTACCTCCAGGCCTTTCAAACAGGCTATCGCTAATGTGGCTGTAATGGACCGCGCCGAGGGCGCTTTTGCTCGTGGCAATCGCGGAGGCTGCCACATGCCCATGCCGTTCGCGCCAAAGCGTGGTCCGCCGCCTACGGGAGAATTCCGTGGCTTCCGAGGCACTTGCTTCCACTGTGGCTAGCCGGGCCATGTGGCCAGCGGCTGCCTGGCGAATGGGCATGGTGGCCAAGGACCCGCACCTGTGGTGTAGGGGTCGGGCCATGGGCGCTTGCGCAAGTGGCGCAAGGCGCAAGACACCCGGTGTGTGCGTAGGCCATTGGGCCCACCCCATAGGGGCACGGGTGGCGGAGGGCCAGCCCTAGTGTAGGTCATTTGAAGGCCCTAGGCTTAGAGCAAGGGAAGGGGAATAGACCCCCTCGGTCCTGAATGATAGCCCGACCTTGCGGGGTGGACATTGCATGCTTAGGAGCATGATTGAGTAGCGATGTATCTTGGTTGAAATAAGGAGCTTTGGTCCTCCGTTTTTTTTTAGGTCTTGGTCCTTCAATAGAACCAGAGAAATGGGTGAGCAGCACCAAAAGAGGTGCAGCAAAAAAAAAAAAAAAAAAAAAAAAAGGGGATCGGAGAAGCACAAAACGGGGAAGCATATTGTGTGGCTCAACCCTCGCTGCATGTCATGCAGCACACCCGGCCAGAGAAGGAAGGCCATTAGGAACACCAATGGCCTGCCAATTACCCTTACAAAGCAGCTCATCGATTGGACATGTAAAAAAAAAAGAAAAAAAAAAGTATTATGCAAGCTTCACGAGGTGCCTACCCTCCAACCCGGTGTGTCACACCCTGGACCCCAAGCATTGCCCTTGTGTGGGCAAACAAGAGCAGCCACACCAACCTCATTCAGGGCTGCCTAGCTTTGCATTGAGAAAAAAAAAAAAAAAAAAAAAAAAAAAAGATTCACGGAAGCATGCGCGCATGCATGCGGTATGGCCCACGAGTGGGAAAAGCAACAAAAACACTTGCACATATGCCATACAAGCATGCAAGAGGTGGCCAGAGGAAAGACAGGAAAAAGCACGGGTGTTGAGACTTAAAACCCAAGAAATGAGAACGCAAACGAAATAGGCAATAGAGGGTAACATGCCTTCGCGAATAGAAGCGCGACTGAAGGCACAAGTTGCGGGAATATGAGGGCAAAAGGAAAGGACAATAAGTGGAAACTCATGCATAAACGTCGGGGCGCAGGCTCGAACGCAAGCTCGGCTTGCGCGGACGCACAACCTGACACATACGCAGATCACGCCGCTCAGACTCGCTCAAGTGCAGGCAACCACCGACCCAAGCATCTTGCTCGCATATGGCACCTCAGTCCGGCACGCCCTCCTTAGCCACTAGGCTTTCACACTCCCCCCCCCCATGCTCTAGGTTTCCGGCAGGCCTCAGCGATGCAGATGAACTTAAGTATTCGTCCCTTGCTTCTCCATGCATGATGTCACTCCCACAGGCACCTGACTTCGCGAATGCGCACACAGTGGTGACCCCTACGAATACGCGGTTACTGACAAGATGGTCACCCAGATGCGTGGCCGCCTACGTACCACGTTCGCTTGGTGGAGCTCGTGGTGCACTAGCAGTTTCATCCTCTCAGTCATTGCCAAAGGATATTGGATGCCATGGAAACTTGGGCCGCCGGCGGCCTTTTACGATCGCAACCATGCCGGGGCACGCATACACGAAGCATTCACGCGCACGTCATTCACTCGAACTCACAGAGACTAGCGCGGCTGTCCAAATTCCAGCGGCGAAACTAAGATGCATAAGCCCACTCAACGTGGTCGAGCAGAAAGACAAGTGTCGCCTTATTCTAGATCTCCGAAAGGTGAACGACACACTAATCGTCCCCAAATTAAAATATGAGGGACTCAACCGTGTGGCAGACCTCGCTCGCCAAGGAGATTGGATGTTCTCCATCGACTTGAAATCAGGCTATCACCATGTCGACATCCACCCCTCGTGCTGGACGTTCCGGCTTTGAATTTGATGGGCGCACATATGCCTTCCGATCCTTGCCGTTCGGCCTCGCCACAGCACCATTCGTCTTCACGCAGCTCATCAAGAAATTTGCTCGGCGATGGCAGGAGTAGGGGGTCCGCGTGATACCCTACCTGAACGATATCCTCTTTCTGTGCCCGACCCAGGCACACGCTCAAGCTACGTGCCAACGGGTCGTTATCAATCTCAAGGCCGCAGGGCTCGTACTCAACTCAAAAAAGTCCAAGCTGATACCAATACAGCACCTTCGGTTCCTTGGCGTAGAACTCGACACACAGGCCGGCTGGTTTTCCATCGGCGAGGAGAGGCGAGCCAGACTCAACGCCACCCTCCAGGCCCTATTGCGCGCAAGCTCAGCCCAGCGGAAAGTCCCAGTCCGACAACTGGCCCGAGTTACAGGCATGCTGGCATCGATGGCCGTCGCACTCGGCACCACTACCCGAGCGTTCAGCCACGCCATGCTACAAACAATCAACGACGCGCCAATTTGAACCAGTATGGTCCTCCTCTCCCCACCCCCCATCGAAGAGCTGAGATTCTGGATCCAAGAGTTTGACCGTTTCAACGGTGCCCCATTCCACATGCGGGACAGCTACGATGCTGTCATCTACGTAGACGCAAGTGCCCACAGCTGGGGTGTCACGATGAACACATTCCCTGGAGCCACGACAGAGGCCAATGCGGTAATGCCCGAAGCCCTTCGTCCAACCTCCAACATACAAAGAGAGATCACCGATGTGCTTTGGGCGCTACACACGTACGCGCCTATAATCCGAAACAAACACGTGCTAGTGCGAGTGGACAACCAGGGCGTGTTCTTCATCCTTTGCAAATGAGGTTCCATCGCACTCCGTGGGATGACAGTTACTGACTCCGTACTGAAGCTTTGGGCATCGTCGAAGCGCGCTACTCGCACTTCTCTAACTACAAATACGTGGGTTGGAGCTCATTTACCTTCACCCACGTCTCTCATTTTTCAAACGGCCCAGTCAGCTTTCCCACCCACCCCTTTTAGACAACCGTGCATTTCCAATTGCTAGCCTGTCACTTGAACGGGAGCGCACAACTAGGATCATGATGTATGTATGTTTAGATTCTTATAAGCTAGTAAGGGCCTGTTGTACCTAGCCCACTTGAAATGAGAATGATGCCCCACTTGAAATGAGAACGATGCCTATTACAAAGGACAAGAAATCAAGCTTTCTCAACTTACTGGCAAACAACTCACCTTGTTACGATTCATCTCCATTCTTGCGGTAGTTCCTTTCCTTGGAGGAGAGGAACTACATCTTCAAGAAACAAAAACAACTTGAATTTCGTGACGACTTGATGTGCTTTTGGATGCAACGTTACAAGAACCCCCTAAACTATGGGTAGCGATTTGTGATTGCAATAGGAGTAGCTTTGAGTCACCACTATATATAATATTACATATTTAATTTTATTCGACCAACAACACCTTGGGAAGTGGGCTGTAAACAAATGTGAAACATCCCATACAATGCTGCACATTGATTGTTTTCTCAATCTTCACAATCAAGCTTAAAACTCTACTGTAATCCGCTACGTCCACTAATAACGAAGACAAAGTGGCTTACCACCAGTAAATCCAACCCACCCCAAACTCGCACACCCTCTCGCGATTTTCGCCGCACCTCTTCGTTTGGGCTTATCTTTCGCTAGGCTTTCTTTCACCTTCCCCTCCTCCTCCCTGACCTCTCTCTCCTGTTGGGCGAATAACTCGCCTTACCTCCACTTATCTCCCTCTCTTTAGTCGCAGACCCTGAGGACCTGCGCGCTCGGCGTCACACACGCTACATCACCCCGCCATAGTCGCAGGGGCTCACATACCCTCTCGCAGGTTAGGACGCGCTTCCAGACTTTGCTGGCTAGTCGTGCTTTATTCTGCTTCGGGGGATAACTTAGATTTCAGGTTCAGCGTGCAAGGGGTTACTTAGTCACAGGGTTCTCAGTCTCCTACCCCCTTGTCATCACGTGTCGTATCGTGCCTCGTGTCGTGTCGTGTGTCCCTGCGTGCCACGTGTCGTACCTATCTCTGCGTGCAGCCATGTTTACAGCGCGCAGAAAGATTCAGAAGGAGAAGGGCCAGGAGCCCGATGAGTTCGAAGAAACCGTCGCTCAGGTGCGTCACTGGCCGTTCGATTGCGTGACTGACCGTTCTGTGTCACTGACCGCTCGATTGCGTCACTGACCGTTCGATTGCGTCACAGTCTAAACAGCTGGTTTGACTCGCAGACCCATTATGCGCGCGACAGACTCGTGCTGGTCAAAGGTCCGTGCGGTCACTGGTCGTTTTAATCATAGAACGCTGACGGAGCGTTTTATAGATACAAGGTGACTTCTGAGTCGACTCATAAATCATAGGTCGCCGACGGAGCGTTTTACAGATACACCACGGAGGCTGTGCCGGATTAGTTACAACGGAAGTCTGTCTTAGAAAATACTTGGTGTAGCAGGGGATCGCTGGGTTAGTAGCGACGGCCGTCAGCGGAGCAGACCTAATAAACGGCATCAGTCGTCAATGGAGCAGAACGTTGTCGACGAAGCAGTCGCAATCCCTCGTGCGGCAATGCGAATTTCCAGTCTTACCGAAGCGTATCTCCAAGCCGATCGTCAAGCCGTTTCGTGTCATCCACCGTGTATCTAGAGTGCTTTCGAACGTTGTTTCGACTCGGAAGCTCAGTTAGGGCTCGTAGGGGCCAGATGCTGTCGGATCGAGTGGCTAGGGAACCGGTGATCGGGTATTGCTGTATTCGAACAGGGTTAGGGTTTCGACGAATTAGAACTAAGTTTATATCGAGTATGGTTGTTCCTCGAGCTTGATGGCGGTCGAACCTGCTTTCTTGCGGCACCCAGGAGTCTAATGTCCTTTCGAGTCAGCTTATGAGACTCAGCAAGCAAGAGCCGAGACTTCTATGAATTAACGTTGCCGGGGGCTTCTTTTATAGAAGCAGGCACGGTTCCTCACGCGAGGGGCTGTGCTAGGGTGTTTTAGCTCAACAGATGCATGGAGTGGGGGTGACTTGTAAATTCGGTTTGGCTGAAATGTGGCCATCGCTGCGCGCTAACCTGGCCGTCGTGTGTTGGGTGGATTTTCGCCTGGCGTCTGATTGGACTGCAGGCCCTCTTCGATTTGGAGGCGACCAATCAGGAGCTGAAGAGCGACCTGCGCGATCTCTTCATCAACAGCGCCAAGTACGTCCCCTCTCTATTCTCGGAGTCATGTGCCTTCTTTGAATTCCCGACTTCATGTCCACCCACCCCACCCCCCCACCCTTCCCCCCCCATCACCCGCTCCGCTATTACACATATCACTTCTGTCAGTCGCCCCTTCCACTCCTTTCACCTCAGCGAGATTTGACGTCTCGAGCAGACGCAAGGCCATCATCGTGCACGGGCCGTGCCCTCGTCTCTAGCCTTTCCCTTGTCCCGTGGGCACTATGCCTCAAGCCCTTCCTCTTTCCTCTCCAGGGAGATCGACCTGTCGAGCAGGGCAAGGCCATAATCGTGCACGTGCCGTACCGTCTAGAGACGACCCCCCCTCCAACCTGATTCCCCTCTCGATCCCTTACCCCATCCGCCTTGCTTCCCGTTCTCTTCCAGGGAGATCGACGTGTCGAGCAGCCGCAAGGCCATCATCGTGCACGTGCCGTTCCGCCTGCGGAAGGCGTTCCAGAAGATCCACGCGCGCCTCGTGCGGGAGCTCGAGAAGAAGTTCAGCGGCAAGGTGCGTATGAAGCGGTTGGAAGCGGTTTGACGCGACTGGAAGCGATTTTAAGATGTTCAGCGGCAAAGTGGGCTGACAGCGAGGGGCGCTAGAGGGAGGTTAGTGAGAGAAATAGTGGAGCGGTAGTGTGGGTTGGGCGACAGGGCGGGTTGAGCGGCGGGGGAAGGGATGTGGAGGAAGCTCAGGGTGGGGGGAAGACCGCGAGTCAGCGTACGTTGAGCGGGACTTGTGGATTCTTGGGAAAAGGATAAGAAGGTTGGAAAGGAGGGTAAGGAGGGGTTAGGGTGTCAAGGGCACAGGTGGCCGGTAGACCATAGAATGCACAGCCGCTCCCGTCGTTGCTCCTACACGCCCCCCTTCCGCAAACTTGCAGTTGTAGAATGCACACCGCGCCCTTTCCTTGCGGCATCCTCGAGTTTCCTCTCAGCAGACTCCCCTTTCCCTCAGCAACTTGTCCTTATATCTGACAATATTCAGATGCTTGGAAATTTGGTAAAAATTCCATCTCGTTTTCTGTCGACAGCGAACTTCTAAATTTTAACAGCTTATTCTCTTTCTCGATAGTGGAACCCCTATTCCTGCTTATTCACTCCCGCCTGCCCTCCCATCCACCCCGTTTCCGTCTCCATCGGCGCTGCACGTACACATGCCTTTCGGGGATGCCATCACACCCTCCATTCTTGGATGTTATACTGCTCCTTCCGTCGACCCTCCGTTGAACTGTTGTTGCCTTGTCGCCCTTTTCACATTCCCTCTCCCCAGATGTAGTGCTGGTGGCCATCCCTCGCATTCTCCCCAACACAGGATGTGCACGGCCCGGGAACGTCTTCAAGGCGATTCAACCCCTGCCTCATGCTGCTGTACCCTGTTCTCCCTGCTGTACCCTGTTCTCCCTGCTGTACCCTGTTCTCCCTGCTGTACCCTGTTCTCCCTGCTGTACCCTGTTCTCCCTGCTGTACCCTGTTCTCCCTGCTGTACCCGTCCCCCCCTCTCAGGATGTAGTGCTGGTGGCCACCCGTCGCATCCTCCCCAAGCCCAGGAAGGGGTCCAAGGCGGTGCGGCCGCGCACGCGCACGCTGACGGCGGTGCACGAGGCGATCCTGGAGGACCTCGTCTTCCCCACCGAGATCGTCGGCAAGCGCGTGCGCTTCCGGTTGGACGGCTCCCGCATCATGAAGGTACGATCTGGGAGAGGTGCTGTCTGGAGCGTTCAGTTTACATGGCAGGTAGGCACTTCCGTTCATAGCGGTGCACGGGGCGTTCCCTAGTGGGTTGGACGGCTCCCGCATCATGAAGGTAGGCACCGTCATCATGAAGGTAGGCACCGTCATCATGAAGGTAGGCACCGTCATCATGAAGGCGGCCTAGGCAGGTGCGTGTGTGCGCATCATGAAGGTAGGCACCGTCACCATGAAGGTAGGCAAGCTCATTATATGTCCGCACGCACTTAACGCGCTAGGCACGCGCATGCTCACACCAGGGTTTACGAGCACACATTTTACATTCCAGCACTACTAGGCACACTGGCTGGCAGTGTTGCTTGAGGCACACAGGCTGACAGCGGTGTAGGGAGCGCGACAGCATGGAGCACGAGGGCTGTTTATTCCAAACAATGCTGTGGCATTGTGCTTCCTTTTGAGTTGTCTTAGAAGCAGACTCGAGGCGCACAGGCTGACAGCGGTGCAGGGAGCGCAACAGCATGGAGCACAGGGCTTTATATTCCTAGCAATGCTGTGGCATTAGTGTTTCCTCTCACAACCACATTCCCCTGGGGTTCATGGATGGAAGTATGCATAGTCACACAAATTTCCCTCCCCTTGTCCATCTGCCTCACCTGCCCAGGTGTACTTGGACCCCAAGGAGCGCAACCGCACGGAGTATAAGGTGGAGACGTTCTCTGTATGACAGGGTTGATGGGGCACTTACCATATACCACCTCCCCTTGCCTGCCGTGCTTCCCTTGCCGCAGGTGTACCTGGACCCCAAGGAGCGCAACAGCACGGAGTACAAGGTGGAGACGTTCTCAGCTGCCTACAAGAAGCTCACCGGCAAGGACGTTGTCTTCGAGTTCCCCATCACCGAGGCCGCTGCCTAAGCGCTGCCTAAGTGCCCATGGCTGCTGTCGACAGTGATATCAAGTGCCAGCTCACTCTTCCCTCACCTCCCAGCGGTGGCAAGCAGCAAGAAGTGAAATTGCGCATTACTAGGCCTTCTGAATGCCGCTGCCGTCTTTTGGAAGCATGTAATGGTGCTGCTGATTGGTTCAGTTCTTGAAAAGTGTTATAATGAAGCTTATATCTCTAAAGGCGCAATGTACATTTCAGATCGGTTTTATTTCCGCGTGAAGCTGATTTGTTACAATTCTGGAATACTCCATGCCAGATCACCGTCAATTCTCGGTTCTGCGGGTTCCTTTTTCACCATACTCGATACAGTACGAAGTACTAGTGACGTGACACCCCCCGAAGAGGAAAATGCTGTGCTGTAAGCCTGGAACCATTTCACTGAGTCGAGAATTCACTTTTGTTTACGTTCTTCTCTTCCTCCCCACCCACCATGTCCGCGCCATCACCAAAGCGGACCTCGGATCAAGACGGCTCGGGGCGACGTGACGCGCGGCTCCTAGACTCCCGTGTGCTTCCGCAATGCCTGGATGCGGTGGAGTTCTGCCCGGCTCGCGATTTCCCCGCCACCTTTGCAGTCGCATCATACCAACTCGTAGAGACGCAGCGCTCTGACGGTGCTGACGTAACTGACGCCAGTACTGCGAGCGGTGCTGACGTAGCTTCCGCTGTCACTGCTGCCGGCTCTTCCACAACTGACACCGAGACGGTAGACGACCATCGTCAGTCGCGTCTCGGCGGAGTGCATCTCTTCCGCATTGACGTGACCGGTGCTGACGTGTCAGACGATGACGGACGGCTCCCTGACGGAAAGGAGCCGCCGTGTCGATCGGCGGGACGCATGGTTCACTTGCAGTCCGTCAGCGGATGCGGGATTCTGGACATCAAGTGGCGAAGGGAGGGGTATCATGGGGTCAGGCGAGGAGGGGACGAGGGGGATGGGCTGTCAGGCACAGATTTGAGCGAAAGGAGAGAGAAGAGAGTTCAGCCAATTTTGCTGGCAGCAGCAACGGCTGATGGAACTGCAGATCTGTATGAGATGAAGCGAGGACAGATGGCAGATGAGTTGCGTGAGCCTGCACCTGCATCACCAAGCCTGTCCCTGAGCACCCGCATTCCGTTCCCTCTCTTGGATTCTGCCGAGCCTGATGCCAAACCTCCCATGTGCCTTGCCCTGGATTGGTGGACGGCTGGGGAAGCTGAGGGGGGAGGAGCGAGCCAAGAGGAGGCGGTGGGGAAGGCAGGGGAGACAGAGGGGGAGGGGGCGGATGGAGAGGACATGGGAGAGAGAAGGAGAGAATGGGGTGTGAGGGATCGGAGGGATCGGATTGCTGTGAGCCGGTCGGATGGATCGGTGGCAGTAGCACGGCAGGGAGAGGATGGTGCATGGGTGGGGGAACTCGCATGGCCAGCACACGAGTATGAAGCATGGACCTGCTGCTTCAACATCTGGCAACCTGAGGTGAGTAAAGGACCTGAGGTGGTTATGTATTATTTAACTGACCAGGTTACCCTGCAGACAGGTCCAGATTGAGCTACCTGAGGTGGTTATGTGTCATTGCCCTTTCTAATCTTGCCTGACCCTCCTTCATTCTCCCTTGGGCCCTCTCGCCATTGCTTTTTTATTCTCTGCTTTTCAGGTCCTTTACTCAGGCGGCGACGATTGTGCAATGTGTGCCTGGGACCTTCGCACCCACATCCCCTCATCCCCCTCCTCATCTCCGCTCTCCCCATCCTCCTCACGGCCTGCATGGCGCAACATCAAGGCACACCGAGCGGGGGTAACCACTCTCCGCTGCTCCCCACATTCTCCGCATCTCCTAGCGTCTGGGAGTTATGACGAGGTGGTGAGGTTCTGGGATGTCCGCATGCCATCAATGCCCATAGCTGTGTGCCAGGTCCCGACGGGGGGTGGAGTGTGGAGGCTCAAGTGGCATCCGGAGAAGGCTCACATCGTTCTGGCTGCTTGTATGCATGGAGGAGCCACCATACTCTCCCTTTCCCAGGACCGTGCTGGTGCTGTGGATGTCCCTACTTCGCCTGCAAAGGATGGTATGAGGCAAGTGTTGCAGGAGGCTGGGAGTGAATCATTTGAGGGTTTACGTGGAGAAGTGGTGGAGCAATATGAGCAGCACAAATCCATGGTCTATGGCATAGACTGGGGTCGGTGCAACGAGCTGCAATGCTCAGCAAATGAAGAAGATGATGAAGCATGGATAGTTGGTACTTGCTCTTTCTACGACAAATTGCTGCATGTCTGGAAGCCTCATGTGTTGTAGTTACATTTGTTAGCTCGGCTTTGTAATGGTAGTACTGAACAGTGTGTGAGATAGGTTCTATGAAAGAGGCATGTCAGGGGGATTAATTAACCAGTCTAAAAGAACCATTCGGAGGGCAAAGACGATTCAGATTGGGAAGAGATTAGAGGAAGTCGAGAAGTGAGGTGAAGGGCTTCATTTAGGAAATGGGTTTTCTCTGCAGACCATGGATAACGAAGACTTCACTAAGGGGAGGCCGCTTGAACGGGCCTTCAGTGGTCCGTCAGCTGACCCCTTTCCGTCAGTTTTTTGGCGCGCTCGCGAAACTTTTCTGTCCTAGCGCTCCCGTTCAACTCCTCGAGCATCCCTCAGTTGATCAGGGTGAACCAGTCTCGTCTCGACAGGTTCGAGTTTCCCACCAGTCTGTTGTGTTACCTATGCCTCCTCCCATTCAAGCAATCATGTTAGTCCCAGCCAATTTACTGATTTCAGGGTGAAAACATGGTGTTTGGGTGATAGTGTCGACCATACTGTTCTCGAGTAGAAGCCTTATCTCTGATCCGGGAGCCTCGAGAAGTATATTCCTTAGGTCAACTGCTGCTCCAGAGACACCAGTTCTTCCTGCCTGTCCGTTGTGGCAACACGATGTGGGGAAGGTAGCACTAGATGGCGTATAAGTACAGCTTCTGTAAGCTAGACATCCCCTCAGAATATTTTTAATCTTACTGTTGGAACTTATTCGTTCCCTTTCAGGTTTGGAGGTGGGAAATCTGTACCCGGAAGAATAAAGCTCACAAGGGGTGAGCCTCAGCAAGCGATAAGCCCGACGAGTGCTGTGAGAGCACGCGAGGGTCCTGAAATCGATGCTGCTGAAATCCTTAGACCGTCAAACGAGGAGAGACAGGTAGGGTAGCATTCCGATCAGTGTAGCTCCCAGGTCGTCATGTTATGGCGTTATTCTGACTCTGATCTAAGTGTGCTTGACCAGCTAGCGTCGAAGGCTAGGATACAAGAGGCTTCCCCACCAGTTGCGGAAACAGCTACAGTTGTGGTAGAGCCAATGCCAGAGTCAAGATCCCTGGATACCGCTAGGGTTGCCAAATTCAAAAAGGAACTTTCCGCTCCAGCAGTTGACCTAGGTAATTCTCGTTTCAACCCGACCGCATCCATGCTTTCGCTTATAGCCGAGTTTCATAAAGCTCTTGGCGCCTTTCGTTCAGATGCGCTTCGCGAGCTTTCATGGAGTGGCGTACCTCCCAACCTAAGACCAACAGTTTGGCGTCTATTGTTGGTGAGTAACTGAATTGGTCTACGCGTTGTCAATAGTATTATCGGAATGTTTGGCCTTGTTGATCCACTGGAACTTTTTATCAATTTCAGGGTTATGCACCGCCAAACGCGGACAGAAGGGAGACAGTTTTGGCACGGAAACGTCAAGAGTACAGAGAGTGGGTTCCTCAGTATTATGATATCCCAAATGAAGACCGCAGCGATGATGAAATTCATACACTGCGTCAGGTAGGTGTGTTTTATATTTCTAAGCACATTCTCAACTCCGGAATCCTCCCCTCTGACATTTACTCGTCCTTATTACAGATTTCTGTTGATTGCCCGAGAACAGTTCCAGATGTTCCCTTTTTCCAGCAAACCTTGATGCAGACAGCAATTGAGCGTGTGCTCTACATTTGGTACGTTCTTTCACAGTTCTCTGTTGTCTGTTGTTTTGAACTAGCCATTGAGTGCTGACTGAAACGTCCAATCCGCAGGGCCATACGTCACCCGGCCAGCGGATATGTTCAAGGCATCAACGACCTGCTGACTCCATTCCTCACAGTATTCCTTTCTGAGGTCTTTGAAGGAGACATTGATACCTGGGTGGTTTCAAAGCTTTCTGAAGACACCCTTTTGCAAGTTGAGGCAGATAGTTACTGGTGTCTGTCGAAGCTGCTTGATGGCATCCAAGACCACTACACTTTTGCACAGCCAGGCATTCAGCGGCTTGTCTTCCGCCTCAAAGAGCTTGTGAGAAGGATTGATGGTAAGGCCACCTTCTGCTTTTGCTTGAGCAACAGCCTTTTGATGAATCTGGGACTTACCTTGTTGAATTCAACGTGCAGAGCCTGTTTCTCGGCACATGGAAGAGCACCACTTGGAGTTTCTTCAGTTTGCGTTTCGGTGGTTCAACTGCCTGCTCATTCGTGAGGTATAACCGCCTCTTATCCCAGTGACGCACTTAGACTTCACAATTGGGGCTTATCATGCTCGATTGTTCATTATGGAACCAACATGATTCTATTTTCATGCATACTTGCAGATTCCGTTTTCCATCGTGGGGAGATTGTGGGACACGTATCTTTCAGAGGGTGATGGTTTTGCGGAGTTCCTGGTTTACCTCTGCGCAAGTTTCCTGCTGACTGTAAGTTTGATCTACGCGTTGCACGTTGCTTTGTTGCCAGGTTGCTACCATAAAATGATGTATTGTTTCGGCCTTTTGCTCGCAGTGGTCGGAACAACTTCAGCAAATGGATTTCCAAGAAATGGTTTTATTCCTGCAACACGTCCCAACAAAGAGATGGAGTGAGAAGGAGCTTGATATGGTGCTGTCACGAGCCTTTATGTGGAGGGTCATGTTTAATCGTTCACCTAGGCACTTGAATTCTTCGTGACAGAGTTTCGGATCACAATTTTTTTTTGTTTTTTGTTTTTTGTTGAGTGATTTCCAAATCTCTTGTACAGAATTTTATGTACGTGCAATGTAGATCTCTGATGTTGCCATCACTGTTAGCAACTGTAATAAGTGCTGTGATAACTGAAGTACAGCGTCCTCGAAGCGTCCACTAACGAAACACAAGGCATTAGATCGGGACACAACAACAGAGTCTGAACATTTGAACAGCAGATCTCATAATCTCGAAGCAGCTCTGGGGTTTGTTCCCTCACTAAGCTCTTCTATCAAGGTTCCCACGCCTCTTTTCTTCTGCTCCTGCCGCAAGCCGCGACGTCCACACTCTCACGCCTAACCTTCAGATCTCTTCGTGATGGCTGAGACTAAGGAAACCTATCAGGAGGAGGAGCTCGTAGATTTCGAAGAGGAAGAAGAAGCCGCTCCCGACGCCGGAGCTGCTAAAACCACAGAGGCGGCTAGGAAGTAAGCTGGGCGTTTGCTGGTTTCCTTCATGGACTAGTTGCAGATTCAATTTAGAGACTCGAGTTCACATTCTTCGCGGTACCTTTCGCAGGGGATATGTCGGGATCCATAGCTCTGGTTTCCGTGACTTCCTTCTCAAGCCCGAGCTGCTTCGCGCTATCGTGGACTGTGGTTTTGAGCATCCATCAGAAGGTGCGTACCCTCGCTAAACCATGTCAAGGCGTTCTATTCTTGTTACATGACCGGCGTAGTATTTAAGGTCGTTCCCCACTTTCTTTTTGCAGTGCAACACGAATGTATCCCCCAAGCCATTCTTGGCATGGATGTGATTTGCCAAGCCAAGTCTGGTATGGGAAAGACAGCTGTGTTTGTGCTGGCAACGCTTCAGCAGATTGAACCAGTAGCCGGGGAAGTGTCTGCGCTGGTTCTCTGCCACACGCGGGAGCTTGCTTATCAGGTGCGATGACTGAGTCATTAACCCCCTCTCTTGGGAGCATTAATTTTCCGGTAGGATACTGACAAAATTTGTCCCGCTGCAGATCTGTCACGAGGTTGAACGGTTCACCACATATCTTCCGGATGTCAAAGTCGCGGTGTTCTACGGTGGTGTGGCGATCAAGACTCACAAGGATCTGCTCAAGAACGAGTGCCCGCACATTGTGGTCGGAACGCCTGGCCGTATTCTTGATCTTGCTCGGCAGAAGGATTTGAACTTGAAGCACGTTCGCCACTTCATCCTCGACGAGTGCGACAAGATGCTGGAATCGCTGGGTAAGCACTACCTGGTCCAGCCATTGTTCATCTTTGTTTTCCAGTGATTTATTGGGCTGTACTGATGGCTCCCTCTTTTGGTGTTAACAGATATGCGGAGGGATGTTCAGGAGATCTTCAAGCTGACTCCACACGACAAGCAGGTCATGATGTTCTCGGCGACGCTCAGCAAGGAGATCCGCCCCGTCTGCAAGAAGTTTATGACCGATGTAATTATCCCCGATGCACCCGACATCTGTAGCCACCACATCATCTCCAGGGGCTGTGTCTGCAGCAGTGCTCAGCAGTTCCAACTTAGCGGGATCAGCGCGTGAACCATGGGGTAGTCGATAGTAGGTTGGGAATGGAGCTGCTTGTGTCCAGAAGTTTCTGAGGAGTGCGGTCGCGTGTAAGGTGTACTAGAGTGGTTGGAGGCGTATGGCATGCGCTGTGTCCGATGGGAGGGGATGGGGGGATGGTGAGGTGTGGAGGCGGTTGAGGGACGGATTCGTATGCGGACTGGAGGTGGAACTTCTCCTGGCTGAAGGCGGACCCAGCAGCCAGCAGTTGGTGCGGATATTTAAATGCTGGGCCGCTTCGGAGTCGCATGCTCCCATCAGTTTTCTCACGCGGAAAGCCTTCTGAGTCCCTCGATTCACTATGGGTACCACTACCCTGGTTCCGCTTCCTGGCATTTTGCTGCTCTTACTTCAGCTTTGTAGTCATCAGTCATGCTTGCCTTCTTTCGAGATTGAGAGGTGGATCCAGTGTGTCCCCGTGTTTAGGTTTTTTGTGTGCTAACTGGGAGCAGCAGCAGCAGCCGCGGCGCTTTTAATTTCACTCTGCCCCGCCCCTTTGCTTGTTTTTCAACAGCCTATGGAGATTTACGTTGATGACGAAACGAAGTTGACACTCCATGGACTTGTTCAGGTTGGTATAGCCATTTTCCGTTGTCCGCATGTCGCATTTGAGATCTTCCCTCTTGCTGACTGAGTGTTCATCTTACTTTCTGCAGCACTACATTCAACTGAAGGAGAACGAGAAGAACAGAAAGCTGAACGATCTTCTTGATGCTCTTGACTTCAATCAAGTCGTCATATTTGTCAAATCGGTGAACCGGGCAGCTCAGCTGAACAAGCTTCTGGTGGAATGCAACTTCCCTGCTATCTGCATTCACTCTCAGATGACACAGGAAGAGAGGTGAGCTCCATGGGTCTCAGATGCTGTTATTGTTTTCTGAAGCTTTTGACTGAACTATCTGGCCAATGTTCCAGGCTGACCCGTTACAAGGCATTCAAGGAGGGGCACAAGCGTATTTTGGTGGCAACGGATCTTGTCGGTCGTGGCATTGACATTGAGCGAGTCAACATTGTCATCAACTATGACATGCCTGAAAATGCAGACACGTATCTTCATCGGGTACGCGATGCATATTTGATGAGGAACTAGTGTTGAAGCATATGCATCTTGTGTTTGCTGACATGTTTTGAGGCCTGGCTTGTTGCAGGTTGGCCGTGCTGGTCGTTTTGGCACGAAGGGTCTAGCTATTACTTTTGTGAGCTCAGAGGAGGATTCGAAGAAGCTGGATCAGGTTTGTCCTGCTCTTTTGGCTTATTCAGATTTGTGTGTTCTACGTTGTTTTCGTGCTGCTGCAGTGCTTCAAAAGGGTTAGCTTGTGTGTGCAATGTTGCTGACTTCACCCTGTGACTTACCTAAGCAGGTTCAGTCACGGTTTGAGGTTGACATCAAGGCCTTGCCTGAGCAGATCGACACGTCTACTTACAGTAAGTGCCAGCCATGCAGCGCTGATACTCCAATGCACTGCTTTTGTGCTACAAGAATTGATGACACATACATCTCCTCTTGCCTACCTTTTTGCAGTGCCTTCATAGAAGCACCTTGCGACATGGAACAGCACACAAGGGCTTTGTGGCAAGGCCATACTCTTTTCCCGTCAGAATGGAGGTGTAATGTTTCCAATGCTTGGGCTGTTATGGTTGATCCATGCGAAGGGAACCCAAGCATATGATTTAGCAACGTTTTAACCTCCTAATTTGTCCTGCAGCAGTGATAGTAATCGTGTGAGTGGGATGATTTTTTTAAAATTACAAATCAAAATTGAAAGATTATAACAAGACTGGTATATAATCCGCAGGGGTTACCCTTGAGAAGATCCTTTGGGAAGGGCCACAGGTGCAAAGCCTGGGGAGCCATGGGCAGAGCTAGGCCGCTCACCTAAGTCTGTGAGCTAAATTGTCGACGAGCGGAGCTCCTGTGCCGCCATGGCACTGTCAAACATGTTTATTGATCATGTTTGTATAGACTGTATAGGGTAACCTCCTAGAGGGTACAACATTTAGGTATATGTGCATGTACTCTCTAACTCTATGATTCATTCAATTCTAGTTTTGAGATGGTATCACGCGTAGGTTTCGACCCCCCCCCCCACCTACCGCTTCCGCTCCTCCCGTCGCGTCTCCTAGCCTAGCCTCGCCCCTCCTGAGCCCAGTCGCGACTCCCCCCCCCCCCCCTAGCCCCGTTGTGCTCCTCTCAGGCCTCGTCGCGCCCCTTCCAGGTCGTCGTAGCGCCCCTCCAGGCCCCGTCGCGCCCCCCCTTCCAGGGCTTCGTAGCGCCCCTCCAGGCCCCCGTCGCGCCCCTCCTGGGCTGTGTAGCGCCCCTCCAGGGCCCCGTCGAGCCCCTCCTGGGCCCCTTAGCGCCCCTCCTGGGCCCTGTCGTGCTCCTCTCAGGCCCCGTCGCGCTCCTCCCATGCCCCGTCGCGCTCCTCCCAGGCCCCGTCGCGCTCCTTCCAGGCCCCGTCGCGCTCCTTCCAGGCCCCGTCGCGCTCCTCCCAGGCCCCGTCGCGCCCCTTCCAGGGCTTCGTAGCGCCCCTCCAGGCCCCGTCGCGCCCCTTCCAGGGCTTCGTAGCGCCCCTTCTGGGCTTTGTCGCGCCCCTCCTGGGCTTGGTCGCGCCCCTCCCAGGCCCCCGTCGCGCCCCTCCCTGGGCCCCCGTCGCGCCCCTCCTGGGCCCCCCCGTCGCGCCCCTCCTGGGCCCCCCTTAGCGCCCCCTCCTGGGCCCTGCCGCGCTCCTCCCTGGGCCCCGTAGCGCCCCTCCAGGGCCCCGTCGCGCCCCTCCAGGGCCCTGTAGTGCCCCTCCTGGGCCCCGTCGCGCCCCTCCTGGGCCCCGTCTCACTTGCTCGGCCCCGTCGCCCCAGCTCGGCCCCGTCGCCGCCGCTCGGCCCCGTGGCGCCCGCCCGGCCCCTGTCGCAGCCACCCGGCCCCTGTCGCACCCGCCCGGCCCCGTCACGCCCGCCCTGCCCCGTCGCAGCCGCCCGGCCTCGTCGCTGCCGCCCGGCCCCGTCGCAGCCGCCCGGCCCCGTCGCAGCCGCCCGGCCCCGTCGCAGCCGCCCGGCCCCGTCGCAGCCGCCCGGCCTCGTCGCAGCCGCCCGGCCCCGTCGCAGCCGCCCGGCCCCGTCGCGTCTGCCTGGCTCCTCGTCGCGCCTGCCCGGCCCCGTCGCGCCTGCCCGGCCCCGTCGCGCCTGCCCGGTCCCGTCGCGCCTGCCCCGGCCCTACATACTTCCTGGTACTGTCCCCCGTTCAACGCACCGCTTTGCACCCTCCTGCACTTCCCTGCCCCGCCTTGCACCGCATTGCACCTCACTGGACCGCACTGCACCGCACTGCACCGCACTGGACCGCACTGCACCGCACTGCGCCGCACTGGACCGCACTGCACCGCACTGCATCGCACTGCACCGCACTGCACCACCCTGCACCGCACTGCACAGCACTACACCGCACTCCACCGTCCTACACTGCCCCTGATGGCTGCTGAGCTTCGTTTTGATGCTGAGGGTCAGCCTCTGGAGTTCGAGGCGTGGTTGGCTGACCTTCGCCGCCACCTCACTGGTCCGCGGCAGGACGGCCACCCGCTTTCTGCCCACCTAGACGGTATGCTCCCCTGCCCTGACCCCCCTGCTGTGCTGCCCGCTGATCCCACGCCCGCTGAGCGCGAGTCCACTGCCGCCGCTGCCCTTGCCCGCTCTGTCTGGCTTTCCCGCGATGCCCTTGCTCAGCTCGCCATTAGCAATGCCCTCCCCCCCCCTGAGCGCCCTCGCTTTAGAACCATTACTACCGCCCAGGCCTACCTCGATGCTGTCATCAAGCGCTATTCTACCCCTCCTGCTGCCTCAGTGGGTCGCCTGATCCTCCCCCTGCTCTTTCCTGACCTTGCGTCTTTCCCCACTGTCTCTGACCTCGCTGCCCACCTGCGCTCGATCGATGAGACCTGACGCGCTGCCTGCACTGATGCACAGCTTAGAGTCCACCAGCCTCCCATGACCTCTACCCTCTACCTCCTTGCCACCCGCCTCCCTGACCGCCTTGCCGCCGCCCGCGACCAGTTCCTTAGCATCCACCCCGCTGCTCTCACCCTCACCGACTTTGTTGACACCCTGACTGTTATAGAGACTCGTCACCGCTCCATCGCCCAGGCGAGCGGTACAGTACCGGTCCCTATCTTTCAGGGTTGTGCCCCCGCTCAGTGTACCTTCTCCGACGGCTCTGTCGCTGTGGCTGAGACTGCTGCTGCAGTGCAGTCCCGCTCGGGGAAGGGCCGCCGCCCCAAGGTTGGGAGCGGCGGAGGCGGCGGGGGTGCGGGTGGGGGTGGTGGTGGAGTCGGGTCGTCCGGTGCCGGTGCGGACGTGGGGACCCTGCCCAGTCCAGCTGCCCCGCTGCCTCCACAGTCGCAGCAGCAGCAGCAGCAGCAGTCGCCGCAGCCGCAGCCTCCGCAGCAGCCGCAGCACACGAGGCAGGCGAGTGCTCTCCCTCCTGGGTGGCCTGGAGCTGGTGGTGGTCGTGCGCGTGGTGGTGCGCCGGGTGGTGGTTCTGGAGGCGGGCGTTGTCAGTACCAGATCCAGACCGGTCCTCGCCGCGGTTTCGTTTGCGGTAAGATCGGTCATTCCACTCCTCGCTGTTTTCGTCGTCTGGACGACCTGTTCCGCCAGCGCTTTGGCCCGGCGCCCGACCTCCCGGACTGGCACAGCTTGCTTAGGCGTAGCATTCAGATTTTTGACTTGGACATGGATGCCATTGTAGCAGCCTTGCATGTGATGTATGCTGATGACTCTAGTGTGCTTCCCTCTTATTACCCTGTGTTGCCTAGTGTAGATGTGCCTATCGTAGACTCCCCTGCTGCGTCAGGCGTAGGATCTCCTGCTTTGCTTAGCCTCGGTGCTTCCACCGCTTCACTGCCGCCTCGCGCGACTGCTGCGCTTTCCTTCACCTTGGACTCTGGCGCCTCCCGGTGTTTCTTCCGCGACTCCACGACGCTGACGCCGCTGCCTGTTCCCGCTGCAGTTACTCTTGCTGACCCCTCCGGTGGTCCCGTCGTTGCCCGCAGTTCCACCTCCCTTCCCTGTCCGGCGGTTCCTTCAGGTTCGCTCACAGGTCTGCATATCCCCTCGTTCTCCAGGAACCTAGTTGGTGTCGGCTGCCTCCAGGACCTTGGCGTCACCACTACGTTCCCTGGTCACGAGCGGTATGCTGTCTGTACCGAGGCCGCCACTGGTGCCCCCCTTACCACTTTCCCCTGGGACCCGGTGTCCGGCCTGTTCACACTTGACACCGCGACTTCCCCGGCTGGGTCTTCCCCCCAGGTCGCTGCGTCCACCCAGGTTGCTGCTGCGTGCTCCTGTCGGTCCCTCACTCACCCGACTCTTCTTTGGCACCACCGCCTTGGTCACCCTGCACTCCCGCGTCTGCGTCACATGTCCCAGCACGGTCTCGTCCTTGGTCTCCCCGGTTCGTTCCCCGAGTTTCCCTCCTCCCCCGCCCCCCCCGTGCACGCCTTGTGTCGAGGGCCGGCTCCGCCGTGCCCCTCACTCCTCCTCGTTTCCCCCTACCACCGCACCACTGCAGACTCTGCACATGGACGTCTGCGGCCCAGCCCCGGTCCATGGGCCGCGTCGCGAGCGCTTCTTCCTAGTGCTTGTCGACGACTTCACGCGCTACACCACCGTCTTTCCCCTGGAGCGGAAGGCCGACGTGCCTGACGTTCTCATCCCCTGGCTTGTCTCTGCTCGTGTCCACCGCGGTCTCCCTGCCTTGCGCCTCCACTCCGACCGGGGTGGCGAGTTTGCCTCAGGTGTCCTTGGTCGCTTCTGTCGTGCGGAGGGCATCACCCAGACGTTTACCCTGCCGGACTCCCCGCAGCAGAATGGGGTCGCTGAGCGACGCATCGGTTTGGTCATGGAGGTGGCTCGCACCTCCATGATCCACGCCGGTGCACCCCATTTTCTCTGGCCGTTCGCCGTGCGCTACGCCGCTCACCAGCTTAACCTGTGGCCGCACCCTCAGCGGCCGCCGGTTTCGCCGACCCTTCTGTGGACCGGGTCCCCTGGTGACGCGTCTGCGTTCCACGTCTGGGGCTGCCTTGCTCACGTTCGTGCCTCTGGCACGGACAAGCTCACTGCCCGCACCCTCCCCTGCGTCTTCCTCGGTTTCCCCCTTGACGCGTCCGACTGGCACTTCTACCACCCGCCGTCTCACCGCTTCTTTCACTCTCGCGACGTCACCTTTGACGAGTCCGTCTCCTTCTACCGCCGCTTCCCCCACTGTGGTCCCCCGGTTACCCCCCCCCCTGTTCCTGGTCCCTCCTTCCACGGTGGTCCCTGCCCCTCCCCCCCCCCCGCCCCCCTGTCCGGCCCCCTCTGGTGTGTCTCACGTCACCCCCCTCCCGTCGGTCGTCCCGGTCGACGAGTCTTCTGACTCTGGTAGTCCTCCGGCGCAGTCCTCGCCGTCTGTCCCTCCCCCGGTGCCTCCTCCTCCACCGCCTCCGCAGCCGCCGTCGCCGCAGCTGCTGCAGCCGTCGTCTCCACCGCCGCCGCCGTTGCCGCCGTCGTCTCCTCCGCCACCGCCGTCGCGGCCGTCGCTGCAGCCGCCGCCGCCGCCGCAGTCGTCACTGCCGCTGTTTGTGGACTCTGGGGGTGCTGGCGTTGAGGTTGGTACTAGTCCCGGGGCTCCTGTCGTGGCTTGTCCCGGCGGGCCTGGGGGTGGTACCGGTGCTGGCGGGGTTTTGTGCTCTGGGGGTGTCCCTTCTGAGGGTGCCGGTGTGGAGGGTTCGGGAGGTAGCA